GTAGATTCACCCCCCCCCCCCCCCCCCAAGAAAACAGTCATATCCATATATGTACATATATTATTCCCAAACGTCAAACTAGGTATCTATTTCGCTCTTTTCCGTACACCATAAGCCTGTCTCCGTGTGCCACAACAATTTGAACCAACAGCTTAGTGCTGAGCCAAGCTCTGCACGTCGGGTATAACCTCATCAACCTCATCCTCAACCATAGGCGACGCAGACGACTCAGACCCACTGTCCCCGGCCGCTGCACTGGCCGCTCCAGCAGCTCCTCCCCCAGACACATCCCCAGAGCCAGTTCCCCCAGGCCCTCCCGGCGGGCCCTCGGCCCCGTCCGGCCTCCGCGGCGGCCTCCCGCCAGCCTCGACCTCGTAGTCCCTCCGGATCCGCTTGATCGTGCGCACCGACACGCCATAGTCCCTCGCCAGCGCCGTGGCGCTCATCTCCATGCCGGCGCCGGCGATGGCCCGCTCCGTGGCGTCGCTCAGCTTGCGCGGGCGGCCGGACCGCGGCTTATCGCGGTTGGAGCCCTGGTGCGCGAAGCGGTTCAGCGTGATGTTGACCGTGCGCCGCCCGACGTTGAAGCACTCGGCCACGACCGACTTGGGCAGGCCCGCGGCGACGGCGGCCAGGATCGCGGCGCGCATCTCGCCCGACATGCGGCCGTTGTCGGGCCGCGACCGGCCCAGCTCCGTGCCCAGGGCGCGCAGGCGCGGCAGGTCCGGGAACAGGTCCAGGCGCGGGCCGCGGCGCCGCGGCGGGAAGCTCGCGGGCAAGGGAGAAGCAGGCGCCGCGGCGGGAGGAAGAGGGGCCATGTCCGCGGGAGGCGGCGGCGGTACGGACATGGGCGCGAAGCTAGGGACAGCAGTGGCCGGCCCGGTGGAGGGCGGAGGGCCATACTGGAAGTGCGGCGATGGTGCTGGTGGTAGTGGCGGTGGAGGTGCCGGTAAGCCGGCCTGCTGTGCGTGTGCCGGGGACTGCGACGGCGTATACTGGGAACTCTGAGGTGGTGGAACAAAGTACGCTTGGCCATAGAGAGGAGCCTGATCTGGCGCACCCGCGGTGGGTATGTCTTGGGCCGGAAGAGAAGCTGAAGGTGGCGGCTGTGCCGATCCTGGTGTCGGCCCTTGGGGATCTAGGGATTGAGCAGGCGACTGGCTTGCGCCCGCCACAGTGGCGGCTGGGGGCAGGGTGCCATTCTCCTGGCTTGTCTCGTCGACGTCCTGCGCATCTTCGGCCCTCTCATCGCGCGGTGGCGCGGGCGGCGGCATTATTTCTAGTGATCGCGGGTTCCGGGGCAGAGGCCAGTTCATGTGAGTCTCGTCCCAGGCGCTTCTGTCAGGTGGGAATCAAGTCCCTCCATGAGCTAGCTAGCCTTACAACGGTAGCACTGGCAATCCCGCCGCATTTTCGCTAGTCGCTACTTCAGAGTGGTAAGGCCCGTGCAGCCTGCAGGGAGCTCGGGCCAGCTGTGGGGACGCGTTTAAGGGGTGTCACCAACACAAATTCCAAGTGCTGTCTGCCAATGAGGTACCAAGCACAAAGTGTCTTTCTTGGGGGCAGCGCGTCAGCAAAGTCGCGGACAAAGTCGTGGGGACCAGATTGGATTCTCTCGTTGGGAAGTGGTTTTAAAGAGTAGAGTACAGAATGATGCCACGGAAATGTACTCAAAACACAGTGTCATCCATACATGAACCAGCTCTTCACAGTTTCTACGTTTTGTCCAGACCACGGCATCTTATCCTGTCACGTCAAAACTCCTCTCAGGTGGATGGATCATCAATTAGCTCTTCCCAGTGCTATGTTTCTGTCAATATCCCTCTCATCTTGGAACAACCTCCTCAAAACCCCCGCAGGAAGTCCTCCAGCGAGATCGGCTTCTTGACTGCATTGTTCAGTCCTTCGTGGAATGTCACCCAGACCTTTCGCTCCTCCTGCTTGAGGCCTGCTCCATGATCGACGCTCCTGTTCTTCTTGTGTCCCGCATTGCCGTTGACGTCTTGCAGCGGGCGGGCAGGCTCGGCGATGACCCTGCCAAAGAAGTCCCGCTTGACGCTGGCGGCGGCGGCGGCGGCCGAGAGCTTCGCCTCCGCCTCCTTGGCTCCTCCCTTGTTCTCCTTGTCGTCAAAGTGGAAGTCATCTTCGTGGATGCCGAGGGTGTTGCCAGCCTTGAAACGGGCCTGCCGCGCCGCAGTCTCCCGCGCGGCAAGAGTCTTCTGCAGCTCCTGGTCGAGCACCTGGCGCACGGCGTACCGCGTCGGCGCCTGGCTCGCGAGCACGTAGGCCCCTGCCGTCTCGTATGCGCACAGCACGTCGAGGTCGCTGTTCACATTTGTCGTTAGCTTTCAGCCCTAGCCATGAGACACCCATGCCTGCCTCGGAATTGTTCACTTACGGATCCATTCTGTATACCCATTGCGTTCTGCTGACTACAGACGGGTTCGCTTCCTCGATCTTGCCCCTCTGCAGCGCGATCCCGACATCGGCGAGCACCTCTGCGGCCCTCTTCACCATCGCCTTCTCGCCTTCCCTCCGGACGCTCGCTACGGATGCACCCTTGTCGCTCCCGCCGACGACGACTGGCTTCACGTCAGGCGAGACCAGGCGGAGAAGGTAGGGGATCAAATCCGTCGCTACGTGCTCCGGACTGCGGAACGATCTGGACAGAGTCGGTGAGAGTTGTGCTTGGATAGTCTGAAGCATGGCTCGGTTGTGCTTCTCCGCCTCGCGAGCCTCAAAGTCGGCTCTCGCGCCGGTAAATGGCATGGGAGGCGCCGCGTTCTCATCTTCCGCCTCGGCGCCCCATTTCTTGTCGTAGCCGGCCGTAGGGACATGCCGATGCGGCGACGCAAACAGGTGATGACACGCCAGGACAGGCTGGCTGAAGTACTGGCCCAGTTCCCATTCCTGGTTCGAGTAGATACGGTGTGTGCACGTGTCGTGGAAGTGCATCCACTCGTAGGCCATATTGGGCTTGCTGAGGTAGCAGTCGTCGTTGAACTCGCGGTTGGGGTACTCGAGGAAGATCTCCGTCATGATGCGGTCTACCTCGCCGCTGGTGTCGACCATCTCTCTAAGGCGGTCCATAGCATACTTCTTGACGTGCTCGGTAAATCCCAGCTGGGCTTGTGGCTGCTCGTGCTTCGTCTTCTTGGACACGTTGGTCGCCGCCGACTGTCTAGGGAATCCGGCGCCCTCCTGGAAGACTCGTGTCACAATCTCCTTGCTTCCACCTCGGCCTAGACCTCGCGCGCCGCCACCGCCGTGCGCCAGGTCATGCATGATGTTCTTCTCGATCCATTGGCGCGTGAGCTGAGGGGTGCCGTTGGGCGACGTAGCCCTCAAGCGGCCCGCGACCCATTCGCCGACCACCATGACACCGCGAAGATCGCCCTCGGCCGTGTTCTGCAGCCCCTTCTTGACTTCGAGTCCCGTCGCCATGCCCCACGCGGCCTCGCACAGTTTCCGCGCGGCTTCCCTCTCGCAAGGTATGCCCTCCTTCTCAAAGACGCCCTTGAGCCGGTTGACCACTGCATCCACCGCCGGCTTGCCGACGTGGATGATCTCTGCCAGGCCAGACTGTCGCAGGGGCCGCAGAGAAGTATGGTAGACGTCATTGCAGATGAGTATGAGCGGGCGCATCTGGCGGAAATCGTCACCTTTCTTCTTGCGCCTGGGCCCACCTGTCGTTGACGACGTGGAGGCAGCGCTGTTCTTCTGGTCGGTCGTGATGAGGTCGATCAGGGCCTTGACGAAGCCGCCTTCTCCGGACCCTCCCGAGCCGCTGACGACCCCGTCTACCTCGTCGACTACGACGCAGACCGGCTTGGCAATCTTGGGCGCCTGGCCGGGCTGAGCCTTCCGGTGTTCGACAGTCTTGACGCTCTCGGTGCCGAGCGTGGTGCGGATGCGGCCCCTGACGACGTCGCGGCTGCGGTCGTCGCTGGCATTGATCTCCAGCACCTCGTAGCCGGCCTGGCGCGCGCAGACGTGGGCGAGCGTCGTCTTGCCCAGGCCCGGCGGGCCGGTCAGCATGAGAATCTTGCGGTGCGGCTTCTCCTCCTCGGCCTGCTGCTGCTGCTTCGCTCCCGGCCGCCGGACGGCGGGCCTGGCCTTGGCCGCGTGGGGGAACACGACGGGGTCCCATCGCTTCAGCCACCGCAGGACGTGCCGGTTGGTCATGTCGTCGCCGACCAAGTCCATGAAGTTCCGGGCGCGGTACTTCTCGGTCCAGAGCATCGTCTTCCTCGGTTTCCTCAGGTTGGTGTCCGGTGCCTCTGTAGAAGGTTTCGGTCGCTCCGTGTTCGTGGCTCGCTCCGTGTTTGCAGTCGCTGTAGAAGCCTGAGCGGCAATCTCCTCCTTGGCGCCGTCGACCAATGCGTGTATGTCGATGCCGTAGTAGCTCTTCTTGGCCCTGCCCTCCTTCGTCCTAGATCTGGATGCCACCATAGACTCGTAGGACAGCGGTGCTGCCTGCTTGCGTTCCTTGATCGGGAGTGATCTCCCCGAACACGTCGAGATCTTGTATGTACGGCCGGTCGAGCTCGACACATCGAACGCAGGGGTAAGAAAGTCGGGGACTCTGACGTTGAAGAGAGATTCGTAGCGGGCTTCCTCCTCTTGTTCCTGAGACTCTTCTATCATTTGAGCATCAGGGATCTCTTGTGAGTCCTGTGTGACTGACGCAAGAGCTTCGGGTGCCACATCTTCGTTCGGCCGTGTCTCTTCCTCCAGCTGATCTTGGCTTGCGGTGGGAGCCTGAACATCTATGCTAAGCATTCGTTTCTTCGCGGGCGGCTCGTCGTCGTCGTCGGAGTCGTCATCGACGAAGCCGCCTTTGGCGCGTCGCTTGGCCGGTTGGTGGCCATCGTGGGGAGCTGGGCGCTTCCCATGTGCGGCAGCGTGAGCAGGCGGGCTCTGAGGGAAGGTGACGGGAGACGATGCCATCAACATTGCAGTTTCGAGGTCATGAGGGATTGTCTGTGGTGTTGTCTAGTCAACTTCTCAGAGCTTGACCCATAACAAGACAAGTCAATGGCCATTCCAGGTGTATTTTTGCGGCTTTTGCCAGGGCCAGGCCAGGGCGGGCGTGCGTGCAGGGGTCAATCGATGGCGGCGGGCGCCAACAGTGAGACGCGTTCGCGGCACCCAAAAACGCGTCTCTGGTCCATTAAACACGCGACCCACTTCCACATGGCGGAGCTTGTAGACAGAAAGTAGTCACCTACTCCGTACATAACAGTATAACTTGGCTTTCAACCGAAAAACAGTGGCCCAAAGATGAATGTATTATTGAACTATCTATGTTTCTCTGAGATCTGGACAGGCCTGGTTCCCAGGCATAAGAACCTGGCCATCTTGTGCCCCCAAATACCTTTCTACCTGATTTGACCCTGTCCATTTGCCGGACGGCCCAGCCAGAGCGCCACGCCTGACAGTCCCCTTTCCAGCCGGACCCTCAGTGCTGTCGCCCGCTCCTTGAGATTGTGCGAGTTCTGAATGCCGCCCAGCATGCTCCGTGACTCGTTGTCCAGGCCGCTGAGCGTGGCGAGCGACGACCCCTTCAGCACCTGCACTCTCGTCGCCATTGTCCTCGTGATCACGGCCGCCAGAAAGAAGAGCGTCAGGCCGAGCTGAACGGCCAGCATCGCGATGTAGGACCAGTGTATCGACACGAATGTCTGCGGGGTGAGGATCGTCCCGTTGAGGAAGGCAGTGTCGGGGGAGTGCATCAGGCGCGTGCCGCCCTCTCGGATACTGGAAGGAGAATCGATCAGTGTGCTAGTTACACGCACAGATCGGCCGAGGGGGACTTACAGGTTGGTCATGCTGCGCGCCATGTTCTGTGTGATGTTCTGGACGCCGTCGAGCTGCTGCTCTGGTGTGGGCATCTGGAACGTCATGAAATCGCCGAAAAGGGACGCCGCAAAGGCCTGTCCCATGCCGCCGCCGTTGGACGCGACCAGGCCGCGCAGGCCGTCGATGAGGACCGAGTCGTACATGGCTCCAAAGATCAGGGCAGAAGCTATCAGCGAAGTCCACACGTTGACCGTGAACGTGCCACCGTCCGGGACGCCCGGCGGTGCCGCGAGCTCAATGTCCACTCCGCCGTAGGTCTGGTTACAAGTGCCTGCCATATAACATGGATAGATTGTCGGATTCCAGCCAAAGTTCAGACTGTATTGGCTGCTCTTCACGGTTGTAGCCACGCGGCCAATCTCCTCGGTGACATGCACGCCTTTCCTGACCTCGGTCGAGAAGGACTTGGTGCACCAGTGAAATCCAATCTCGAGGAACTTGATATGAGAAAGGTCGGATGCCGTAACATTTGTCAAGAGTTCGTCCGAGTAAGCGAGGTAATGATCGTTGATGAGCAGCTCGGTGATGGAGTCGTTGAACGCTCCGCTCGCAGACGGGACTGGGCCGATGACGATCGGAAACGATGCCGGCACACTAGCCAACGATTCTGTATACGTGAGACTGTACACCATGTCTAGGGTCGAGTTGAAGATGTCGTCTAGGCGTGAGCTCGTGATGTTCTTCAGACTAGCCAGTAGTGTTTCATTGCCCAGAGCTGTCAGGTTCGCAACGGCGCCACAGATGCCGAGGGAGCCGTACACTGGCCAGCGACACTCGCCCGACGAGCAGACTGGTATCACTTCCGGGACCTTCTCGGAAGGAACGAAAAAGGCACCGTTTACTATCGACAGCTTCTCTCGCGCCGTGATATGAGAGGCTTTGCCCCAGATGTCAGTCACAGGCAGCTCTCTGATCTAATTATCAATACACCACTCACGTATTTGAAGCTCGTTCCCATCATAGAGAGAGAACGTAGTGGCTCTAGCAACTGACGCCGTGCCGTTTGTCGACTCCGATTCGTTCACCGGATACAAAATCGCCTGCTGGGTGATGGTCGATGTCAAGAAGCCGCTCAGCGTGATGATCGCTGCGAGACAGGCCAAGACGCCCTTGCATCGGAAAAGGAGCTTCAAGCTGCCATACCCGCCTCTGCTCGCCTCGTCAAACAGTTGAAAATCGATCAACGGCTTGGTACGAGTCGTCGCGAACCACATCCACTTCAGCTGACCCAACCCTTCCACGATCGGGAGCATGAACGCGACCTTGGCCAGTGATGTGAAGAAAGCCACGAATGTGTTCAGAGTGATGCCAAGCGGCCATTCCGGCGGGTGCTGTCCATCTGTGCGGTACAGAACTACGACAATAACTGGCAAGAAAAGAACACGTCAGGAATATTATCTTTGATCATCTTGGGACAGATACGACTTACTGATCATCGAGGCGACGCCAAGCAACAGCGACAGAATCTCGGGCATCCACCGAAATACGCTCCTCTGTCCGGTGCTTCCATACTCCGATCTGTCAGGCCCTATCAAGGGTTGATGAAAGTCGCCAGTGTATCCATTGCGTTCTCGAACCTCGACGTTGGCGTCGTCCTTGGAGCGAAGAGGCCAGGGATCCAAAGGGATGCCGGACGCCGGCCGTCCACTCTGCCCATCCACACGTTCCCGAAACGACTTTTGCGAAGGGCTCCCGACGCTCGGGTCGATGTCGGCAAAGCTGTCAATCGTTCGCGGCCGCATCTTGGATACCAGCTCCCGGTGGCAGGTTACACAAGCCATGCCATGTGCAGCACGGCAGAAACCATGGCCGCTCCCAGCGTTTCTTCGTGCGGCATGGCGAAAGGGGATGGCCTGTCCTTTTAGAAGAGAGGCCCTGGGCTTGGGTAGTTATTCTCCTCTGCCCTTGCTGCTGCCAGGGAGGGCATCCAAAACATAGTCCGGCCTAGGCTCTTGGTGGCTGACATGCGGGCTTTCGGGATTGGGTTTCTGGCGTCAAGATAGGTCGCTTTTTGGCCTTGGCATCAGCCCGTGGCGTTCTACACAGCCAATACCAAATTCTGCGGAATTCGAGTGCCAGCTTGATTGGGAGCTCGCTCTATTGGGCTGAAGAGGCACCAGCCAGCAGTGGCTTTTTGAGTTTGCATGGTCGCCTCCGTCCCGCACCAGCCTCCGGAAGTCGATGCGTTTCAAAGCTGAGAGAGATGCTCGCTTGTCGGTCCAGTTTGTTGAGTCGCCTTGCATCATGCACCCCTGCATTGTTCCTGAGGAGCCGCCCTCTCGGGAGTATCCATCGATCCTCTGAACCCTCCGAAGTCCCGTGCCGAATATGTTTGCTTGCTGTTAGGCGACCATATCTAGTCCTGGTTGCGCATTCTTACTGCTCCCTTGCTGTCGCCATCATTTCTCTCGTTGTCAATTTCAAACATGACAGAATCAATCTTGAGAAGGCTGTCTGGGAACTCGACACGGTTGATATTTGAAATCCAGTCTTCCTAAAGAAGGCCCAGTCGAGCCCGAGCCTGTGAAATTCCGGGTAGAAACGAATGGCAAAGTCTGTTTACGAGATTGCCATGTAAGCAGTGTCCAGGCCGAGTTCGAAGCGCACCAAGCAAGAAAATGGACTGGCAAGGTCTGGAGGGCATTATTCTAATATAGCTACGTCACATACATGCGGACTCAGTTTGCTTGGCAAATACAGAATCTGAAGAGTCATAGAGTAGCTGGGGGAGGAAAGAGAAGAGGGCATGGGGAGTAAAACTTCACATTGCTCCGTCATGTGCCTCATAACTATATTCGGCGCTTTTATTGTGAGCTTCAGCGCAGTCTCACCTTGCGCGAAGGGGAGCATTACATAGCTTGCCGAAAACAACATCACTTGCTTCGAACTATCGCCTTCTGCTCAGCCTCAGTCGTATGCCACCAACCCTGCAGTCATGAGTGACGGCCGCTGCGAACAATGCATTTGAATGCCTATTGTCACTGCTATAGCTAATCCCACACCCGAACAAACACCCGAATAACCTATCTTTACGCCACTAGCAGCTCACCCTGCTCCCAGCTTGCCTTGATCGAAGGCTCGTGATGCAACGGCGCCCATGAAGCTTCGTCAACGTAAAGGGCCTCAGTAGTATCTCAACGCGTCCTAGGGCGATGAGTTGCTCACCTCAATTACGTTCTAGAAACCACTAGTGACAGACTGACACAACACTCCTCGCTGGTCAGCAGGCTACCACATTTGCTTCCTGGGACTGTTCATCCCACAATCACAATAGCCAGCGCAGGACACGTGAATAGTTGTATGAAGCCACATGATCGAGCGCTACCTTCTGCGTGACTCCCTGCTGTTCAATGAGTCTCGACAACCGTCTCCCTCGTATCACCCTAGCTCCGTTGAGTCAAGAGACACTCCCGAAAATTTGATCTCATCCTTCCCAAAGATAGGGGGGTGGCCATTATAAAATGAAGGCTGCCTACTAACCTGTCCATGGTGTCTCCAAAACAAGCAGCTCCATTGCGACAGCATCTCCGTACTTGAAAAACATTTTCAACACAGTCAGGCCCCCGCAACCTAGCATAGCAACTGAGCCTCGCAACCAAAGCACCACAACTAAAGCATCAGAGCATCAGAGCATCAACCACCAGAGGATAATAGCTTCCCGTTGATGATTACGGAAAGAGATCGTATTGACCAGCATACTGGGAACCTATCAAAGCCTTTTTCAGTATCAGAGAGCATCAGCAAGACCATTTGCTTCCTCTCCAAGGCGTCGGTTGTTCTCCGTGATCTCTTCCCCGGTCCAAAAAAAGGAAGATGTCGAAGTACCAGCTCCTCTTTGGTAAGTCCGGTCCCCCCTCCCTGATCCAGCAAGGAGTGGTTATCAAGACTCTAGTAGACAACGACGACGAGCCGGCGTCGCGTACCCCCAAGGCCATGTCGCCCCACGAGATCGCCCAGACCACCGGAGTCTCTCCTGCTCAACTCCTGATTTCGGCCCCAGGCGGCGAGGCAACTGGCGCGACCCAACCTGCCACCCGGGTATCGTTGGATCCGGCTCTAGGCATCATAACGTCAACCCCTGGGTTCCCGATCCACGAGCCGTACCCATCGCAGATCCTAAACATCTCGTCGATTATCGCTCCCCCGAGCGTCGCAAGCTCCGCTTCCTCCGACGAGAAGCTGGCTTCACCCCAGTATCCGCTGCCAAGCCAAGGAACTCCGAGCCATGGACACCAGTACAACTTCGCCGGCTACCTTGGCGACCACCCGCACGGCCTTGCTCCGTCTGCTGCCTTCGCGATCCCGGACCCTACGGGAACAGCGATGGGCAGCGGACCCCAAGGAGTAGCGGGAGGAGCCGCCCCTGTCCCACAGGCCAGCACGGCCGTCGATGGGTTCCCGGTCATGAACATGTACTCGGCGCCAAACCACGCCTGGGCCGGCAACCACAACTTGAACCAGCCGATCGCCCCGTGGCCGCTGCAGGGCTTGGTTACCGGCAGCGCGGGCCCCCTCGCTTACCCAGCGTACGCTCCTGTGTTCCCGGGCGCCGCCCAAGCCCAACAAGTTCCTGCTGCTGCGGCTGCGCCGGCGCCGGCGCCGGCGCCGGCGGCCCAAGCTGCCCGGACGCCTCTGCCGCCCCCGCCGCCGCGCGAGGCCCCTATGAGCCGCCAGGTGCACTCCATCATCGCGGCCCACAACGAGGGCGTCCCGAGCGCGGCGGCGGCGGCGGCGGCGGCGGGGCCGCGCCCGTCGTTCCCGGACCCGCCGGCCAACATGGGCGACCACGCGGAGCGGCTGCGGTACGCGCAGCTGTGCTTCGCGGCCGTGGGCGCCAAGGACTTCGGCTTCCTCGAGCCGCACGTGCTGCGGTCCATCAGCGCGCGCGAGATCCTCATGGCGCCCAACCCGGCCGAGCTGCAGGAGCTGAACCGGCAGTTCGCGACGCTGCGCAGCCGCCGCTGCAAGTCCAACAACAACAAGGCGGCCAAGCGCGGCCGCGAGCGCAAGGCCCGCACGCTCGTCGACCAGGAGGCCCAGATCCGGATGCTGCGCCACGAGCGCAACCTGTGGCGCAAGTCGTGCGCCGAGCGGGCCGGCGAGGAGGTCATCGAGCGCCTCCGGGCCCATGTCAAGGCGGAGATGGACAGGTACAGGGACGAGCACGGTGTTGCCGATGCCTAGCTTCTGGTTTTTTTTTGCTGAGAGGATGTGTGGGCCAGGGCAAGATGGATGCTGAGTGATTGTTGTTGTTGTTTTTCCTCTCTCCGTGGTTCGAGAGGAATGGCATTGGGTTGGGCTAGGACAGAACGAGGCTGGATGGGTAGATTATGGCAACTTCCTGGTTGCCTTTGGGATGTTCGGAAGGGTTCTCTTTTTTTTGGAGGGCCAATATTGGCACATTGTTAGAAATTCGAAGCACCGAGCGCAGAGGGCAGAGCCGACTTAAATAGAGATTAGGGCCTTGACCCTCGGTTCCATATCACAATCACTGTCTCATCTATTGGCAACAGTCATGGGGCGAAGTGACACTTGGTATGATGAAGGAACCGGACCCACCGGTGTCAACTCTGGACAGAGTCCAACTCATCGATTTGCAACCGTTTGCAAATCTCATTGGCCAATGGCAGCCCTGGGCACTGACGCGTCTCATCTGGCTTCTTGAGTGGGAGCTTCTCTTAGGAGCGCCTCAGTGAATCAAGTTACTGTCCCTCACAAGGATGTGCAGGTAACTAGCTGGGCGCATACATCGAGTGAAGCCAATGGACTATTATAGTCTTGGTTTCTCAGTTTTTCATCCCTTCACCACCAAAGAAGTGTCATTAAGGGCGCTGTATACCCAATGGAAGTTTGACAAATCAGTGACCGCTCTGGGATATGGAAGAGGACTCTGATAGTTGTTCTTTCTACTGAAAGCAAGCTCTCATGCTTGCCGGCGTGAATCGCTACCCACTTGTTGTTGTCAATGACAAACATCTATTCACAGTGCTTGTGCAGGTGCTGTTTAGACATGCAAGCAGATCTCAGCAATCAAATTGGAATCAGATGGGAGAAAGGTTCCGTGTCCCGTATAATCCTGAAAATTGACACCCGACACCTCTATAAACGCCCTAATGTAAACCGGACATCATATCCGTTAGCACTTCCCAAGTCATGCCCGGTTGTTGGCTGTCCAGCGCCTCTAGTCAATCCCCGATCCATCTACCCTAGCTATACTGATTGGCCTGAGCATGGGCATGGTAGCCATAGTCGCCCTCAGAGTACTTGGGCGCCGCGTCAACACCCAGCTCCACCTCGTCCTCATCAGCCTTGGTGAACTTCTTCCGTGCCTTGATGAAGCATACGAGGTTGGTAATGGCGAGGACCCTGTGCCGTACAATGTCAGTCGACTGATACTCCAGACAACTAAGACGAGACATTTGATCGTCCGTGTGACCTACCAAACCGCAGCGCCAAAGCCGGCGCAGATGGACATGACGACGCCCTCGGTGTTGGCGTCCTTGTCGTCCTTGAGGTTGATGCAGCCGCCGTCGTCGCAGTCCTCCATCCTCCAGACCGCAGCGTGAGCAGCCGACCAGGCCCAGGTAGCCAGCCAGAAGACGATGCTGATGGCGTACATTCCATAGGCAAACAGGCGCCAGATGAGGTGCCGCGCCCGAGTCTCAGTCGCAAACAGGATGCCGTAGATAATGATCGTCTTTGCTGACTGTTCCACTCATTCATCAGTAACGAGATTCCGAGGTACATAAACGGAGCTTGTTGTCATTTGGTTGGTGTCTTACAGCAAAGATGAGCAGCGAGGGAAGGGTGTTGTACCGCCCTTTGGAGACGTGAATGGCATAGGCGGCGAGGGCGATAATGGCAGCTGCCAGAGCGAAGATGAGGAACCTCACAATCCAGACCCATCGTGGGTAGATTTGCCAAGGTGTGACTATCGCCATTATTGTGTGTTGTATTGCGTTGTGTGGTGGTTGTCTCGTTAGGATCAAGTGAGGAGGATACCAGTCCTGTTTGTGCTTCAAGAGTACCAGACTCCAAAAAAGGGTTCGAATATCTACGATAAAGGATAAAAGTGCCAAGACTGATTTGAGAAGACCAGATTCAACACTCTTGCCGCCCGGGATACCTACAGCTTTTTATTCCATTTGCACATCTCGAGCGCTGACGACCACTCGGCGGCTCGCAGGGCGCCAAAGCCCCAAGAGAACGAGATCCCCTCCATTACTCTATGGGCCTTTGCAAACCATCAAACGCACGGGCAGAGACCATCCCTCTCCTCTGGTTCGTCTGCCGGGCCCTGTCGCACGCCATCTAAATTTGAAAGGAAGCGTCGAGACGCCGGGGCACACTCTTGGTGTGGTGCCACGACCCCTGTCCGGCGCCTCAGCGGCCATCCTCATTGGATCACGGATTTAGATGCTGCATGTAAGTGCCGGGTCCCCTTTTGGCACCTGGCCTATGGCATGCGATTACGTACGTGCTGCTGTGTGTGTTTCCCTTTCGCTTTGCGGACGATTGATTCTGAGGGGAGTGAGGGGAGTGTGGGTGCTGACCGCCCCCGGGATGTGTGCCGGTCTCGCGGCCGGAAAGCATGCGGGAGAGACGAGATTCGCGCCCCATCTATTTCCAGAAGTCTTGCTACATCTATCTAGCCTCACTTCGCGGCACGCGGCCATTCCGCGCGCTCCTGCGGCTCCATGTTGGCCGGGTCTGCAAACGGGGAGTCCTCGCCCTCCTGCAGCACAGCCTCCTTCTGCCGCCGAACGACCTGGTACTCCTCCGGCAGCCGGACGGCGAACCCCTTCTTGACACCAACTACATTGGACCCAGAAAAGTTAGCTTCCAAAAGGGGCAATGAACGGAGAGGAGGAGGATGTGGGACAGATAGGAGTCCTCTAGCAGCCACTTACACAATTGTAGATAGACCAGGCGCGCGATGAAAGGCGCCCAGACCATGACAGCAACCACCTGCCCAAAGGTCCACTGCGCAGCACCGAGGCCGACGCGCTGGACCACGTCGGCAAGGCCCTTGACGTAGAAACACGTAAACACGACCGTCGCGCCCTGGAGCAGAGCCCAGACGACCTCCACGATCCAGATCCAGACCGTCCTGCCCGCGCTGCGGCTCGCCGGGGGCGTCTGCCCCCCGCCGATCTTGCCCGCGATGCCCAGGCCGTAGAACCCGGCGCGCCGGACCGCCTCGTCCGACTTGCCCCGGCACGCGACGGCCCAGGCGACCTGCTGCACCCACAGCGCCGGCACGACCGGGTACCCGACGCCGACGGCGTAGAGCAGCGGCGCAAAGTCGGACGCGCCCGCGAGCCCCCGGTCCAGTCCGCAGTACAGCGCCAGCGACGGGTTCCCGCCGCACGCCGCGAGGGGCCGCCGGGCCCTGAACTGCCTCGCGAGGTCGTCGAAGTCGAGCTGCGGCTGGGTGGCCATGACGGCGCACCCGAGGCCCCAGGAGACGGTCACGAGCAGGAGCGTCCACCAGGAGTGCGGGCTCGGCCGCCGGGCGCCGGAGCGGTGGCGCGTGCAGGCGCGGCGCAGCAGGAGCTCGACGAGGAGGCACGGCAGGAAGGCGTTCATGGCGAGGTTCGTCACGCGGTCCATGGTGACCATGAGGGCGGCGTACGATCCGGCAGCGCCGGACTGGGAAGTCTCGAGGTTGTTGTTCGCGAGCAGCGCGGCGGTCTGGATGGCGATGGCGAAGTAGAGCTGTATCTCGTGGAAGTCAAAGGCGGCGCTGAGCAGAGCGGTGGCGGGCCGGGACCCCTTGACGGCGCCCTGGACCATGGTGGCCGTCTCCCAGAGCCCTTGCGGGAGCGTGCTCTCAGCTGGCGGGACTGATGATTTCTTCGTCATGAAGGGGTAGACGGCAAAGCGCAGCCAGGAAGTCGAAATCTTGATGAGCACGAACAGGACGAGGGATAGAATGGTCTGGATAATGATGGAGATGGCGATCCCCGGCCCAGCGACGTCTGCACTGCTGTCCTCACTGGCATTGTTGCAGTAAGATCCCAACGTGTCCCGCAAGCTTCGTACAGCATTGGGTCCGGACGCTGACGTGCCGTTGATGCTCTCCTTCAACTCGACAGAGCAGACGAGTCCGCCGCTCACTTCACAGCTCGCCCGGGCGCACGCCCCGATCGCCTTGAGCGTCGAGCCTGTGTCGAACCCAAAGGTCTGATTCCTGCTGTCTCCGTAGCCAAGCTTGAAGGCCGTATTAGCCGCCTGCACCGACGACCTGTCCAGCGTGATGGCATCAGAGCCGCCGTCCTCGACCAGGCGCGCTACGGCGGCGAGGGTCGCGCAGCTCCAGAGGTTCCGCGAGTTGGCAAACAGGTAAGCCGGGTCCGCGCAGACAGCAGTGCAGTTGGGTACCAGCCTAGGATAGAAGCCCGGCGTGTTGGGGTAGAGGCAGCTGGAGGAGAGAAGGTCGACCTCGGCCGGCCTGTCGTAGAGCTTGGCGACGTTGCTGGAGATATAAGACAGGGGTACCGGCGGCGAGCCCCATGCCGAAACGATGGAGTCCGGGTAAATTCTCAGATCGTAGTCGCTGAGGGTTTTGAAGTGCGCCATGGCGGCAGATGAAGCGAGAGTCGTTCCCGGCACGCGGTCTTGCTGGGGAGTGAGTCGTCGCTTGCAGGCAATGGATGGCCCTTCTAGCTGGACTCTTGAGAAGCTATGAGCGAGCGTCGCAGGGTATAGTCGTCAAGCACTGCATATAACATACGGACTCCCTCGCATTGCCCACAGTCTGAAATGAAAAGAAAGGGATTTCCTGCACGATCGCAATCGAGGGGAGGTTTTTGGTGTTGCGCCGCACATGTTGTCAGCTCAGCCCAGGTCCCACCTCCACTTTGGATGATCATCGACAGGGGTTCGAGATTACAAGTAACTACAACGTCCCTACGCGTAGACAAGCCGACAAGCCGGCTAGACCAAAAGGACCAAAAGGAACAAAAGCGTAATCATGGCAACCAACACGAATATCTTTCACGATAGAGGCTTGACAGAGATCCTTTCAGGAGACATGCCCAGCAGTAAGACGGCGATGCTTTCAGAGATGACGCCGCCGTCAAACTGGCAGCCAAACATCATGAGTTTCAGTCAGTGTCCAAGCCTTCGAAATGGCCGATATAGTCAAGAGGAATTCAGACGACCAACCTAGTCTGCACGCAAATATGCTCTGATAGACTCTCAAGTACCTTTCCCAATCTATCTGGACGCTCTCAATGAATCTATCCTCCCTTCCTCCCTCCCAAGTTACCATGCAATCAAGTAAAACCACAAGAGGACTGACTACACCCCCCCTCCCCCCTCCCAACATCACCTCTCATGCACCAACCTCCCGCGCACCCAAACCTTCTTGGTATTCCGGTCGTCCCCGTTGAACAGCCACTTGGCGACCCTCTCGTCCCAGCTCTCCCACCCAAAGACGTCCACGTTGCTCTCCTCCGCCGGGTCGGCCGGCCCGCCGCCCTCGGCGTCCACGAGCGACAAGCCGATGAGCTGCGCGTCAAAGTCCATCCCGACCTCGAACGCCCCGACCGTATCCCCCAGGCCGACGACCTTGGCCCCGCCCCGCGTGGCGAGGTACAGCACCTCGTCGGCGCTCAGCCGGGCGCCGTCGTCCCCCGTCGTCACGGCGAGCTGGTTGCTGACGAGGCACGCCTGCCGCGCCGCCTCGAGCACGCTGGGGCTGTACCCGCCGCTCACGTCCGTGCCCAGCCCGACGTCGACGCCCACGTCCTCGACCAGCCACCGCACGCGCGCCAGCCCGGACGAGATGGCGCTGTTGCTGCACGGGCAGTGCGCCACCTTGGCCCCGCGGCGCTTGAGGAGCGCCGCCTCCGCGTCGGACAGGTGCACCGCGTGCGCGAGGATCGTCCGCTCGCCGAGCAGGCCCGCCTCGTCGTATACGCCGGCGTACGACGCGCTGCCGGGGAACAGCCCGGCCACGAGCGCGACCTCGGCGGCGTTCTCGCTGACGTGCGTCTGCACGGGCAGGCCCGTCTCGCGGTGCAGGTCGCCCAGCGCGCGCAGCGCCTCGGCCGTGCACGACGGCGCGAAGCGCGGCGTGATGACGGGCCGCACCGTCTCCATCCGCGGGTCCGCGGCGCGGACGTGCGCGATGCAGGCGCGGGTCGCCGCCACCGAGGCCTCGGCCGACTCGTCGCGGTAGAAGTCGGGCGAGGGCCGGTCCATGCACACCCGCCCCACGAGGGCGCGCTGGCCCGCCGCGAGGCAGATGTCGGCGAGCAGGTTCGTCGCCGCCACGTCGATGGTCGCAAAGTAGGCCGCCGCCGTCGTGCCGTGCGAGAGCGTCTTGCGCACGCACCGGCCGTAGACGCGCCGGGCCTTGGCCAGGTCCGAGAGCGATGCCTCGAGCGGGAACGTGTACGTGTTGAGCCAGTCCAGCAGCGTGGACTTGCCAAAGATGCCATTGTTAGGGTACTGCGAAGCGTGTATGTGCGTGTCTGCATGACCATGTCAGTCTACGTGTCAACTCTCTCGGGGAAACCTGGCCTCGTACACCGCAAGAAACCTCACGGAGCAGTGCCAGTAAAAGTTTGGGATGAATACGAACCTATGAACCCAGGGAAGAAAAACTGCCCGTCTTTGCAGGCCTGGACCGTGACATCGCTCTCATTCCATCCGAGTTTTGCCAGCAGATCGGCCTTTATCCGTTCGAGGTCTTGACAGTCTGCCTGGACAGCAACAATCTTGCCAGTGGCGTCGACGCAGACGACAGTTTTGTGCAGGATTTCCAGCTCAGCAAGCGTCTTTGAGTGCACAAAGGTGCCCCAGAACAGCCTTGGGCCAGGAAGGTGTCCAACTGTGCCGGCCAGGCCATGCGGTGGCGAGTCACCAAGGTCGCCCATCTCTCGTGGAAAGAAACAATAATTGGTTGTTGTTAAACTGATTCTCTCGGAGGTCGCAACTCCTCTCCCACAATGCGTGTAACTCGGCGGCAGCAAGAGAGATATTGCCGGTCCAGCCCCAGCTCTATCTGTCAAAGAAGATTGATTGTTGTCTCGGACAAGTAACGCAGACTCCGGCAGCACACAAGAAAGAAGGACAATCAACGGGGGGAGGAGGGGCTCATCAATAAATGTCTCAATGCAATCCGTGCGTCTGCTGTTCAACTCGACTTTCCCCGTCTCCTGGATTCATCAATTTTGTTGACGCAATGCTGTGGGGGTTTCAATGCCGTGCAGACAGTTGTGCCAGTACCTCGGCGGCAGGCGGCGGTGCGGGCTGGACTTCAGCTGTAAGGAGAACTAGCTGGCTGTCGGCGCGTGCCGATGATAGCCCCAGTGATAAGACCTGGATGCGGCCGAGTCAGCCGAGTGACCCGCTGATGCGTCTTGGGGGGGGGGGGGGGGGCTGTCAGCCTAATAATGACAGACAGGAGGACACCACCAACCCAACTTCATCTGGGACCTTCTAGACCCTTTGCCTCTTCTTATGGATGGATGGATGGATGGATGGATGGACTGTGGGTTTTCCCTGGCAGGCCCTGTAACACCTAGCATTTGAGATGGCGGTATGGTTTGAACCACACACACACCTCGCTAAACAAAGGCGAATCAAGGTCACCGGCCACGCTGGTAACCGCGGCGATCCTGCACACAAACCTATCGCCCAGCGCCGACTAATAGGTTGTCTACCATCTCACAGACTCAACCTTAAAAAGGATGTTCGCCATGGAAAGGCCCTAGACTGATCGCGTCCGCCTCTGCATCTGCACCTGTCATACCCTGTGCGAAGGTACTGAGTAACACTGGCGATCAAAAGTACGACGACAAGACGGAGAACTTGCTACGGAGCCGGGCCCGTCAGACGTGCGTCGGCAAATTGTCACAGATGAGTCAAGCTGCTGCCTCTGTAGTAGCGCTGCCAGAGTTGAAACTTCCAAAACAAATTCATTAAATACGTTTGCGACTGTCTAAGTTCTGATCAACGCGAGAGTCCCATCATATATCTAGTAGAGAAGCGACACGCGCGTATCTGCGCACCAAACAAATCCTCCATGCTATGAGTGATTGAAATAATACAGCCACGTTCCCAATGGATCTCGTACACCCGCTGCTCACGGGCGCTCATTCTCCTTCTCCCAACTCCGGCGTAGAGCTCGACTCCACGACTGCAGGTGAGGACCAGCCGACTAGGCCTCGACGCCATTGACACCATTCTCCTCGGCCTCGCCGTCAACCCCATTGCTCAGTCCCGCCGCCAGCGCCGCACCGCCGTCCTGCTGGTACTTCTCCCAGTTGGCCAGAACGTTGCCGATCCTCGGCGAGTTGGTCAGCCGGTACACATCCTCAAAGTACTCCTTGGTGAGGGCAAAGGGCTTGGCCGTCACGTTGGGAATGTACTTGCCAACCAGCTTGGCAGGGTCGATGGTCGTCTTGTTGATCTTCTTGAGCAGGAACGAACGGAAAGGCTTGACACCGCTTCGCAAGAAGGTCGAGTGGAAGGGCACATCGATGCCACGGAGGGGAATCGTGGCGTAGCCGCGCTCCAGCTCCACGGGCTGGGGCTTGGCCTCCGTCTTCTTCGCAGCACCCTGGATAATCTCGCGCAGGTGCTCCTTGACCTCCTCGATGGTGAGCTCCGAGAGCAGTTGCTCAATGTCGATCTTCTGGACCTTGATAAAGTTGGTGACGTTTGCCAGAGTGTCCAGAGCGCGCAGATCACCAGCACACACGTATTGCATGTTGGCAATGTTGTAGTTGACAATCTCCAAGAGCCACCCAGTCTCCTCGGCGATGCTAGAGACGACAAACCGGAGCGCCTCCTCGTTGAAAGTCTTGGAGATCCTGCTCGGGTTGACGGCGCACATCGAGTAGTTCGAGCGGCCACTGGCGTCGCGCTCGACAGCGACTTGCATCGTCAGACCACGGTAGAACACGACAGACACCAACGACTCGATGGGCATGACATCAGCTAGAGCAGCCAATGCCGAGTATTCACCGAGCGAGTGACCAGCGAAGGTGCTATCGCGAGGCACCAATCCCTTAGCCTTCATGTCCTCGAAGCTGGCCTTCTCCATCAGCGTCAGCGCTGGCTGAGTGAATTGGGTAGCCGAGAGAAGACCCGTGGGCGAGCGGTACGTGTACGAGGGAGTCGACTCTGTGATGTCCTTGAAGATCCTCTCCGACTTGATAGATCCGTCGGCAGCGACCGTCTCGAAGGTCATGGCCATGTAGTTCTGTCGGATCGCCTTACCACGAGGGCCACCAAAGTGGATGGTGAGCTCCTTGGGGTTGTTCTTGACGATGTTGGTGATTGCGAAACCTAGATCTAGTTAGTGACGGACAACAGGTGAGGGTGCAGTCATCTCTCAACTTACCATATGTGCTCATGAGGTACTTGTCAGCACGGTCCCAGACTTCCTTGGCCACAGGGCTGCTGTTGTACAAGTCCATACCCATACCCTGCTCCTGAGAGCCTTGACCAGTGAAGATGTAAGCAGTAATAGGCTGCTCAATCTCGGCCTCGCCAAGCAGGACCTTCTCCTCGCTCTCCTTGTTGCTGGCCTCGACCTTGATGATCTTGCGACCGCCAATCATACCCACGTGCTGAAGCCTGACCTCGATGTCGTCGTTGGGCAAGACCATGCCGACCAAGTCAGCATGGAAGCTGCGCACGCGGCCGACGTTGTTCTCCGCTGCCCAGGTCTCGACCAGACTGCGGACCGCCGCGCTCGAGTACATGCCGTGGGTAATCGTGCCAGGGAGGTCGGCATAGTTGGCAAAGACACGCGAGACGTGGATGGGGTTGTAGTCACCCGAGACACGAGCATACGTCTCGTTGGAGGCAGGGGCGCGGAGAAGAAGGGGGTCCTTTCCGCTCAACGGGATAGGGTTCTCAAAGTTGACGGGCTGCTCAATGGCAGAGCCTTGTCTCTCCAAGTAGTCAATCACGGGGTTGCCGTGAGAGGTGCCTGCCTCGTACTCGACACTGGCGACCTGGACGATCTCCTTGGTGGGCAGTTCCAGCAAGACTTGGCCGCGAGTCTCGACGCTGCTGAAGACGGTGCGGTTCTTGAACTTGACCAGGGTCTGCAGACGGAAGGTAAGAGTCTGGCCGAGTAGCTCAACGTCCTGTTGCTCATCAAGAACGAACCACTGCTTCGAGCGAAGAACAGCGACGTCCTTGTCGGTAGCAAGGTGCAGCTGCATGGGCTTCTCAACCTTGCGCTGGAAAGTGTTCTCGAAGTCGGTGTAGACGCCACGGTAAAGGAATTGGGACGTGACCTCCATCACAGGCTCGTCATCACGAGTGATGGTACCGCACACCTCGACCATCTTGCCGGCCTCCTGGTTGATCACAGCATTGATCTGAGCCGTAGTTTGGACCTCGTCACCCTTCTTCAGGGGCTCAGCTCCGGGAATCATGCGGAACTCGTTCGACAGATGCACCAGCTTCAACAGATCACCGTCAATGGTTCGCGGGAAGATGGGCTTGGTGATGGCTTTCCACCCGACGACGATGGCGAAATCCATGGGGGCGTATGTGATCTTGCCGGGCCGGTCAACAAAGGCCTCGCCTGTGTTGCCGACTGCGTAGACGAAGTCATTGATGGCTTCCCCGGTCACGGTGGAACGACCACCGTCGAACTTGCCCGTGACTTGGGCGTCAAGATCAAGCTTCTCATCGGCAAACCACGCACGCCAGTAGAACTCCTTGATGCGATCATTGCGACCCTCCATGATCTCATGAATGGGTGCATATCCGGCCTCGGGCTTGTACGTGAACTTGAGCGGAAGAGCGACGGGCTTGCCAAGGGCGGTGGTGTCCTTGATGAGGTTGACCAAGATTTCATTCTTGCCAACAAGCTTGACGTTGATGACCTCCACATACTGGTTGTGGCGCGGCTGCTCCTTGACGATGATCTCGGTCTTCTCAGGGTTGTTCGGGTATCTGATCTCCACGTAGAGTCCGCGGTGAGGTGCAAAAATCCGCTTCATCGGGTTGGTTTGGTACTTTTTACCGTGGACAACGACCTCGGATAGCAACAGGGCGTGACGCCAGCACGGGTTGGGGCCGGCAAGGAGGGAGAGCCAAGCCTCCACGGAAGGAAGCTGGACAGTCGGCGACGACGAGAGGCGATAGGTGTTCTTGTGCTCATCATACGACTCGGTAAGGGCTTCAGAGTTGAGGGGGACCTCAGTCTCAATCAGCTTGCCACCAAAGTACTCGATGGTGGGGATGAGAGACTCGTCACCCTTGTACTTGTCCTTGAGAAGGCCAGCGATGTGCGCCTCGTGGATGTTGTCAAGGATACTCTTGACCGGCTCATCAATGACAGTTGAGAACTTGGCGGCCATAGGCCCCTGGAGGATACAGGTACGGCCAACATCCTGGTCGACGACGGCGGCAAGGTCCTCGGACTGCCACAGCGAGTCCTTCTTGAAGTAGAACTCAAAGTTGGCGTCAAAGGCAGGGACGAAGTTCACCGGTTTCTGGATCGGGCGCATGCACAGCATGAGGAAGTGCTGCACATCCTGAGCATTGATAATCTGGGTCTCAGCCTCAGGGTAGTGGGCAAGGATCCGCTCCACGGTAGAGAACGGCTCGTGCAGGTCAGAGTAGTTCTGGAGAAGGGAGTGCTGGCCCGACTGAGACGTAAAGCGCTCCTCGACACGGTGGATGAAGTCACCGGTGAGCCTCTCGTAGGTGGGGTCAATCCAGCGGTTCTCATGCTTGACGTACATCAGCTCGACCATGCGGCGGACGACCTCACCATAGGTCATGTCTTCCAGGTCAACAGCTTCGCCAGCCTTGTTGCGGCCGAACCAAGTCTTCTGAGAGTCCTCATTGAGCCTCTTGATGTAGTAGTCTCGGTTCTTCTTGAGCTCAATGATGCGCTTCTCCTTGGGCAGGCTGAAGATCTTCTGATCCAGCTCCGCCCAGAACCTGACACCACGAGTAGCAAGCTTGTGGATGGGCTCGCCCATCTCGGATCGGACAGTAAGGACACCACCAGTAGGGCCCTTGTAGGTCTTCTCCCAGTCCTTATCCTCGACACCTTCGGCAGCAATAATTGCCTCTTTGGCGGCCTTGCTGGTGTGTGCCTCCTTGGCAACCATCATGCGGCTACCAAAGAGACAGCCATCGAAGGGCATGGGAGGGTAGCCATACTTCTTGGACCACTCACCCGTGAGGTACGGGTAGGTGTCTTCGGCACCACCAAAGCCACTGCCGGCAACAAGGATGATATTGCTCCTGCGACGAATGCGACCGTACATGTTGAGAATAGGCTGATGGAAATCCTCGAAAGAATGATGACCACCACCGCGACCTCCAGTCCACTGCAGGAAGACAGGGAATGTGGGGTTCGCCTTGGCGATGTTGATAACAGCCTGGATAGCGTCCATTGAGCCCGGCTTGAAGGAGATGTGCTTGAGGCCCAGAGTTTGAATGTACTCCTGAGCGACCTCGATAGATGGCACACCGGCACCAATGGTGAGACCCTCGATGGGCACACCTTCAGCACGCAGCTTGCCAATGAGGGGGATCTGCCAGGCCATGGCCGCGGGGTTCACGTAGATCAGGTTGACGCTGATGCCCCGGCCGGCCGGGATGGCCTTCTCAATCTTGAGCAAGGCGTCGGTCATCATGGGAGCCATGAAGTAACCACCACCTGCAAGCTCAATCTGGTACCCGGCATTCATGGTGGCCGCAACGAAATCCCATGGGACCGTTGCGGGTGTCATACCAGCCACCACAATGGGCGGCAGACCCAAGACTCTGCTCATCTTTGTGTCGACATAAGTGCGACCACCCGTGGTCTTGACAAGTCTAGGGCCATATTCTCGAACCCAGTCAATGGCAAACTTGACTGCATGCTCTTCGTCCCTATCAAAGAGCTCTGGCTTGTAGCCAACCTCGGTGACACTGCCAGAAACGGAACCGGCCAGGATTACGCGCACACCGGTGCCATCCTTGTTGCGGCTGGTGAGAATACCCAGTCCTGAAATGCCCCCGGGGCCGAAATCGAGAATGTGGGTAGCTTCAGGGAAGACAGTGGCCTTCTCCCAGTAGACTGGGTCCCTCGTGATGAGGCGAATAAGGGTGGGGACAATGTTGCCCTCAACTTCCTCGCGGAGGTCCTTCCCAGTGTTGGTGTCAAACACAGGGGTGCCCAGATTCTTCGCGTCGATGCGAATGTCCTTAAGGTCCTCGTCGATGAGGGTCGTAGCCTCCTTGAGGTACTGGCTGTGGAAGGGAGCGGTAATAGGCAAGAATCGGTTGACGAAGCGAACCTTACGCTCGGTGTGGGGAATGCGGTTCTGATCGAGACCGGTAGGGGCCTTCACTTTGCGCAGCTGCAGGTTGAGACCGTACAGAGAAATGGGTGGGCCCGTGACCACGAGGTTACGGGGGCTGTTGATCAGAGAAATGCTGATGTGACGGTCAGGAGGGAGGTACTGGTTGGTGGCATCAATGTGCTTCTGCACCTCGGCTTGCGAGAGATCGCGAATGCTCAGCATGGGAGTAGGAGTACCCTCGCCGTTGTCGATGGAATCACGGAGCATTGAAGGTGTCATGGAGGTCCTGGGGAAGACCTGCTGGCTGCGAGTACCAATCCAGAAGAGGATGGTCAAAGCCGACTTGGCGATCTCGCCGAAGCTCTCCCAAGAGTCGGCAGCGGCAGTTGCAGCAGCCATGACTACACCCTGAGAGTGGCCGGTCGCACCACGTATCCTCTCACGGAGGATACCGGGGTGAATGCCGAGGACCTTGCAGGTAACAGCATAGTGGCAGAGTTGGACCAAGCCGATGAGGGGGAAGCTGACGGGCGCCGAGACAAGGTAGTCCAGGTCAGGCGTGGTCTCGGGATGACGCAGCCAGTTCATCACGTCAAGTCCTTTGGCGAAGAGCTTGACAGCACTGGGCTCCCTGGCGAGGTTCTGCAGCAGCTCGGCGGACGAGGCAACGGCATCGGCGACAAAGGAGGGATAGGTCTCATACAGCTCACGAAGCTCCTCAAAGTACTCCTCAATGTTTCCTTGGCCTCCGAAGATGCTGTAAAGCCTTGCTGAGCCGTCATCAGCAGCTCTGAAGAGGGCCGACTCGTGTGGCCTGATGCTCCTGTTTGTGACGGAGCGGGCAGCGAAGTAGCTGCGGATCACCTCGAGCTTCTTGGCATCAATGCCGGGGAGGGTGGCGACCAAAGCGTGCACTTCGTTGCCTCGGAGGAAGGCCCGCTCAAACTCGTTCAAGATGAGCTTGAGGACCTCCTCGTAGGAACCCTGGGCATCATCCTCGCCTTCCTCGACCTCGTGAGCAACGAAGCCCATGTACCTGGCGACGAGCTCAGCAACGGAGGAGGGCTCGTCATCTTGAGCGAGCTCGTCAGTCGGAGCGGGCAAGCTGGCAGCGAAGCGCTCCTTCAGTTGGGAAGCGTGGAAGTGAAGGCTGGTCGGTACAAGAAAGGAGGTCTCGAGAGAGCCATGCGAAATGGTCAAGGGGCGGAGCGAAGCCGAAGACCTGGGTGTCGAGACACCGGTCTGAGGACCGGTTCCGGTGCCGTACATTGCAAAGGGGGTATCGCGTGCACAAGTCTATATTCGTGACGACTGGAAGAACAATGTTAGCTTGGCCATCCCCGATATCGTGAGCCTGACGCTCGACGGGTGACTTACAAAAAGAAAGAGACTCCGGGTACTCAGCAAAGAGCAGGAGCCCGTTGTGGTACAAGTCTACACTGCCTGCAATGGCAGAGCCGCCTGGTTCAAGATCCCAAGACGACAGAGTATTAGTTCTAGAGTGATGCACTCCGGATTATGGAAGCGGCGGTAGGAGAAGAAGCTGCCAGCCTTGGGATGGAGAGAAGTCAAGGGACAGGCAGGAAGAGTGCGGAATGATGGAGGAAGAGAGATGCGACGAAGAAGGCCAGGATAGCTTCAATTGACCTCGAGGGACAAGGGAAAGAATTGGTTTCACGCTTTTTTCTCTTTTGCTTGTCACCAAGCCCGGCGAAGGATAGTAATCTTTTCGGATGGATGGCGATAACCACAAAAAAGGGCCCAACAGTAAAATTAACCGACTCTCCGACTGAGACCGACTGGGGGGGTAACGTAGCTCCCAACTCGCCAAAATTTTTAGTTTCTTGTTGGGGGAAGCTGTAATGCAGCTAATCCCGCTCGAACGATTGGATCCCTGTGGCGACGGGACCCCTAGTGGGAGAAATTTTGGGACTGGAGGGGTGGGAAATGGAGAATATGGAGGGTGTCTCGTTTTTACCAGGGCCCTTACCGTAGTGGCACAGGAGGGTAAAATAGCGTGAATAGCTGGAGGGATGCAGGCAGACAGAGGCCGCAACCGCCTGGACTCGCCCTCCAACTAACCCGTGTTGTCCCGCCCTATGGCCAGAATGGAGGCGTGGAGGGTCGACTTGGCCCCACCCTCCCGCTGTTGCAGGCGCTGGGGCCGGTGACAGTCAGGTACTGGTACTTATGCAAGCCGTTGTTGAGGCTGGAAACGTCGCGTACGCAACCAAGATGGTACAACACCACAGCTCGATGTCCTAGACACTCACCGTACTATTATCACGATCTGGATGCCATACTGCACTGGATTCAACCTGAAGTGGACAGCTTGGCATCATTGGATCCATTCTTGATACACGGTCGACTCGGATTTACCCCATGCGAGTCGGTTCTCCAGTTCACCTCCGAGCGGAGCAAGCTCGCTCAAGCAGGCACATCTCTGGAAGACATCTCAACCTCTTGCATCATCTTGATTACTTGACCAAGGGAGCTACCTGCCGGCCCTTGAAGAATGCCCGTGCCCCTCACACCTCGGGGTACTCTTACCTGTCCCAGACGGACACTAAGATTAGCACTACCGAGCGATCACTCCCTGCGGCCGTCTCCCGAGCTCGCCTTATCAGTGCCACACCTTGCTAAGATGTAACGGGATCGTATCCATGCCTTGTAACTACCTACCTATACCTAGGTAGTCTTGTAGATATGGGTGTTTGTGCCATTTGCCCATTGTGGATTTGCAAGGATAAGTGAAGAGGTTCCAGGTTGATGGCAGTGGAATCGTGCCTTGAGCCTCTGCAGTTAGATCATATCAAAATCCCACGAGATGCAAGACTGGTGTCTCTGCTGCTGAACATCTGCCTATTTCATCAATTGGGGTAGGCTGGAGAGCTCTCTGTGTTGATCATCAACTTGTTGGTGATAGTCTTGTCGTTGTTGTTGACTTGTCTCTACGAAGTATGAGGAATACATTTCTCGGTATTCTTGATATGGCCATCATGAGGATACACTGTTAGTCAACGAAACATTTCGCGGTCCATTGAACCTCAATGGAATCGTCCACGTTTCATCATGCAGAGGCAGGCGTTGAGCATTTGTTATCAACAACATAGCTCTATGCATTAGTGTAATACCACTGAGTGTTGGAGTCTTCGAAATGTTGGATAAGATGCCGCTGGTGCAAGGTTGCGGTACCTACCGGCGGGGGCTCCCATACCAACCCAGGTTGGATACAGCTGGCGCCAGAGGCTACTGCAAGTTTAACTCTGATCACGACGTGGCAGGCCGGGTTCTTCGAGAAGGGAAGACCAGGGCAGACTGTAGTTTGCAGCTGGGACCGTCTGAAGAGTTGGATCAGGTACCTAGTCTAGGTACTTGGCGGGATGGTTTGGAGCTCGTTGTATCGGCGTGATTTCCAACCCGAGACTCGGGTGCTTCACATAATAGGGAAACGCTTTTGCAGTAGCAGCAACAATGGCTGATGAATACGGGCAAGTTAATGATGTCGTGTCAAGAACATCGCCTAGGTACCTACTCCATACCTAGGTATGTGCGGTTGAGAGTGGATGTTCTCAAGATTCTGTACTGCCACCTTTACTGTCCTTGAAAGTCCAACAGATGCGTAACCCGTCTGAAGCGGGAGGTACCGGTACAAGTGCCGCGTGGGTAGTGTCGAATGAAATTCCAGCTCACCCTTGCAGAGGACGCCAGAAGCCCATCATCACTTACGTGTGGGGAAGCGACCCCTGGCCAGACCATGCCGCATCAAGACTAGCGGGCTCAGTTTGGTTGAGGAGTAGTGGCAGCTCTGGTGCATCTGGCCAGGGGTGGCGCATCGTTCAACAGTTGTTGGAAGCTCTCGACTTTTTTTCTAGGCCCGCTTCGACAGGTACACACCCCCCTTTGCGAAGGTGCCAGGATCTTGCACCCCAAAAAAAAGTTCAATGGGACGACTCTGATATCACTGATCCCTGAAATCTACGCTCTACAAGTGGACGAAGACAGAACGGCTCCGGGTTGTCCCCTTTGAAAAATCTCCTCGGGGCCAATCTCTTGAGACCAGGCGCACCGACAGCTGCGAAGTACACAGAGACACAACCACCACCACCACCACCAACATTGAACACACCAATTGACCGGCCCGTTTCTTCCCCAACCCGTCAAACTCCGTTTCTTCCTTCTGCCCGCTGTGTTGCTTCTTCTTCCCCAGGCAGCTTCAGCTCTTTTGTCTTCTTCCCTGTACTCTTTCCCTTCCTCTTGTAACATCCTCTCTCCCTATCGACCTCGAGTTGAGTAGACACGACCCTTCCTCTACTCGCTCCCTCTTCCCTTCCTACTACATACCTAGGAGGTGTCCAACCTCCCTGCCTTGTCGACATAGACCTCGAGGGCATACATTCGCATGAGGTGATCTCCCACCACACATAGACACACGATACCCGGGAGCACATCAGACCTCATCTTGGACTTTTTGCTTGGTTTGCATCAATTGCTGTTGTAATTCAGGCAGGATGAGGCCCGAAATCGAGCAGGAGCTCGCGCACACGCTGCTCGTCGAGCTGCTTGCCTACCAGTTCGCATCTCCCGTCAGATGGATCGAAACCCAAGATGTCTTCCTCGCTGAGAAGCTTGCTGAGCGCATTGTCGAAATCGGTCCCGCCGAGACCCTTGGTGTCATGGCCAAGCGGACACTCGCCTCCAAATACGAAGCCTACGATGCCGCAAAGTCGGTGCAACGACAGATTCTATGCTACAACAAGGATGCCAAGGAGATCTACTACGACGTAGATCCCGTCGAGGAGGAGCCAGAGCCTGCAGCAGAGAGCTCGTCCAGTGGTTCTGCCCCGGCCGCCGCGGCTCCCGCTGCCGCTGCTGCTCCGGTAGCTGCTGCACCCGCACCCAGCGCGGGACCTGCCGCGCAGGTGCCTGATGCGCCCGTGCAGGCCGTTGAGATTGTCCGGGCCCTGATCGCCCAGAAGCTCAAGAAGCCATACCTGGAGATTCCACTCAGCAAAGCCGTGAAGGACTTGGTTGGTGGTAAGTCGACATTCACGAGCCCGTTCCACTCACCCCATTTGTACTAACTGGCTGGCCTGCAGGTAAATCGACGCTTCAAAACGAGATCCTCGGCGACTTGGGCAAGGAGTTCGGCTCTACCCCTGAGAAGCCCGAGGATACCCCTCTCGACGAGCTCGGTGCGGCGATGCAACAGACCTTCGACGGAAACCTCGGCAAGCAGTCACAAGCTCTGATTGCTCGTTTGATCTCGTCAAAAATGCCTGGCGGTTTCAACATTACAGCTGCGCGCAAATACTTGGAGACGAGGTGGGGTTTGGGCTCTGGCCGTCAAGATGGCGCCCTGCTGCTCGCCATCACCATGGAGCCGGCCTCGCGTCTCGGCTCCGAGGCTGACGCAAAGGCTTTCTTGGACGATGTCACACAGAAGTACGCTGCTAACGCCGGCGTCACTCTCTCGACTGCTGCCGCTGCCGGCCCTGCCACTGGCGGAGGCGGCGGCATGATGATGGACCCCGCTGCCATTGATGCCCTCACCAAGGACCAGCGGGCGCTCTTCAAGCAGCAGCTCGAGCTTTTGGCACGCTACCTCAAGATCGACCTTCGCTCTGGGGACAAGGCTTTCCAGGCCTCGCAGGAGTCTTCGAAGATCCTGCAGTCTCAGCTCGACCTCTGGGCAGCCGAGCACGGCGATTTCTACGCCGCTGGTATCGAACCCGTCTTCAGCCCTCTCAAGGCCAGGGTGTACGACTCATCCTGGAACTGGGCCAGACAAGACGCTCTTAGCATGTACTATGATGTCATCTTCGGCAGGCTCAAGGCCGTCGACAGAGAGATTGTCAGCCAGTGTATTCGCATTATGAACCGCTCCAACCCTACTCTCTTGGAGTTCATGCAGTACAACATCGACAACTGCCCAACTGAGCGTGGCGAGACGTACAAGCTTGCCAAGGAGCTTGGTATCCAGCTCATCGAGAACTGCAAGGATGTGCTGAACGTCGCTCCTGTATTCAAGGATGTTGCAGTCCCTACTGGACCTCACACGACCATCGACGCTCGGGGCAACCTCAGCTACGAGGAGATTCCCCGCCCTAGCTGCCGCAAGCTGGAGCACTACGTGCAGCAGATGGCCGAGGGCGGCAAGATTTCCGAGTACGGAAACCGCACCAAGGTGCAGAGCGACCTGTCTCGTATCTATAAGCTCATCAAGCAGCAACACAAGCTCTCAAAGACGTCGCAGCTCGAGATCAAGTCGCTATACGCTGACGTTCTTCGTTCGCTCGCCATGAACGAGAACCAGATCATCCCCAAGGAGAACGGGAAGGCTAATGGCCTTGCCAAGCGAAGCGGCCTGAAGGCCAACGGAAATGGTGCCAAGGGCAAGGTCGAGACCATTCCCTTCCTTCACATCCGTAGCCAATCCTTGCACGGCTGGGACTACAACAAGAAGTCGACCGGTGTCTACCTTGACTGCTTGGAGCAGGCCGCTCGATCTGGTGTCAGCTACCAGGGCAAATACGTCCTCATGACTGGAGCTGGTGCCGGTTCCATCGGTGCCGAAGTTCTTCAGGGCCTCATCAGTGGTGGCGCACATGTTATCGTCACCACCAGCAGATACTCGCGCGAGGTCACTGAATACTATCAGGCCATGTACGCTAGGTACGGTGCTCGTGGCTCGCAACTCATCGTGGTTCCCTTCAATCAGGGCAGCAAACAAGATGTCGAGGCCCTGGTCAACTACATTTACGACACCAAGACCGGTCTTGGCTGGGATCTTGACTACATCGTACCCTTCGCTGCTATCTCGGAGACTGGTCGCCAGATTGACGGCATTGACTCCAAGTCTGAGCTGGCTCACAGGATTATGTTGACCAACCTGCTTCGTCTGCTCGGGTCTGTCAAGACTCAGAAGGCCGAGCGCGGGTTTGAGACTCGCCCGGCCCAAGTTATCCTCCCTCTGTCGCCCAACCACGGTACTTTCGGCAGTGACGGTCTCTACTCCGAGTCCAAGCTCGGCCTGGAGACTCTCTTCAACAGGTGGCACGCTGAGGACTGGTCTGATTACCTGACCATTTGCGGTGCTGTCATCGGCTGGACCCGTGGCACTGGCTTGATGTCGGGCAACAATATTGTTGCTGAGGGCGTCGAGCGTTTTGGTGTTCGCACGTTCTCCCAGCAGGAGATGGCCTTCAACTTGCTGGGTCTGATGTCTCCTGCCATTGTTGATCTTTGCCAGACGCAGCCGGTTATGGCTGACCTGAACGGTGGTCTTCAGTTCATTCCCAACCTCAACGACGTCATGACCAAGCTCCGCAAGGACATCATGCAGACAAGCGAGGTCCGCAAGGCTGTCAGCAAGGAGACAGCTATTGAGAACAAGATTGTCAACGGCGCCAGCTCCGAGACTCTCTACAAGAAGAAACTTGTTGAGCCCCGCGCCAACATCAAGTTCGACTTCCCCAACCTTCCTGACTGGAAGAACGATATCGCGCCTCTCAATGACAATCTCAAGGGCATGGTTGATCTCGAGAAGGTGGTTGTTGTCACTGGTTTCGCCGAGGTCGGACCTTGGGGTAACTCGCGCACTCGCTGGGAGATGGAGGCTTATGGCGAGTTCTCTCTCGAGGGCTGCGTCGAGATGGCTTGGATTATGGGCCTGATCAAGAACCACAACGCTCCCATCAAGGGCAAGCCTTACTCCGGCTGGGTGGATGCCAAGACTGGTGAGCCCGTCGATGACAAGGACATCAAGCTTAAGTACGAGAAGTACATCCTGGAGCACTCTGGCATCCGACTCATTGAGCCTGAGCTCTTCGATGGCTATGACCCGAACAACAAGCAACTGCTTCACGAGGTTGTCATCGAGGAGGATCTCGATCCCTTCGAGGCCTCCAAGGAGACCGCAGAGGAGTTCAAGCGTGAGCACAAGGACAAGGTTGAGATCTTTGAGATTCCAGAGAGCGGGGAGTACACTGTGCGCATGAAGAAGGGTGCTGCTCTTTGGATCCCCAAGGCGCTGCGCTTCGACCGACTCGTTGCTGGTCAGATCCCCACTGGCTGGGACGCGAAGCGCTACGGCATTCCGGACGACATTATCTCCCAGGTCGATCCCGTGGCTCTCTTCGTTCTGGTCTCAACGGTGGAGGCCCTTCTGTCGGCTGGTATCACCGATCCTTACGAGTTCTACCAGTATGTCCACGTTTCCGAGGTCGGCAACTGTGTCGGCTCTGGTATGGGTGGTGCGGCAGCTCTTCGTGGCATGCACCGCGACCGCTTCCTGGACAAGCCTCTGCAGAACGACATTCTTCAAGAGTCCTTCATCAACACCATGTCCGCGTGGGTTAACATGCTCCTGCTCTCATCTTCTGGACCTATCAAGACGCCAGTCGGTGCTTGCGCCACTGCTGTCGAGTCAGTTGACATTGGTTACGAGACCATCATGGAGGGCAAGGCTCGTGTCTGCTTCGTCGGTGGTTTCGATGACTTTGGCGAGGAGGGTTCGTACGAGTTCGCCAACATGAAGGCCACTAGCAATGCTATTGACGAGTTTGCTCACGGCCGTACGCCCAAGGAGATGTCTCGCCCTACTACCACCACCAGAAACGGCTTTATGGAGTCGCAGGGATGTGGTGTTCAGGTTATCATGAACGCGAAGCTTGCGCTTGACATGGGTGTTCCCATCTACGGTATCTTGGCTCTGACCACGACCGCCTCTGACAAGATCGGCCGCTCAGTTCCTGCTCCTGGCCAGGGTGTTCTCACCACTGCTCGTGAGAATGCTGGCAAGTTCCCTTCGCCGCTGCTTGACATCAAGTACCGTCGTCGCCAGATTGAGCTGCGCAAGAGGCAAATCAGCCAGTGGAAGGAGTCCGAGTTGGAGTACCTGTCTGATGAGGTCCAGGCCATGAAGGCTCAGGCCCCCGAGGGCTTCGATGAGAAGTCCTACGCTGCGGACCGCGCTCACCACATCGAGAAGGAGGCTGCTCGGCAAGAGAAGGAGATGCTCCGTGCTCTGGGCAACAACTTCTGGAAGGGTGACAACAGCATCGCACCTCTCCGTGGTGCTCTGGCTACCTGGGGTCTTACCATCGACGACCTGGGAGTTGCTTCCTTCCACGGTACCTCGACCAAGGCCAACGATAAGAATGAGTCTTCCGTCATCTGCCAGCAAATGGCCCATCTTGGCCGCAAGAAGGGCAATGCAGTCCTCGGTATCTTCCAGAAGTACCTCACTGGTCACCCCAAGGGTGCTGCTGGTGCCTGGATGATGAACGGCTGTCTGCAGGTCCTCAACACCGGCCTGGTCCCCGGCAACCGTAATGCCGACAATGTCGACGAGGTCATGGAGAAGTTTGACTACATTGTCTACCCCAGCCGCAGCCTGCAGACGGATGGCATCAAGGCCTTCTCCGTCACCTCGTTCGGTTTCGGTCAGAAGGGTGCTCAGGCCATTGGTGTCCACCCCAAGTATCTCTTTGCTACTCTCGATGAGCAGACGTACCAGGCATACTGCGCCAAGGTCAGTGCCCGACAGAAGAAGGCCTACCGCTACTTCCACAACGGCATGATCAACAACACCATCTTTGTTGCCAAGGCCAACGCGCCCTACACGGACGAGCAGCTCAGCTCGGTGCTCCTGAACCCCGATGCTCGTGTCTCCCAAGACAAGAAGTCGGAGCAGCTCACCTTCCCCGGTAACTTCATGAAGCTCTCGCAGAAGACCATCCCTGCCGCCGAGCAGAAGTCGACCATTGAGAAGCTTCACGAGATGGCTGCCCGCCTCGAGACCAAGAACAACAAGGTCGGCATCGACATTGAGGATGTCACTGCCATCAACATTGAGAACGAGACCTTTGTTGAGCGCAACTTCACCAAGCGCGAGGTTGAGTACTGCAGCAAGTCTGCCAACCCTCAAGCTGCATTCGCTGGACGGTGGTCCGCCAAGGAAGCCGTCTTCAAGTCCCTTGGAGTTGCCAGCAAGGGCGCTGGCCAGCCCCTGAAGGACATTGAGATTCTAAGGAACGAGAACGGTGCTCCCATTGTTTCGGTAAGTCACGCAGACCCAGCATGGTGCAAACAAGGATTGCAATAACTAACTCGCTACCTAGCTCCACGGCGATGCTGCTGCCGCTGCCAAGAAGGCTGATGTGAAGGAGGTGAACGTTTCCATCTCTCACTCTGACAGCCAGGCCATTGCCATTGCTGTCGCTACTTTTTGAGAGGATCATTGCTCTGGGCGTCTTGATACATGACATGTAATGCTGTGCACCATACTTCATTCGTTCCGTGGGATTTGAGACAAGACGGGATACGAGGTTGCGCTCGTCGTTATACATGTATCTTAATTATTATTTAGAAATAGCCGGATCAATGGTTGATACAAGGCTTAGACAAGACTCTGAACAGAATGTTTACGAACTCAAGTTCTCCCCTCCTGTGGCTGAACAGTGATGTCTGAATCTCTCGATGTTGACTTTCGATACTCCTCACTTGGACCAGTCTCTCATCATTGGATACATTGCTTGCCGACGGTGCGCGGCGGAACTGACCTACCTAGGTAGCCTAAGCTCGGTGCCTGCTTGGAGAGAAGAAGAACAGAGGCTGACACATCAGCACGTGAGATATTCAGGCTTACAGGGTCATCTTTCTCCCAAGAAGGGGCAGAAGGACCTGCCGCCGGCCTCTCCGTCCCGAGCATCTCGATCGGAAGGGATGGTAACGTCAGGGGACAACTTTTGCCCTTTACCTTGGTAATCGGGCATGTGTGTACCCTGATTTTCGGGGGAGTCGGGGGGGTTGCGTATCGCACCTGACCGATGCCCAAAGCAGAGGACGATGGGGAGGACGAGGGACGAGGAGAAAGCATGACATTGGTGGGAGTGAGGCCCGAAGAAAGGGCCTGTTTCGCTCTGTCAGCCACACAAGCCAGCTCAGCTCAAATCACGGGAGGAAGGGCCATGGAAAAGCCCGGGTGCGCGGAAGAAATACGTGGTCTTTCTTCACCATTGCCAGCAGGTCGAACTCGAGATATGACTCCTCATCAGTCGATTTGTCGCTGCTTGCTGGCTGGCTGGCTGGCTGGCTCCAGTGGACACAATGCTTACAGTCATCATGCCGTGGCGGCTTACAAAAGCTGATTTTTCATTCTTCTCCTCATCCCTTTCCTTCCGCTCGGCAATGCTGATTATCTCGCTTTGCAACGGCGCTCCCGCTCCTCTCCTCTCCTCTCCTCTCCTCCGCAAAAGAGCGAAAAAAGGGGTGGGGTGGAGGGAGAAGGAAGGACTCCCTTTGGGCCTTTCTTTGGTGGCTTGCATGCGTTCGCTTTTGCCCTCCCCCGTGTGCGTGGGCGATGGCGAGGCGATAAACAGGCCATGATCGGAGAGCTGAACATCCCATTCCCCCATCCCCCCCCCAAACTCCGACCACCACCACCACCACCGCCCACTACCCGCGACCAACCGCCATACTTTGCCGTCTGTTGCATGCAGCAAAACGAGATGCAAGTCAGGTAGCGAGGGAGGGTAGGGAGGATGGGAGGCAGCGCAGGCAGGTAGGCGAAAGGGAACGAACAGGCGCATCGCTGGCTTTCCCGGGCCCTACGGCCAAATTCCTACTGGAAGGGAAGGAAGCCAGACACACACACACACACACACACACACACACACACACACCCTTGATGAAACGCTCCCTCCTCGACGATCTAGTGTGGAGCAGACGATCGAGAGGAGACAATCTCCCCCAAGAATGCTCGACTCCAAATATCCCACGTCGCTCTGCGCGGGCAAGCTCTTATTTTCTTTTCCCGTCATTTCTTTTTGGAAGAGAATGAGAAGAGCGGAAAAGTGGGCGCATTATGCGCGCTGAGTTCATCGCCTGGGGTTGATGTCACAGCAGGGACCACATCATTACGCAAAGGTACATGAGAAGAAGGAAGAAGCAGAGGAAAACACTGGAGACTCTACTGCCCAAAAGACCATCCTTCCCTTTCTCCTTTCCGAAGACCGAGGGAGTGGGAAGATTCCCCCATTGTGGGGAGACCAGTCTTGCCAGCCAGCACGAGCGAGCCATGTAGGGTGCGCAGGTGTTGCATGCAATGTACTCCACGCATGTAGATACAATGCAAGAGCCCAGTGCTGGGCCAGTAGAAACTGGACCGCACCGACGGGTGGTGGGAGCGAGGCAAGGAAAGGGTCGAGGTGGGGGGTGGTAGGGAAAGTTGGGTGCTTTGCTGGATTGATGATGTGTCGGCACAACTTCTGCTGTTTTGGGCTCTCTGCATCGAGTAGGGAGAGCTGGAGACGGGTCGGCGAGTGAGTGAAATGGAGCATAGCTCCTCTTGATCCGCGGCTTTCGTACAAAGCTCTATCGCCGTGTAAAGCTTGCGATGCCGTTGGATCCATCTGTGGTTACCTGTGGATATCGTATGCCAATGCCAATATGCTCACGCAGCTCTCGATGCCCAACGAGCACTAAATTTGCACGTCTACATTGCCCGTCTCGGCCAAATAGCTTTGCAATGATTGACCTCGCAGCGATCGAGGGAGTTTCCGATTTGGCAGGCCAAGTGACCTTGGTCCTGCTCTGGAGTGCTTCCAAGGCAACGATCAACATGCAGAACCAAGAATCCCATATATCAATGGAGCAGGCGCGTTTCACATCAGGAAGCTCTCCCGTGCGTCTGAGGAGAGACCTGCGGATCTCAAGCCGCTTACCGATCAATGAGAACGAAGCAGTCTCAACGATCGCTCAAGCGAGTTGCATCGGATGCACCTCTCATCCACAGCAAGACTGAGACAGACCTGGATTTCTGGTCTAGGTGCAGTGCAGGACCTATCGGGTACACATGGTTGTCGAGAAGTCTCTGACGTGAATTTTCCTTCCTGTTGCATTCTTCGACTGCTCGAATATGATCGTGTTGCCTGTCATTCACCACTGGATATGTGCAAGGTCCCGGCCGTACGCAACACTGACATCAGGATGCAGAAACCGTCACAAGGCCAGTCCAAATAATAGGTTCTCACAATGGAGAGCAGTTCTCTGGGCTATGATTAGCTTGAGGTCTTGTCCATCTGGATGTCTGATACTGTCCCGATTCGCAACAGTAAGAGTGTAAATCCTGCTATCGCTCTGGATCGTCGACCACAACGGCCGACGACTGCCTCCAATCGCGAAGAACAAATCTACTGTACCCCGCATTGCATCGTCGAATGGAAGCTTTTTGTAAGCACACGATACGAAAGCGCGGTGGCCATGACCCTCTGGTTGGATAGCAAAAAGTAAGACGCTGTAAGAGGGTGCCAGTCTCGTTGGAGGGTGTCAGAAGATCAACCGTCGCTCAGTACGACCATAACCGCTGTTCTGAATAAGCTCGGGGATAGCACTGTTGGATATCCACGGCGGAAGTACCCGTATGAGAGACTCTCCCACTCGCAAATGGAGTCTGCGGCGATAGTGCAGTTGATCAAAAGGGGTACGGCGTCAGATGCTGCATGGGAATCGTAGGCACAAAGTCGTTAACTTTGACGGACCGCGGGTCAGCCGGATGCTCTGTACCATGCGGCATCGGAAGGCCTGATTGAGAGTGGCATGCCTCCCACTATTCTCTCTGTCGGCATCTCTGCTGGTCGACCAGCGTATGCAGCAACCAACTTTGGAGCGCGCTGTCACCTTCGAGACTTCTCGAAGCAGCTAGAGACCAGAGCTCACACCGCCGACGGCCAACTCGTTGCGCGTCGTCCATGGCCCATTACGACTGACGCAATACTCAGTCTTGGGGCTTGCCATGGTGGTCGGAGCTGCCTGGCAGGCCAGCTCAGCAGGTATCCGCAATAGATACGCTTGAAGAGTCGTTGCGAAGCGGGCGCAGCTCGATCGGCTCGTTGCTTTGCCCAGATCCACATTCAAACCTATAAGCCATGATTGCTAGTGACGAACGCCTCATCGAATCGGAAGTGAAGCAGCTCTGAACTTGCTGCTGCGGCTTCAGTGTAGATCGCAGTGATCAGCTTCGCCTCGAAGGATGGTGCTTCCCGTATGTCATTGATGGAACCGTGCTTCGGGCATGCAGGTTGTCGTGAGCCGTTGGGTCAAGATCAACTTCGTGGGAATCAAAGAGCGGGCGGCATCGACTTCCGGAAGCTGGCAAGGACCAGGAATGCGGCAGCGGTCTGGCTGCCTTTGGCGCCTTCCAGGACTGTCCGTGTCAAGGACGAGTCTCGTTCCGTGACCCAGAGCGATGTCGGGCTGCAAAGACCCTGGTCTATTCGACAGGCCCCGGATGCACACTTTCGACATGCCCAATCGCACTGGCCACTGGAATGAATCAATGGCTGATGACGCCCTGGATCGGGAAGCGGTGCTGGCTGGACAGGCAGGGCACGCGTGTTCGCGCATTGCATTTTGCGGCCAACATGTGAAGGGCCATGCATCAACGGCCCGGGCTGGGTGACCAATGAGGACATGCCAACTGTGTGATGCAGCCCTAGTACAGTACGGCGGCACCTGCAAAGCGAAGCTGGCCACAGAAGGTAATGATTTGTGCCTCATCTCGACAAGACCTAAGCACTCCACGACGCTCTCGATCGTGGTGCAACCCCTCCCGCTTTCCAAGACGTTGAGGGCCAGGTTACAAGCGCTTGCTGCGAGACTCGTGGTGATACACGGTCTGCTCAAAGGGAGCCTCTGAGAGGCATTGATGCTATGGCTTGTGCGGGGGACACGGTATTGGTGGGTTAAGGGTACCGGGCCAGACCAAACGGGGACCACAAAGGGATGTCTGTGATAGACCTAGACGTCAGAGGTGAAGCACATGACCGCCATGTATGACTGGAACTGTCTCACGACAGCCTAAGGATAGGTAAGTCGAGGAGGGAAAGCCATACCACTTTGAGGTAGAGGGCTTCACGAACAAGAAAGAAAGCTAGCTCCATCATTCAGTGCGTTGCAGCTAGGACCAAGGCAGAAGCCACTTACACCGTCGTCTTGCACAGTCACTAGTGGAAGGTTCAGCAGGTGCGCGGCGGCGACCCAGTCCCCGTCTAGCTGGTCAAGACGTGACACCGGCTCAAATGTCTCTCCCCGCGATGTGGATCCAGCCAATGACGTGAGAATGAAACCCTACAGCCCCGAAAGCGTCCACGACGATGTTCTGTGGCTTGGCTGCGTCCCGGCCCTCGACAGTATTGTCTCGGGCACCGACCGCAATGACAACGAGATGCATCTGACAGGCAAAGCCACCCACGACATCGCCCTAGCTGTGGGACAGTCATTCAGAGGAACCCCTGTTGTTGGTGTTGTTCTTGTCGCTCGATGAGTGACAACCCCAGAATAAGAGGTGTAGGAGGTGTAGATCAGATCTGATACCTACTTGTGGTCGGTGTGTGTCACGGGAGCGAGTTAGGTCGTGTTAGTGTCCGAGTTGGAGTCATGTTGTTGCGCGACCGCCTGTTTGTTCCCATCTTTCTGTCCCGCTACGGTAGGCTTGCCGCCTCGGATCTTCCCTTGTTGGACTTGGAGCTGATCCATCCGCCAGGTGGAGAGGTGGACCGCGTGCCATCATCTCCGCTGCCGGTCTGCCTACTTACGGAGTACGTACAGAGGTGTCAGTGCTGCAGCATGTCGAACACATTACCTATACTTGCGACACATACAAGCGCCCGAGATAGCCTGAGAGAAAAGAAGCAGGTTCTAATTGAAGGGGGAACTGCTGTCGTGGCATATGCATCAGGCAAGGGGGAGATGCGGGACGCCTGAGCACCGCCCGGGTTGAGCAGGATCGGGCAGAGGCCGCAACGCCTCAAGTTTGGCCTATTATTGGCACCGCTCACGGCGGACGAGGCGGCTTTGTCGAGATGTTTGGATCTGCCTGCCTCTGCCTGCAGCTAGCTTTAGCCGTGAACAATCGATTGGGTTGGTCTTCTGTTCCCCCATGCTGCTTCGAATCCACCATGCCAGGCAGTGATCAGGCAGTGGGACGCCGAGTCGTCGTATCTAGGCATCTGCACAAGCGTCAAGAACAAAGCATTGTGTTGATGCCAGGGAAGCGAACGATCAGGACAAGGACGAGAACGAGGACGAGGAAAGTATGGTGCCATCGGATCATCGGCGTCTTGGCCAAGTTCCAAGGCACCGGGCAGGCTGAGAAATCGTGGGGAAAAAGAGACTGATCCATAGTATGATCTCGAAGTCCAGCGAGACAAGTGTATTCCTCAGCACTCGGTAACGTGGGATCTCAGACTGCGGGAGGGACAAATATGTGCGTCGCTGTAGGTCTGATTGGCCTCGCGCACTGCGACATTGAAAAGCTGCATGAGGATAGAACGATTTTTTTTTCTTCAATCCTGTCCGCCAGCTCGGGAGAGCAGGAGCGGGCGGCAGCAAAGAGACCGGTTTTCGCGGCAGTTGCCATACTCCGTTGAGAGTCCTTCCAGGCATCGCCAGCCAATTGGCTTAATTGGCTGGCCTGCTACAGCGATCCGTTCCCTGTAAACAGCATGCTGTATGCATGCACGAGGCATGTAGAGTGTCAGCTGGATGTACATCCTGTATGCAGGCCTCCCGCATGGGATTTGGGGGTACTCGGTCGTCGGGGAGAACCTGGAAGGTTCTCGTTCGAGAGAGGTAGTGTCTGATGCTTGCTCTCCTCTCAAGGCAGGAGGGAGAAATCGGGAGAGGCGGTGGACAGACAATGTCGACAGAAGCACTCCACTGTGGTGCCACCCGAGCTTTCCCGCCTGAAGCGTCCGCTGCTAAAGCGTATTCAGTGGGCTCCTCTAGCGGGAGGACGGGCGCGCTAGCCTGAACAGATACACTAAAACATCTGCTTTTTTTCATCTTTCGCCTCTGGGCGACGGGCCTCGCGTCCCATCCTCCATCCATCCACCCGTCGGTTTCGCTTGCAGTTCTGCTGTCCAATCTTTATCCGTGTCGCGTCCTGCGAATGAAGGCTTCGAGGGCCGACAGCCACTGGCACCCATCCATCCCACGCCAGCCTCCCCCAAACCCCTTTCTGGGCCGCCCGTCTAGGCCCGACTAGACCACCAGCCCATCCCATCTGTGGCCGTTTTCTTCTCTGGGCGCACCTCTTGGGGAAAACGGCCTTGCCCGACCATGATCTGTCACACCATGTGCCAGAGAACAGAGAAGAGAGATGCACATAATTGCACTCGCAGAGACAGAAGACCCAAGTGACCGAATCTTGGTAGCTCCTTGCCTCATTAGCTCTCAGGCTAGCCACACTGCATTGCATTTGGGGGACCGAGACAGATGGCGCTCCTGCGGTCTTCCATCATCGATCCTCTTTTTCCTGCGAGGAAACGCAGGCGATTGACAGTAGAAGCCACCGGAAGGTCCCTTACAAGTAGCTTGGGGGCACTCAACTGCACGCTCTCGCACTCTTGGGATTCCGATGCTTCTGGGGATTGATGAGGGTGGGATTGGCAGCGCGAGCCGTGGCCCAGTGGGCTCATTTGTGGGACGGTCAAGACGAAAAGACGAGCGAGTTTCAACGACGCGCCTGTCCAGTCGCTTGGAGGCCCGACAGCTTTCCTTCACACCCACGCAGCCCCCCAACGACGACACCATCTCTGATCCACGCACCAAGAGCGTCACGTCGACCACCACCATCATCTCCGATGCGAGTGACTTCCAAGACAACCCCCCATCCCTGCCTCCTCCACTCTTTCCTCTCCCGGCAGGGGGGTAAAGAAGAGCCCCAGTTCTTTTCGAAGGTGTTTGCATGTTTGAGTGGTGCCATGTTGTGCAACGCAACGTGCTTTCCCTCTTCAGTGCCCTTCCTCTGGTCAATCAGCCAGAGAGGCCAGTGACTTACTCCGTACAGCAGTGACCTGCAAAGGCGCACCCCGGTACCTGCCGCCCAGTGCGCGCCCATCATGTATCGCGTGTCTCGTTGCCCATGTATCTCTGCAAGTCTGCGACTGTAGCCCATGTACAACAGGATGTACCGGAATGCCGCCGCTTCAGAGTCTTCATCCTGTGCTGCTCCTGCTCCTGCTCCTGCTCCTTCCCCTGCTACTCCGACGGAGCTACCTGTACTTGTACAAAAGATGATGCTTCCCTTCTTCACGCGTGGGGACCTCCAAGAGCTCACATACGTGCCATACGTGCCATACGTGCCTCCCCATCCATCCCAATATCGTCCTTTCCCCAGAAAGAACATAAACGCCCCTGCATGCCTAAACTCCACGCAGGTCTGATCCACCCGTGCCAACCTCGTTCGCCAGATATACATACAAGTATCTCATCTCCATCCCGCCAACTCATCCGTCCCATACCCATCATATTCTTCGAACCGCGCGACCCTTTGCACGTTTCTGCAAGACTGCCTGCCACGCTCTTCTTCCCCCGCACCTTCGACTTCTCCAACCAATTCACCATCCACAGCCGGCACTTTGCTGCCCAAAAGGACCTGTGAGCCATCCCGTGTTGCAAAGAGCTCAGCAACTCAGGTCCAATCATCAACACCCTCGTCGACGCCTGGCTTCTCGCCTGCCGCCCAACTTTGGTCAGGAGCTCCCCTCTAGATCATCCCGCCCCTGGCTCCTCATCGTCTACTTAAGGGCCCGAGTCCGATCTCTGGACCCTGACACACGGTTGCGACCTTGGAGTCGCTACACAACACCCCAGAACCTTGGCCATCATGCCTACAACGATACGAAGCAGAAGCTCGGCAAACAGCACTTCCAGCCGGTCTTCTAGTCATGAGTCTTTTGAGTCTATGAGCTCAGTCCCCACCACCGTCAGCACCTCCCCTATGCCTTCTCTAGTCAAGACGTCTGCCGCGAGCGGCCGCAAGGTCGAGATCGGTGTCGACTACGACTACGTCTACGAGTCTGGTGAAGAGGACCTCTCCCCAGCGACCAACTGCTGCGCCCGCGCCTCGGTCGACACGTACGCCTCGACCACGGTGTCCGAGGAGGACCTTTCAAGCGAGTCGGACCACTCGGCCGAGTACGAGTACCAGGACATCCCGCCTCTGCCGCTATACCGTGGCGACATTGTCGAGCCCAATGTCCGGCCCTCGAACCCGCAAGACTTTGCCAAACTGTTCCCGAGCATGAACCGCTTGTCGATAAGGCACGACGAGTTCACGCCAGATGGAAACATGAACCTGCGGGTCGACACTGCCGTGCCCAGGAGACGGCATACCGTGCAGCTCTTCCACCTGCGCATGTACGACCTCGCCAAGCGCGAGTTCTCGCTGAGGCGGTACTGCAGGGAGTCGGGTCGAGAGGTGTGCAACTCGAAGAGAAAGTACGTCGAGCCCGCCTCCGAGAGCCGGCCCAACCTGCAGCGGTCCATGAGCAGCGCCATCAAGACGCTCGGCGGCAAGCCCGGCTTCAAGCGCACCAACTCGGGCGGCTCCGTGTTCTCCAACAACTCGCCAACCGGCACCAAGCGGCCCACAACCTCGCACTCGTCCAGCAGCGACGGATTCGACGACTTCTCCTCGGAGCACCACTCTATTGCCAGCGCCAACGAGAGGAAGTCGCGCCCGATGCCGACCAACACAATCAAGCTCGAATTCAGCAACTACGCACGCGTCGACGTGACCCGCCGCGGTGGCAAGAACGCGAAACGGTACGAGTTTGAGTGGTGGGGCCACAGGTACTCGTGGAAGAGGGTCATCGAGAAGCACACCGGGATCGTCAGCTTCCACTTGCTGCGGGACGGGAAGGAGGGCGCCTCGATCGCGCATATCGTGCCCGAGACCAGGTCACCGAACCAGATTAGGACGGACGACGAGGCTGGCGGGTGGGTGCCCCCCTGCCACATGTGGTTCACCGACGAGGCTGTCCTCAACGCCCGCACCGACGTTGCCGAGTAAGTCACCCATCCACCCATCCATGACCAAAAAAAAAGGGTATAATGGTTGCCTCAAAATAAATCATATACTGACATATGTCTGCCTGCACAGCGTTATCATCGCCACCGGTCTGATGGCCCTGGTCGACGACTGCATCAAGGAGAAGTGGCAGGTCAAGAAGAGCCACCGCATCCCAGTGCCGCTGACCAACAAGTCCTACGACGTCGGCGCGCTCATGCAGCACGTCTTCAGCCGTCGCAACTCGGCAGAGCAGCGCGGCGCAAGCCCTCTTCAGTATGCCAAACCAATCTCTGCCTGCTAGGAGTCCGTGGAGAGCTTGGCATCCGAAAGAGACAGCTGCGTGCACTGGACCTACTGCGATTGGTAATCCCTATATCACACCAACAACATCATCCTCACCGCCGAAAAGTGCTGCACGCTCACATTGTGAGCATTACTCTACTGCATTTTGTCACCAGTAGTTTGTCTCAACATAAAGCTGAACTCGTTTTCTCATCGCGCAAGCGGCACTCTTTCTTTCGTCATTTCACTACTGTTCTCTTATTACTATATATCGGCAACCGCCTCACGACTGCATTATCATCATCACATTTGGATAATGGGGTTTCTCAATCTTCTTGCATATCAAATTACGACAGCTACGAGGATTTCGGCTGCACAGTCTTGGCAAGCCAACACAGACACACCGAGATACAAAAGGATATCTTGGGCATTTTGGATCGCGCACACATTTGTGGCGTTTAGAACAGGCGTTGTAATATTTGTGCTACACTTTGTATCTCATTATACAGGCGCTCGGGCATTTTTGGACTGGACGGGGGAGATGGGAGGAGGGTTATCTCCGTGCATCAATTAGCATCTACGGAGCATAGGGAACGGTCAATCCGGAGCATATTTTTTTTCTTTACTGTTACTCTTTCCATGGGTGTACCAACTGGCAGCGAGCGCTCATCACTGTCCTTTACTTCGTTTTACACTTTTGCATCGTACGGCGGGCCAAACAAACACAGGTCACTGGTCCCTATCCAATCTATACAATACAATTCAGAGCGATTGAGCATGACTTCTCTCCTCTGTCATCTTGTACCACGCTACATACCTGAAGAAGAAAAGATACCTTTGCCGACCTGTGCAACGTACAAAGGACTCGAGTCTGACGGCGTGCATACACCCTGCGTGCATGCTCCCCCTGTGTCACGCCTGTCGTACTCGTCTTTCGTCGGTCTCTGACATAAGAGGTCCCTCCCGATGACCGGCCTCTTCTCCCCCCTCTTTTTCTTTTCTTTTTCTCTTCTGGACGATTACCGTTTCGTGTAACTCCTTTCTGCTGCACCGTGACGCTGCCTTATGTCGGCCAGAGCCAACAGGATGAGGCGAAACAGGGTGAGGGGTCCGAGGAAAAAGCAATGAGAAGCGAAATGTGCTGCGGTTTCTTCGTTGCACCGCGCTGATCGCCAAAAACCAATGATGTCGAATTTTGCTTTTTTTTATTTTCTCCCCTTCTCCTCGCACCCCCAACACCTGCACACGTGTTCCAAATCCTGGAAAGAGTTGATGCCATGCTGTGCGATGCACCAGGGCCTCCTCCCCTCACGACAATGGATTCGTTCTGTCAGGCTTCCGGTTGCAAAACGCCTTGCTCCACCTCCCCGTCAACGCCGGTCACCTGGTCTCCTTCCCCCCCTTGTCAATGCGGAAAGGGAGAGAGTTGTATGGACGCAAGCACACATGCAGTGCTTGTGTCAACGCTGCTTTTTTGGGTTATTAAGAAATAAGCAACTTTTTACTTTCCTTCTCTCTCTCTCTCTCCAGATTGGTCCCTCCTCATCCGTTTGCCTCCCACCTGTTCTGACGCATCTGGTTCCCCCCTTTGCCGACGTAGTTGGCGTAGCATTTGTGATGCCATCTCTTTCTCTCCATCTGCAGTCGACGACGGGGATCCCGTTTCGTGGATATCCACAAAGACGGTGACGCGCCTCCTGATGAACAATGTGCCGGGGCAATAATATGACCCGGGTGTCGTCGTACCAAGCACTTGACACACACACACACACACACACACACATATACACACACACATACACATACACACCAGCTGGCGAGTGTGGTCTCCCCCCAAAACCTGGACGGTTGGTTCAGTCTTGCAAACCATGAAATGCACCGTGTATCACCGAGCGCTCTTTTTGGGCCCTCACAGCAAAAGGCTCTACTACACCCGCCGGGGAGAACCGAGTTGTGTTTGAATGATAGGCACGTCCTCCGAGATCCCCCACGTTCCACCGCCGCGTGGACTCTCTTCCGTCCGGCCTGCTCAGGACGGACCAGACGCACCGGCGCAAGGCGTTTTTTTTTTAAAGAAAGAAAAAACCACAACTAGCCAATAAAAGTGCACGTCAGAAAACTGCCGTGTCCCCGGTAGAAGGAAATTCGGCAACCTGCCGTGGTAAGGGGGTGGGGGGGTCAAGATTTAGAAGCAGCCATGTCGAGGGCGAAAAAGGGACCGCCATGTTTCTTTCGATCCAAAGCCGCAAAGATGATTGTGTCATGTAAATGACAAGAGTTATGCAAAAGGTGGAAAATAACGAGATTTGAAATTGAATGCATGCGAGGAACGAACGATAGGGTAAAAAAGACTACGGTAGTGCTTCCGTCTCGAACAACAACGAAACAAAGACGATCCACTCCTCTCTCCCTCCCCGCCGGACGGATGCAATCAGATATCACACACACACACACACAGTTTAGCTTCCTTTGCAGCTATCTACAGAAAACGGAGATGGAAAATAAAAGAGACCTCGTGAAAGCGGACGGGAGGAGAGAGAGCCTCACAACCAATGCACGCCACTCCCATCAAGGCACCTCAAACAACGATCCTCCCGTGCTCTCTACTCAGCGAGTGCCCGCCCTCCCCACGGCCATGATGATGATGATCATGGACAGTGACGCAGGCAACCGGCGGCCAGGCCGCCTAGTTCTGGCCCTGCCACCCGACCCAGCTCCGCGGCATGACGCGCCAGATCTTGACCTCGCCGGACCGCAGGTCGTCGAGCTTGAAGCTCTCGAGCTTGACCTTCTTGTTCTCGCGCCCTTGCTCCCAGGCCCGCACCTTCTTCTTGGTGCCGTCCCACTCGGCCACGACGGCCACGTGGTCCGGCTTGCCCACCTCGACGCTGTACTTGGCGTGCATCGGCCCGTGCTTGCCCTGGAACTTGGCGTTCCGGATGCTGATGATGTCGCCGGCGCGGATCTCGTCGTTCTGGGACGTGCTCGCGTTGGCCAGGTTCGAGTAGACCAGGGCGCCGTATGCTCGTGAGCCGACTGGCAGGAGCGCATCCTTGAAAGGACGGAGGAGCTCGTAGATGAGTCCTTGCGGTGTGCCGTCACCGACAACCGTGTCCTTCTTGGAGCCGACAGTCTCGCCAATCTGGCGGCCGAACCGCTCATAAGACTGCTCGAGCTGGTCCTGGCGGAGAGTCCGCGGCGGGCCCTCGTGCCTTTGCTCGAGCTGAGCGTCTGAGGGGTTGGCAGCGTCGAAATTGATAGTGATCACGGTCTGCGAGTAGTCCTGGTAGAGAACGTACACGTCCCTCGTGACAATTGTCTTGCCGTGCTCCGAGTTCTGCGATTCGTCCGACTCAAAGAAGATATCCCGTCGGCCTTGCAGCTGAGGTGGCAGGCTGTTGGGTTGCAGCCACCACGAGGACTGCGGGGCGAGGTCGATGTCATTGGCAACGAACCCCGACTCTATAGAGGGTCTATTCACATCGATAGACCTCCTTCCCGTAGGCATCGCGCGCCCAGCATCGACGGACTGCCGGGCACTACGGTTCGCAGGTGGTGCTGGGGGTGGTGCACGAGTCTGTGGCGGAGGCGGCTGTGCCAGGCTCGGCTCTGGTGGCAGTGGAGCTTGAGGCTCTTCTGCAGGTCTCGGAGGAGGAGGAGCGAAACCAGGGATCGGGATGCCCTGTGTAGGCGTGGCGGTGTAGTTGTAAGGGTCGTAGTCGTCGTCGAACTCCGTGTTTTGTTTGGCCGGTGGTGGCGGCGGCGGCGGGGCACGGGGCATATCAGTCGATCTACGTTTATCGTGAGGGGGCGCCTGAGTCGGCACCGGAGGTGGTGCTCTGGGTGCAGAAGCAGACGGAATAGGCGGCGGCACAGACGGCGGTGCCTCAGCGGTGGGAGACTTCATGGAAAATGATTCGTCAAAGCTCGACTCTCGAGCATGCGATTTGAGTGCATCCTTATGAGGCACTGAAGACGCAATGTCTGTGTCGTAGTCCCCTTCATATTCGGTGACCTCTTCCTCTTCCTCCTCCTCATCATGCCGCGGTGCTTTGGTAGGAGACAGTGGGCGGGTGTCGGCCGTAGATTGGCGACTCAGGGTGCCTGGAGGTGGCGGGGGCGGCGGGCGAGTCTGCGTGGGCGGTAGTGCCGGAGCCGTTCCCGGGATCGGTGGTGGCCGGCTGTCACGCTTGTTGGGAGGCGGTGGAGCTCCGCTTGGGGAGATGGGAGGCAAACCGTCACCCATATATGATCGCCGATTAGACCCTGGCGAGCGGGGTGAAGTAGGAATAGCAGGCGGAGGAACAGCCACAGGAGGAGGGGGTGGAGCTCGGGATGCTGGTGGTGCTTCACCCTTGGGAGTATCAGCAGGATCTTGAGGTCGTTCTGAGAGCTCGTCGTCCGATTCCGACCCCTCGCTCTGAGACCTGATCTCGGAGGCTGTCGGTGGCAGAGGTGGCGGCCGCGCTTCTCACAATTAGCACATGCAACATACTGTAGTAAAGGCAAAGATCACTTACAGTCTGCCGGGACAGGTGGCGGTGCGGGACGACCGGCGGGAACGGGTGGCGGGGCCCCTGCTCCCCGCGAAGGCACTTCAAAAAGGTTAGCGACAGGTTCCTTCAAGACCAGACTGTGCCAGGTGACGTACCAGGAGGCACAGCTCTCGGTGCGGGCTCATCTTCATCCTCCTCATCGCCCTCGTTCCCCGACGGACTGGCCACGTCCAGGGATGACCGCTCCTCGCGGCCCGGCGTCTTCGGGGCAGACATGCCTGGTAAGGCCATAACCGGAACAGGTGGCGCAGAAGCGCCAGGGGTTGTAGCCTCGTCGTCATACTCGCTGGGGCGCCTCTCCACCGAAGCCTTCTTCTTCTTGGGCGGAGCTGCAGCGCCGGGCATCGGCATCATGCCAAACATGCCAGCCATACCCATGCCGCCACTCATCTTGGCCATCCTCGCTCTCAGCTCCTCTTTTCTTCGCACCTCGGGGTCGACATCTTCCTCTTCCTCCTCGTCATCCTCGTCCTCCTCCTCAATGTCTTCCTCCCTAGCCGGCTCAGTCGCCGTGGTGCTTGCAGTAGGGGTCTTTGTCAGAGGCCGAGGCTTCTCATCGCTCTCCTCCTTCTCCGTGAGGTCTTCTTGGCCTTCAGTAGTATCACCAGCACCTGACATGTCGGCTTCGTTGCCATCCTCCGGCCCGACACCTCTGGAAGACTTCCGTCGAGTCGGTTGCGGGGCCTTGGGAGGATGTGTCTCTTCGATAGACCTGCGCCCCCCCGTTTCTTGGGTGTCTCTCCGCTCGAGGGTCGGCGGGATGTCGGCGGCGTCACCCTCAGCATAGCTCTCGTGGCTTTCCATGCGCTTCTTGGCTGGACGCTTCGGCTTCTCCTTCTTTGCAGCAGCGTCGGCGTGCCTCTGGGCTTGCTCCATCTGCTGCTTCTGGAGAAGGGCCATGCGTTCCTTGAGGCTCAACGGCTTGGGCTCGTCTTCTTCGGCACCTTCAGCGCTGGCACTAGCCGCAGGGGCCAGCCCGGCCTTCTCGGCACTCTCAAGATTCTCTGCCTCTCGCTCCCTGATCTCCGGGTCCTCCTCGCGCCGGTATACCTTTGTAGTGGGGGCCTCCCGGGGTGGCGGCACATATGCGTTCCTGCTAGGTGGCGGTGCGACAAACGGCTTCTTGATGAACCCTGTGCTGCCTGCACCGATGCCACTCGGTTTGAAGGGAGCAACGGGAGGGGCGGCGGGTTTGTTGAAGGCGGCGATACGATCTTTGAACGAGCTGCTAGCTGGCTTCTCAGAAACGGGCGGTGGGCCCTTCGGCTTGGCTTGAACGGGAGCCGGGACAGGCGCCTCGGCGGCTTTGGGAGAAGGTTGAGCAGGAGCGGGAGCGGAAGTGGGAGCATGCTCCTCCCGTATCGGAAGATCAACGGCAGGCGCAGGAGTTGGAGAGGCAACTTTGGCGTCCTTGGGCGAGGCAGCCTCGGGCTCGGGAACGGCCTCCTTTGGGGTGCTGGGCATCGGGGCAGCTGGCTCTTCGTGCACCGCAGCAGCTTCGCTCTTCTTCTTCTGGTGCCGGACCGGTCGAGGCGGAGCAGTGGGCTCATACTTTTCGACAAAGTTGCGCGGGAACATGCCCTCCTGCTTGGCGCCCGATTCGTCGACGTACTCGCCCGTGTACCATTCATCGTCCTCCTCCTCCGTGACGGTTATGATTTGGCCAATGTGGAATTGGAGGTCATCCTCGTGGGCCGAGTTGTACTCGTACACGGCCTTGACCTTGAAGGGCGTCGTCATGGCGAGGCGGGGTGGGAACCCGTTCTGGGAACCCGGGAACCAAGGGTCGAGGGTGGGGGGGGGTGGGAAATGCCCGGGTCGGAGATGTAAAGAACACAGCTGGACGGAAGTTTCGGACGGTCAAGGGAAGCAAGGCTGTGATGCTCGAATGAGCTCGCGACGGAAATCGAGTCGGCCTGAGGGGATTGGGAAGGTGGGAAGAGTCTCCAAAACACGGGGGTGCGTTGAGGATGTGGATCGTAGGCCAAGATCGGGCAGGATGGTTGGCCCGAACTTGCTACTACTACTTGTAGAGGTACTTGGGGCGGCAGACGACGTCAGCGCTTGAAACCGTGGAGCTTGGTGCGGTGGGCTGCCCCATGATCCTGAGGAGCTGGAGGCGAAAGGGAAAAAAGGGGACGACATACCTCGAGGCAAGCAGCTCAGGGACTCTCTCTCAGAAAAACTGATCCTATCGTCAACAACAAGAGTGCTACGGTGGCTGTACCGGCTAGCGAAAAGACGCAGTAGCCGCGAGTTCCAAGCGCTGGAGGATGTCGAAGGTTCGATCTTACGGTGTAGCTCCTGGCAGCAGTACTAGGTAGGTAGGTAGTTAGGTAGTTTGCTTGGTGGTGCGCCACCAAGCTGCGGGGGAGCTACCTTTACTTTAGTCAAGAGTCGGAAGTCTTACTAGGCAACAGGGCAACCCTGAAGGACCGGAGCAGCTTCTGGCGTGACCCCGGAATGCTCAACAGCATCGCATGTGCCAACTGTTCGAAGTCTGGCAGTGAAGAGTCGGTGGATCCAGACGACTTTGACGCCTATTCTTTGCATGAAAAGTTTGGTATTTTGACAGTACACCAGACGAACAGTGTCTGGTTTCAAGATTGCTCGAACAGTGTCCAGCCACGACACACGGACAGGCATACGCACAAAGCTCAGGCAGCCAAGTGCCTGACTAACAACACACACAAAGAAAGAACAAGTAGACCAAGACCACCAAGTGGGCAGGGTTGAGTCTGTACGGGAGTGGAGTGATCATCTCGGCTCAAACACTGTTGAGCCCACGATGCATTTTCCGTAATGCAGCACAGCCTTCTTCGAAGGATCCAATCCTATCTGAAGCAAGGACACACGCAGCACACGCTGTAAGGCCGGTACCTAGGTACCTTTGCTGTGGCGGGGTTGATGGATGACTGAACTTCAGGCGAACCGTTGCCGTTTCAGCGACTGCACCGCCTATTGGAGCAGATAAACGACCCGCTACAACGGTAGCTACCTAGGTACCTCGGAGGTTTTTCGTAGGCCTGACAAATCTCGAGGTCAAAGCTTCACGCAATTCGATCAATTTCGAGATATCTCAAAATCTTGAGCACACTCAACACCAAGGAGCTCGCTCATGCAGGCCCCAACCGCCCAGCATGGCCTCCTCTATCCCTAAACGGCCGCTGCGAGGCATCCTCAAAACCCCCCAACCAGAAGAAGCAGCCGCCAGCGCCGCCCCGCCGCCTCCTCCCAGGAGCGAAGAAGAGACGCGGCAGATCGCGCTGAAGCACGCCAACATCATCCAGGAGCGCAAGGAGCTCGAGAACACCATCCTCGAGTCCATCCTGCGGCTGACGGACCTGCCCGTCGCGCGGGACCCCGCGCACTCGTCCGCCAGCCCGGCAGCCCGGGATGTCGAGGAGTTCAAGCGGCTCGTCCGCGTCTTCCAGCCGACCGACTACGACGACCTGATCGAGGAGCGCAACACCTGCGGCCTGTGCGGGTACACCCTCTGCCCCAAACCACGGAAGCAGTTCCCCGGGAACGGCACGTGGAAGCTAGTCAACGCCGGCACCAAAGACTTCAACATCGTGCAGAAGAAGGAACTGGAGAAGTGGTGCTCCCAAGAGTGCGCCAGGAGAGCTCTCTATATCAAAGTGCAGCTCAACGAGACTGCTGCCTGGGAGAGAGTCGGCATCCCCGACATCAACATAGACCTGTTGGACGAGGAGCCGCAGGAGGCCAGCGAGGAGGACCAACTCACTAGGCAGGTCGCCAGACTCAAGCTCGAGGAAGACCGCAAGACTTCGCAGCAGTCCGCCACTCTTGCGCTTGAGCGCGGCGATCCCAGCACAAAGCGTACAGTCGACCCTTTTGACATTGAGATCCGAGAGAAGACTGTTACTTCTCAGCCATCAGAGCCGAAACTTCAAGGCGATGATGATGATTCGCACACTCTAATGGAGGGCCATCGGCCCAAGTTCACGTCCTGAGCTTGCTCAGGCGTTCAAGTCCCCTTGGTATGGGCAGGTTTTTTACGCATCATCCGGAGTTTACGTTTTTTGAGACAATACTTGGGTTTACGGGGAGTTGGACTTGTAGATGGCAAGGGCACGGTCTGGAAATTTTATGATACCCCCAAGACATTCTTCATCATCTCAGGCGTTAGTTATTCAATCGCAGCCGGTGCCATAATATGTGATACAATGGTGGACGCATGGGTCGGGCTCTAGAGCCGCCAAGTCAGTTCGCAAGGGTTTCCCCGCCGGGTATGAGTGTAAGAAACCCTGACAGGTCATGCAGTTTGCAGGAGTGGAAGTAAATTGGCAATCAAGCGTCATCTCCAGAGGAAACTCTGGAGAATCAGCGACACCTTGTGGAGGCAAAAGATCTTGTTTTTGATCTATGATGCTCGCACTACCATTCCAGAGAGACGCCAGAAGCAACCGACCGAAACCATGCCAATTGCCAAATGCAAAGCCCCATCCATCGTTTTCATTTTCGTAACACTTAGTCCCTCCGGGGGCGGTCGCCGAAGCGGCGGCCACCACGCTCCTGGGGCTGAGCCTGGGTAACGGGGGTGACGTTGACCGGGATGCTGTCGAACTGTAGGAACATGTCATGTCAGCAAGGGTGCTCCCTCCTCTCGCATCCTTCTTCGCCAGGCTGGGGCTGTACGTACGCCGAGGTGCTTGAGCAGGTCCTTGGTCTCGGTGTCGATCTCGAGCTGGCCGCTCTCGGTGTTCTGGGCGAAGTCGAGGGCAGAGACCTCGGGGACGTATTGATCCTTGCGCTCACGCTCCTCCTCCTGGAGCTTGAAGGAGATACCGCGGACGGGACCCCTCTGGATACGCTTCATCAGATGGGTGGTGTAGCCGGCAATCTGTCACGTGGAAAAAAATCCCATCAATCAGTACGGCCACTCTTCTCAATTTTTCCCTCGTCGGGCTCGGCTCGCTGGAATCTGTGCTGACCTTGTTGCGGAGGCGCTTGGAGGCGATGATGGCAATCTCATCGCAGATCCTCTTGTTGGTCTCGAAGTCGAGGGTCAGGCGAGGGTAGTACCGCTCGATGATGACCTTGGCGGACTTCTTGACAGTCTTGGTACGAACGCGACCCATTTTGGCGGTGTTTGGCGGATTGACTGAACTGACGGAGGACAGAGAGAGCGTTTGGAGGGGATCGCGAAGTCTGCCTTTTTTTTCTTAATTGAAAATTAGTGGTGTTGGCTGATGTGGGTCACCAGTTAGGGTAAATTTTCGCTCACGAGTCTGATCACGTGAAATGGTAAAGCTGGGGATTCAGATCCACCAGCCAGTCAAGTAAACTTGCGGAGGTGTGAAGGTCTTGTACCTTGCCCTTTCGAAAAAGCTGGTTAATGTTTTCGCCCCCTAGTCAGGTACACAAATTCGACATCTCGGACCACTGTCTGTGAGGTCACGCTGGCTGGCGACAGGGGCCCCTGGTCAAAATGAAAAATACCTGGCAGGAGGATGAAAACTTTCACCTGCAACCTTAGTCAGCAGATCTCTCCCTCTCCAAAGCGTGTACTCATGGCTGTCAGTTCAGGTGGTCACGATATGTGGCAGCAGTGGAAATGCATTCATTGCTGGCCATGTCGAGCCGTTTTATACAGATAGACATTTTTATTATACATGTTTTGTGAAATTCGCCATGCTCTACATGATAGTGTTACATCTGTAGAAGTGGTTCGTGCCAGACGGGGCACCGTCCTATACAACAAGCCACTACCAAAGTGATGATCCCCTTCACCTCAGACCATAGGACTGGGAGCTGCTGATGACTGTGGGACCGCCCATTCTGCGCGGGCGCATCTGCCTGTGAGACGCGCGCTCCTCGGCGACCTGGGACGTCTGGCCAAACACCTTGGCCTCGCCGACGAGCTCCTTCTGTACCAGCTCGGCCTCTTGGTTCGCCTCGCCGACCTTCAGGTGCACGCGCCCCTGAGAGTCGACCTTGGCCGAGACGGCCTGCACATATGTCTTGGCGCCGCCCTCAATGGCAGGGTCGATGCCGTTCAGGCCAGGAATGCGGTCCGCGTGACGTCCGCGGAGGCTCCTCTGCTGGAAGGCAGTGTCGCCCTGCGGTACATCGGCGACGAAGCCTCCGACACCAAGCTTGGCCGAGAAGCTGCCCATGTGTTGCGTCCTGGGCATGATGATGCGGGCCTTGACCGGTGGGTGGCTCTTCTGGGGGCCGTAGATCGGATGGTTGTCAAGATAAGAGGCTGTGCGTAGATACGACAGACCGGCGGAAGGATGGGTAACTGGGGGTCCCTCCTCAGCGTAGGGGTTGACAGGACCTGTTGGCCGTGAGTCGCGAGGTGCCATGGGACCAAGGCTGCTGAGCGCGAAGGAAGACGGCGGCGGGACCGGGGCGAGATCGAGAAACTCTCCAATCATCTTGTACAGAGTAGGGCGGTCGGATCGCAGTGTGCGCAGATACTCGGTCAGCTGCGCATCGGTGATATCCTCGGCAGCGATGGGCGAGGGCACCTCCTTTCCAGCCTCGAGAGCGGCCGTCGCAGCCGATTGCGAAAGCTGCACGGACAGCCGTTCCCTGAGGAACTGCCTGAACTCGGGGCGCTTTATGCGGACCTGCCTCCTGAGGTACTTCTGGAAGTTGCCCTCGGTGACACCAGCCAGCCAGGGACCGCGGAACTTCCATCGCTTATCCTCAGCCTGAGCCGCCATGCCGCTCTCGAAAGCAGTGACATCAAACTTCTCCTCGAAGACAGAGACGCCAGGGACGGCGAAATTGCGCAGGCTGTCGCTCCTCTTCTTGCTGTCGGGCATCGTGATGGGCACAGACATCTCCTGCCACTTCTCCAGGGAGAGGGTGTGGTCTGCGGCTGACGCAAAGTCGGTAACGTGCTCGATCGAGTCGACCTTCTTGACGCGGATAAGGGGAGTCGTCGTCTTGGTGGTGGACTTCAACGGCAGCGGCCTCTTGAAGCCCCAGTCACCACGGTCGCGCGATGACTGCGGAGTGGTGACGGATTGCATTGTGGGATAGGGCGCCGTGGCCGTGTCGGAGCTGCGAGAAGCGGCGGCAGCCACGTCGCCAGCGGACGAGCTCAATGCAGGAGGGAGTGAGAACATTCGAGACGCTCGGAGGAGCGCCCCTCCAGGCGTCATTGCCCGGGTCGCCATTGTGCAGTGACAGCGTCGTGGATGATCACGATGCTTACTTGCGAAATGCTGTGCCAGGAGCTGGAGCTGCCGTCTCGTAACAAATTTTGGGATCGTCTGATGGATTGGCGTCTAGTCCTGGGCAAGCTGATTGGCTAAAAAATCCACGGCCAGTGCTTGGGCCTGGAGGTGGGTATCCAGACGTCCAGGGTTAGGGAAATAGGAGTAGAGTGCAATGCCACTCTCTGGCCGCCGGTTCCTCCCGCACGCATGAATACACGAGCCATTTGGCATGGGACAGCATGAAAGAGTTCGGAATATTGCAAACAGCAATATGATCCAGAGATATGATCGGAGCAAGCAATTAGTTTCTCGATCAGCTCAATGCCTTTATTACGGGGGTATCAAAAATAGTATGTCTCAACGGTAGCGGTGCGCCGACTCCTTCCCTTTTAGGATGCGCTCCTTTTCCAATGCGGGAGCAACATGAACTCCGATGTGCCAGCCAACCTCATAGTCCAGCTGCCTGCAGAAAGCAATGCAATGAGTAATTGTACAGATCCCAGTTTGATATCTGGCGATCGCGTCGTATTATCAGAACAACCCAAACGCCTTGATTGCATCCCCTTTACGCCTCGAACATGCCTCTGACGTCCTCTCACCAGCACACTATTGAACTCGTGTCTGGGCCCGACTTGTCCAGACCATGAAGCACCTTTGCCTTGGGGATCAGGGATGGTATGGGGGGAGAGAACCAGACATCCTCCTTGCGCCCCAGGCCGCAGGTGATAGGGCCGAGCTCGTAGCAGAAGGACTCGAGAACGCCGTCTATCATGCGCAAGATGGTCGCCGGGTCGCCCTTGGGGTCGACAAATTCGATACCCGAATTGAAGTCGTCGTCGTCGTCGTTAATCTTCCCGTCGTGTACAGAGCCGACGACCAGGAAGGCCTGTTGCAGGTTGGGGAAGCTTTGTATGATGCAGAACTTGTTGTAGGGCTCCCACGGGCGGATCACGTCGGTCTTGACATGGTCAATGGCGAGACTGAGCACGCTGCGTGCCGTGTCCGGGATCAGCCTGGCAAAGTCCCGGGCTGTGTCGTCGTAGCCCATCTCGCCGTCGCGGGGGATGTACAAGACGTCGAGGTACGGGCAGAAGTGGATGTAGTGTTCCTGGCCGCGTGTTTGGAAGCCTCTCCTGTATATCCTCGTCGCTTCTGCTCTCGACTCCTGGCAGGCTTGTACGATGGCGGGTGGTGCAGCGGTCGAGTGGTACGTATCTGTTGCGGCCGCGTACCGGACCTCGACCACACGTGGTTGGCAGCTCAAGCGCCAGATCTCGAGGCGAAGCTCGGCGGGCAGAGAAGAGAAATATCTGAACTCCTGGGGTTGCGACATCGTGTATTTTGTCTCTTCTTCCCGTGAATGTTTAGAAAAGGAATACGAACCCGACAAAGACGAGCTGGGGAAGGAGGAAAGGGCCGGGCCACGGTTGGGCACTGCGTCGCTTATAAAGGGTGCATTTGCCAAGTGAGGTCTAGATTGAGGGTTCCTGCACCACGGGAGGCCCATGGGCCATGACGGACCCACGCGCAGCGCAGGCACACCCAGCAGATACATTAGGTACCTAGGTAGCCCGGAGCCATGATATCAACCGCTGTAATCGGTAAATAGACGAGTAATACAACGGCGACCTCTCCAGCAGATTCAGATCTTGTAAGTGGGCGCGATCGGGCATGACAGAAGCGAGACTCCGCAATTGATAGCGATGCGGCCTCGATGCGGCCTCGATGCCCTGCCCGACCGGTGATCCGGCGACTCACGATCTCGATGCGCTGACAAAGTTCGCTCATTAAGGCACCTACGGTCTTCAGCAGCAGGGAAAGCCGCTAGAGAAACACGACTAACAACGGGACGCCGCCCAACCATTCGGGGATCACGATCTCGCTAGCAGGTCTGCGCCCCGGATGACGACACACAGAGAGTCTCGTCCAACTTGCCAACAAGCACAATGCTGTCTGTCCTCAGTTTGCTCCGGAATGCCCCAGACCGAGAGGGAGAGATTTCTCGCCCAGAAACGCCTCTCGGGCTGATACCACAATCAAGATGCAGGGAGGCCCTGTAAAAAAAAACCACATGCCACCAAATCACACGAGAGCATTGGCAGGAGGCGACCATGCACGAGGTGACAGAGCCAACTTGAAGCCCTGGAGAAAAGTGGGAAATCACCTGTTTTTACCCCGGCCGTTGCGAGCTCGATCCGCCATTGGAGGCCACTCCAAAAGCCCGGGCCCCTCTGGTAGCTGAGTCTCATGGAGCGTTGCAGTGCCCGCTGCAAGGGGTGCCCGCATGGGCTGTAAAAGGGCGCGAAGTTCCCGGTAACTCGGAGCCTCTCAGCTAGCCCTAGCGGCGAGCGCCAGGCCTCTCTAGGCTAGACCCCGCCGTGATCTGTCACTAAATTCCGCCCTGCATCAGAGGCCTGTGACATCCATGGATGTGTCGCAGGAAAAATCGCTTCATGAAGCTGCGCACGAGGGAGCAACGGCCAGGGCCCCACGATAAACTTGAGACTTTCCCTTCGCCCACGCGCTCCCGTAGGACGAGCATTCCCAGTCCAGGCTGCCGGCGCGCAGCGGTGAGATGCTGGTGGCCCGCAGGATGGCCTCAACCAAGTCGGCCACGCACGGGGCTCTGACGTTTGAGCTCCTCGGGAAGTGCTCTGTACGTCGACGGCTCCGGCTGGCTGGCCCCCCTTATGTTACCTCGAAACTCGTGTGTTCCCAAATCCGCTGACACAAAAGGGTGACATAGACAACGCGTGCGCGAGCCTCGATCCTGACCCTGCCCCATGGCCCCGTCAACCTCCCCGTCTTCATGCCGGTCGCGACCCAGGCCTCGCTCAAGGGCCTGACCCCGGAGCAGCTCGAGGAGACGTCCTGCCGCCTGTGCCTCAACAACACGTACCACCTCGGCCTCAAGCCCGGGCAGGCCGTGCTCGACGCCGTCGGCGGCGCGCACAGGCTGCAGGGGTGGCGGCACAACATCCTCACCGACTCGGGCGGCTTCCAGATGGTCTCGCTGCTCAAGCTCGCCACCATCACCGAGGAGGGCGTGCGCTTCCTGTCGCCCCACGACGGCACGCCCATGCTCCTGACCCCGGAGCACTCCGTCGCCCTGCAGAACAGCATCGGCTCCGACATCATGATGCAGCTCGACGACGTGCTCGTCACCACCTCCCCGGACAGGGAGCGCATGCGCGTCGCCATGGAGCGCAGCGTGCGCTGGCTCGACCGCTGCATCGCCGCGCACGCGAGGCCCGAGACGCAGAACCTGTTCTGCATCATCCAGGGCGGTCTCGACCTCGAGATGCGCCGCGAGTGCACCCTCGCCATGGTCGAGCGCGACACGCCCGGCATCGCCGTCGGGGGTCTGTCCGGCGGCGAGGCCAAGGACGACTACTGCCGCGTCGTCGAGACGGTGACGGCGCTGCTGCCGGAGCTCAAGCCGCGGTACGTCATGGGCATCGGGTATCCGGAAGACCTGGTCGTCAGCGTGGCACTCGGCGCCGACATGTTTGACTGCGTCTGGCCCACCCGGACTGCGAGATTTGGGAACGCCGTCACCAAGAACGGAGTTCTCAACCTCAAGCACAGTCGCTATGCTGCGGATTTCGGACCCATCGAAGAGGGCTGCGGCTGCATCTGCTGCCGGGAGGGCGAGGGTGGGCTGGGGATCACAAGGGCGTTTATATCGCACAATGCCAACAAGGAGACGGTGGCGGCGCATCTGCTCACCATACACAACGTGTGGTATCAGCTGAACTTGATGAGGGAGATGAGAGAGGCCATTATCGAAGACAGGTTCCCGGCGTACGTGAGAGGGTTCTTTGCTGCATTATACCCGGATAGAGCAAACTATCCAACATGGGCGGTCGATACACTACGGCGAGTGGGCGTTGACTTGTTAGATTGAAAGGGATAGACAAAAGTCGTTACAAAAGGATCAGTAGTGGCAATCTTGAGATGTGCATAATATAATACTGTACATTAAGCAAGTGTTTCTCTTCAAGGATCCACGAGCCTAATGATCGTCTTCAAGCAGCCATCATTCTCTCATACACCAAAAGGAGAAGCAGGTGACTGGACGAGAATCATGCAGCTTTCCTCTAAACAATGACAATACTACCTAGTAAACACCATCTCACCTTGCTTTGGGATGTTTGTGGTCAGGGGCGGAGCCGATTACACTAGCATCACTGCAAATAGGTCGCCATTGACCACTCTTCTGAATCTGGAATGGAAAAAATCTCAATGGCGTAGCATCTTTTAAGAGCTTCTTTCCTAGTTCAATGCAATTCAATGCTGTAGCGAAGGTGCACCTCGTTTGCGGATGGCACGGTCTGCACTGTTGATAGAGAAGATTGTGTATAGATACACACTGTTTTGTGTTTTATATGCCTTACTTATTAAAGTCGCCAATTCGAACGAGGCAATTACTCAAAACGGTTGTTGTGACGGTACAAGCGTCATATGTAGACAGTTGGGGCCTCGATGATCCTTCGAGCTGGACCGAGTCCCAACTTGGGATAGGATAAGTTCTCACTGACAGGACCAACATTGAAGAGACTAGTGGGAAACGAGAGAGAAAGGCACGGTCACTATTGCAATTGGTGAGACCCCAAGAGGGAAGCTGAGATTGAAAGATATTTCCTGTTACCTAGGTATGAACGAAATCAACGTAGTTCCGAGCGGCTCCATTCATCTCTCTCTTTTCCCAAACCCAAGACCAAGAATTGGACAATTCTCAGACACGGAACAGCTCGTCAAGTAGCGGGTAGCATTTTCTCTAGCCGAAGAGCTTGTCGAGAACTCTCGAATACATAGACCTGTCATAAGTCAATCTGTTAGCGGGTTTGCTACTGGATGGAGGGAAGGGAACCGACATACCCAGGAGGCGGGGGGACATAGTTTCGGTGGTATTCCTCAATGCCTGCAAGATCTCGCTGCAGGTCGATCTCGGAGGCCTTGTGGATCTTCGTCTTGTGGATGATCTTCCACCCAAAGTACAGGATGGGACAGAGGCCAATCATTGTGTATCTGGAAGCAAGACAACCACGGCTTGATTAGCTGGCTGGACTCTGCCTGGTGTTGCAGCACTTGGAAACGTTGCATGCAGTTGGCTCGTGGGCAAAAAAAGACTTGACTTACGAGAACAAGAACGTGGGGATATCCCAGTTGCCGGGCAGGAAGACGGTGTAGCCGCCGACGAAGGCCATGATGAAGGTCATGACGAGACCGAACCAGGCAGCGTAGGGCTGGAACCAGCCGCGGTAGGGCAGGCTCTCCCGCGGGATGCCCTGGGCCTTGAGCGCGGCGTACCAGCGGATGTAGGTCGTGCACATGACGCAGAAGTTGATCAGCTGGCTGGCGGTGACGAGGTTGACGAACCACTGCAGCACCACGCTGGCCGAGTTGGAGACCTGCAGGAAGCTGAGGAGCGCGAGCAGCAGGACGAACGCGACGCAGTAGACGGGCACGCCCTTGCGGGTGCACCTGGTCATGAAGCGGGGCGCCTTGCCCTCGAGCGCCATGCCGTAGAGCGAGCGCGAGGCGCAGTAGACGTAGCTGTTGCCGGCGGAGAAGGCGGCCGTCAGGACCATGGCGTTGACGATGTCGGGCAGGACGCGGATCTGCAGCCGGTTCATGGCGACGACGTAGGGCGAGGCCGCGGCGCCGGGCAGGTTGTCCTTGAAGGCGGCGCTCATCTCCGGGTCGTTGTAGGGCACGAGGATGCCGACGGCGAGCGAGCCGAGGACGAAGAAGGCCGTCAGGCGGTAGAAGACGGCGTTGAAGGCCTTGGGCATCACGACGCGCGGGTTCTCGGCCTCGCCGGCGGCCATGGAGACGTAGTCGGGACTGGGACGAGGTCAGTGGCCGACAGGGCAGGCAATGGGTAGATCACGGCAGAGGCACATACCCAGCAATGGTGAAGGAGGCCTGGATCAAGCAAGCGAGGAATCCCATGAACCTTCCCAGGTTCCCGGTATGGTAGAACTCGTTGAACGCGCCCGGTTCCTTCCAGTACCGAAAGCCGAACTTGTCGTGAAGGGGGTTACCCCCGACCATGACGATGAACGTGAAGAACAGCAGACCGACAATGAGCAGGACTTTGCCCAATGCTGCCCAGAACTCTGTCTCGCCGTACCACTGCACGGCAAGAAAGTTGATGAGACTATGGTTCGTCAGCTAAAGCCGCTTCATCGGCCATTCAAAGTTGACACTCACGCATAGAGGATGATGGTGATGGCAATGATAGCTCCAGCTGGGACGACATCACTCCAGTAATGGATAATGACGTTGCAGGCCGTGATCTCAAATGGGACCATCGCCGCCTTTCCTCCCAAAACTTTGTCAGCATCTGGTCCACACACCGCGACGATATGGTGGAATTTTCTGTATAACAAACGCACCTCGAAGACAAAGAAGTTCCATCCACTCATGAATCCCAGAGCCTCATCTACATAGCGGCCTGCGAATCGAATGAAGGGCGAGGAGATGGGCAGGTATGTGACCATCTCGGCCATACCTAGCGTCGAGAGCGTAAGTGGTGATCGGCGTGACTTTTGATCGAAGAGACTAACCAATCGTGACACAGAGAATGACGGCGCACCTGTGATTAGAAGGATTAGAAGAAGCTTCGACTGTTAGATTGGCCCGACCTCGTTTGGAATGCTTACCAGACGGTGAAGGCGATGAAGAGACTGCCGGGGCCGCCATTCATCAGGCTCCTGCCGATTTGGACATAGAGCGCAGTTCCGATGGTACCACCAATACCTGTGATGATGTTTTGTAAGTCAAACACAACTCGAAAGCGCCGTAGACAAGTGCTGGAGCAACGGACCGATCAACTGAATGTGGCGGGACTTGAGCTTTCTGTGAGTCTGGTCGCCAACCTTCAACGAGGCAACCTCCGGAAAGAGGTCCCCATTGTACGTCGGCGATTTCTCTCCAGAATCACGTCTCTTGGCCTCTGGGGTGCCAGCCTCGGCGCCGGCAGAGTCAATGCCTGTAGAACCCATGGTGTTGCGGTGCGGTTGCACTTGACCAACTGCCGGATCAGGCAAGTAAAGGGACTTAGACTTAGACGGGGGGGGAAGCCCGAAAGGCTTTTAACGAAGAGATTTGAGAAGAAGAGAGAAGAAATCCGCAATGAATTCCATGTGGTGTTAGGGTCCCAGATAGCACCTATCACAAGCAGATCAACTCGAGAGTAGAGCTCGAGAAAGAGAAGCGTAAGCAGGGTCACAAGCAACGAGTGGGAGGCTCAGAGGGTTTTTGTAAGATCGGGAGAGGCTACGGCCCGGGGGGGAAACCAAGTTCTGAAGCTTGGCAAAGAGCAGAGAGGCGGAAAAGCATCAACAAGAGTCAGGCCAGCTGTGACCGGCCGGGGACAGACTCGACAAACAATGCCACAAAAGTACGTACATGTACACTACCTAGAATGAATGATCGAACGAGGTAATTGTCGAACAAGCGTCATTTACAAAGCTCAACGCTGACTGGCCAAGATAGGGACTGGAGGCCACCCCATTGGCAGGGATTCGAGAAACTCTACCAACTATGTACGACGGTACGACAAGGAGGAGGACGCTATCCCACGTTTGTGGCGCGGCCGATGTGTCTTGTCTTTTGCTTGACTTTTTTCAGGGCAACCGACGGTACGGGACTGGTGGGCTCGGCGCTCAGAGCAAGCATTCTGCGGCCGTGTCCCACACCTTTTCAGGTGGCGTGTCAGTGGACTGGACCGGTTAGCACGGCGTAGACGACGGCATCTACAAGCAAGAGAGCGGCGGAGTGAGTGCGACGGAGGAGTAGCAAAGGGTCTGCAGGGCTTGGAGGGTCGGCGTGGGAGGACCATGGGGCATACGTGTGCCGAGCCCGATACCAAGACATGGACATGGGAGGCAAACCCAGGTCATTGGACAGCCGGCCAGATGATCTGGGATCGTCTGGGTTTGCCTTCCCTTGTTGTCGTAGCTCGGCTGCACAACAACATTAGACGAGTCCTCGGTGGGGCGAGGTTTGTGTCTTGGCAAGCCTGGGTCGAGACTGAAAAAGTTCCCATTCCCGTATTAGTTCAGCAATGCGGTTGGGTCTAACAGAGACTTGCTTCCTTGGTGTGAGGCTCTTGACCTCGGTGTGGCCAGTCGCGGGCGAGGAGAGGTGCAAGGCTAATACCTAAAGCTGACTAGCATCCCGTGCCGCAGAAAAGCCCAGCGGGGGTACAAGTTTCAAACAATGGAGGTTTCTCGAGTCGGAGTCGAAGAGCTTGCTGTGCTGCAAGCAGTTAGCGCCATCGAAATTCCAAAGCTGTACGAAGTGCAATCGGGGCGAGGTTTTTTTTTTTTTTTGCTGAGGATGAAGCGGCTCAGTTTCGGGTTCTTGTCCAGAAAGCATCGTCACTTGGTAACAATAAAAGAAGAGCATGTGCGATTCCAGAGACGGCAGTCCTTGACGAGTTCGGGCAATAACCTTAAGCTTAATTGCAATGTTAGCACCATCACCAGGCTGTAAGGCTGTAAAACGGTCTGGCACTACCCCCCAAATTCTGGCTGGCGTAGAAGGGGAGGGTCTGGTCCCCTCGTTTTCCCCTCCTGCTCCCACCTGCGCTCAGGTAACTCTATTTCTTGAAGACGGCGGCAGCCGCTCATGGCTTCTCAGGGGACCTGCGAAGATACCAGTGCCCTACGACCACTGACAAGGTCCGTATCCGATAAACTCTTTGGAGCTCAAGTCATGGTGTTCTGCCTGTAGCACAAGCTCAACGGCACGGGACGAGAGGCTGGGCCATCGAGGCTACCTTGCCCCTTAACAAATCTAGGTGCAAGCCTCACAGGATTATGTCAAGACGCAAGTTGCAGCTGTTCCCGCGTTCCAACATCGACTCTGTACGCTCGCTCTAACTGACGCCAACTGACTCCATCACATGCCAATGCCGCATGCCAACCACGACACGTACCTAGAATCAAGGCGCGCGCGCTCCCCTCCCTCTCGCCCAGTGCATAGGTAGGTAGATGGATCCAGGATGGTGTAGACGGAAATCATATCGCCATCTTCAAAGTCACCGATGCTCTTCTCAAATTCGCAATCTGCTGTACTCTCTCGGTGTCCCCGACTCATTTGAACAAACGTCGCACAACTCTGCCAGTGACGTGCATGCACTAACACAACCCTGCATCGGTGCTACAAGTAACTACTCAACCAACGAAAACCCGTGCCGCCCCGCCAAGGCCAAGCCGCCCCCCCAGCGACAACCCCCCTGTCAGGCAGGCAGGATCAAAGAAACGATGATCCCGCCGCAGTCGCCGCGTCTGCCTCCACCACCAGACACTCCCGCACCCGAGCAGCGCCTGGAAATGGACGAAGAAAAGAACCTCGCGATGAACCCACGCACGTCGAGACGGAACAGGGTCATAGCCGTCGCCTTCGCCGTCGGCCTCACCCTGTTCCTCCTCTTCTCCGTCCGCCCCTTCGCCTCCTCGCCGCCGCCGTCGCGCGGCGGCTCTCTGCTGCCGGTGCAGGACGCCCTCGACAGGCCCTCCGCGCCCGCGCCCGCGCCCGGCCTGGACAAGGTCGCGGCCAGCAGGGACCTGGTCCCCCTCGAGGCGCACATCATGAGCAAATGTCCCGACGCAAGGGTATGCTTCTCCTCAACCCCATAATCTTGCGTCCTCTTGAGCGATGAGGTTCCACGGAAGCTGATCTGTACCCGCAGGACTGCCTTCGCGACATGATTCTGCCGACCATGATGCGTGTCCAGGACAAGGTCAACTTTACTCTTTCCTTCATCGGGACGTACGTATACCATCGAAGCTCCGAGGCCAGATAGCGATGCACTGGATCTAACAAGATATCAATAGGCCCACGGAGAATGACGGAGTCGAGTGCAGGCACGGTCCTGCCGAGTGTATGTTTGGGACTCGACAAGCTCCTTTCTATTCTACCGCCAACTAATATGTTTACTGTTTTGCAGGTATGGGAAACATCCTCGAGCTGTGCGCGGCCAAGCTGTACCCAGATCCCAAGACGAGTCTCGGCTTCACCATGTGCATCACCCGCCGGTACAGGGAGATCCCCGACCGAGCCCTGATCGAAGATTGCGCGCTGGAACACGCGATCGATATCAAGAAGCTCAACGACTGCGCCGCAAAGGACGACGGGGCATATGGTATGAAGATGCTCAGAGACAGCGTGCGGAGGACTGCCGATGTAGGACTACAACCCCGCGATTTCCTCCCGCACGCGCGTGCGTGCGTGCTCGATTTCGGATCCACTAACAAATCTGCTCTACTGCCAGGCCGGTGTGACGCTGAGCTGCACCGTTCGGCTCAACAACGAGAACTACTGCATCAGGGATAGCCACAAGTGGACGGACTGCCCGGCTGGGCCCGAGGTCGGCGACCTGGTTATTGCGATTGAGAAGCTGTGGCGGTCGTCTTCTTCTTGAGGGGCTCAAACACCTCGGCCCAGAGCTCGCTCGCCTCCCCTAGGGTATAGCTTAATGATACGGCGTCCATGCCGGCCTCGTCGCCCCCGGCCATGGACTCTAGTTGCTCTATGATGCTCTCCAGCCCGATGGCCTTGCCCGTCGCCTGCGTCGCCCCGGCCTCGAGCTGGACGTGCACGATGTGGATGTGAAAGTGGTAGTACGTAGGCTGGTAGTGGACGTACAGCTTGAGCTGGTCCGTCTCGACCTCCGGGTAGACCTTCTCCGTCGCCTCGACGAACTTGGCCTTCATGTGCCGCAGCCAGGGGACGTGCTTCTTGCGCAGGTCCCGCAGGCTCCAGATGTCGCGCCGCTCGACGACGCCCAGCAGGTGCAGCGCCTCGACCGTCCTGCGGTCCCAGTTGAGGTCCGGCAGCAGCAGGAACCCTTCGTCGCCGGCCTCGCCCAGCCGCGTCCGCCAGATGACGTCCTCGGCCTCCTTGCGGCCCTCGATGATGTTGAAGACCCAGTTCAGCCGGCCGGCCTCGCGCTTCGCGAGCATGAACGGCCGCACGCGGTCGTGGTAGATCTCGGGCGTCTCCGTCACGAGGCGCACGCCCTGCCTGCTGTACTTTTTCACGTGCTGCTCCGTGCACGGGTAGATGAGGTTGATCTTGAGGTCGTCGAACTCGGATTCGTGGCCGTCGCCGTCGTCGTCTTCGTCTCTAGCGTCGACGGCACCCGGGCTGCCCATGTACCAGTGGTAGATGTCGTTGGCGCCCAGGTTGCGTAGGGTGCGGAGGGAGCCCGGCAGGGCGCCGAGGTAGGCGGCCGAGGTCGGGAAGGGGGCCCGCTCCGCGATCAGCAGGGCGGGCTCGCCGTCGATGGTGCCGTAGAGGGAGGTGCGGCGCCCGGCCTGGTCTACACGATGTGTTTGAGGGGTTATGTCAGGAATTGGGCGGTTGCCGCGAGAAGGTCGTGGTATTTCTCCCTACCTTGGTTCAGGACGCGCTCGAGCTTGAATTTGGGCACCAGGGCCTCGGCCTTGGCTTTGGCTTCGGCCATTGTGCTGTTTTCCTCGCCTGAGAGAGAGACCTAGGCACTTTGTTTACCGAAAAGGGGGGCCCTGCAATATGGGAAAGGGTGGTGGGCCGGACTGTGTTGTGAAGAGCTGAGAGCTGCTGGTACCCCGCGGATCGAGAGCTGGTGTTGTTGGATGATAAGGCAGATAGAGTTCTCAGGGGTGGGATGGATTGAATTAGCGGGGACATGACGGCACGGTTGCTTTACCTTAGGTAGTTAGTGCTCTGGGTTCTACCTAGACCAGGCACACGGATCGATCTGTCACCCACGAGCAGCGATCGGCTAATCCCACTAGTTGGATATCTCTCTTGTTCGGTACCTAAGGTAGAGAAACGCAGAATCGGATAGATCCCATTGCCATTGTGTACATAATTCAGCTGCGGTGGCAAGTTGTGATGCCCGGATATCTGTCGTCTTCAAGTATAGTGACTGCAAGAGACAATAGACATCAAACAACTATCTCGTATTCTAGTATGGACATTTTCAAATCGACCAAACTTTAGCAGTACCTATGTAATCCGTCCAACAATGAGGTTTAGAACTGAGGCCTGGAAATATCGTACCTTAGGTACCTAGGTAGTTACAGGTATTAATATCCCTAGAGTATTGGGGGCCCCTCCAGCTGCCAAGCTTAAATACCATATCAGCTCTAGGATTTTTGGGTAGCATTGCCGGAGCACGCCATCACTGTGAGGAAAACACCATAGTCCGTCACCCAAACTGTCTCTCAGCCACTAGCAATCTTTTATGTAATGACAGTTCGTTTTTGCATGACCCGTATAACTCCTGATGCCAGGATATGGAAAGCCCTTTGTGTGGGAGGAGGCATGGATCCGGCATGTCCGAGTGCAAAGATATGGCCTGGAAGACGGGTGCTACGTTGGGCAATGTGTCGTGTGCCCGATTTCTGTTTCAGGGCGGATACCGGCATGGTTATTGTGGCTTCAGTAGAAACAAACCCAAAAGAAGCAAAGAAGCTGGAGAGATTACAGGGGAAGACGTCGCTGGCGCACGTTGTCTGCAGGCCCATGTGGCAGGTGGGGGTGTTTGGCACTGCTCTCTTCCGACGATGTTCAGGCCACTGCTTGTACTTGTAGGGGTAGTTACGGTCCGTGGTTGTCGAAAAAGCCATCCAAGACGACCGTTGAGAAATCTCGTGGCTAGTGTTTCTGGCCATATTAGCTAGCACAGAAGTTGGATTTGTATCTTGTTGGCTTGGTGGTGTAAGTGAAGAGCCTGAAATTTGTACTTCATACCTAGTACCTAAATCCTGGGAAGCTCTGGCTGTGTCGATCCCTAGTAACTTGTAGTTACATCCAGTACCTCGGGCTAGAATCCATCAGTGCCCCACCATCAGCTGCCATCGCGCGGGGCAGTCTCGACCGCCAATCCCTCACTGAGGATATCCATGGATTCTATCTGGCATCTCGAGCTCACAGGAGATCCGATTCGCGTTTCATAGTTCATCCAGTCAGGCTTAGCGATAGGCAATTGGTCTTGTTGTTTTGCTGATTCTTGTCTCTTCGATCTCTTCGATCCATGCTTTCTTCTTCTTTTTCAATCTGTTCGAGCCGGCCAAGCCCCTCCAACATGTTCCCTGTCGTTTTCCTGCTGACCCCTGCACGAGTGTCGCCTCAACCACACCGCCTTGCTGCAGCTTGTGAAGTAGTGTCTTTTGAGACATGCCAGGGTCCTGTCCAACCATGCGATTCGTTGGCATGCAGGCGGCGAGATAGTGGCACCTGATGGACGTCATCTTTGTTGAATTCTCGGCTGCAGAAAAAAAAAAACCTCTGCTGGCTTTCGGATGGACTTCTTCTGTCCCGCCATTTGATAGTCTCGGCATCCCGTATCTCTCGGCGAGCAGCAGCAGTTCTTGTGCTTCCTCAGATGAATGATTCGAAAAAGCAGACATCGATCAGGACGCCATTGACTGTCAAACACACTCTCAGCATGTCAGCTGCGATAGACCCTCCGCCTAATGACATGTTGCCACGACTCATGCGCTCTTCCGCAACAAACTCTTGACACGCAGCTGTACCCAAGCTGATATCGGGAGTGGTCTGGTTGGATCCAATCCTTGTGCATAATCCGGCTCCGGAAAGCCATGCCGGGGTGTGAGAGCCTTGATTCCGTTGACACATTGCAACACCGTCCCGTCAATTCCCACAGCCGGCCGCAGCCCACAGTCCGCTTGTTGTCTGGGATCCAGACCAAGGAAACCAGACCCTCGGTTCCCGCAAAACCAAGCTCGCTAGCAACTGGGCAGAGCCTGGAGTTAATATAGCCAGACATGGAGACTAATGATGACTCGGGTGGTGCCCGCCCCAGTTTTACCACCGGACCTGGACCTCGTCCGGCTGCCGCACATGATTTTCTCGACCAAGCTAATCGCCATCCCGTCGCTCCTACCTCGTCCAGCTCCTCTGTCTCTCACCACCCGGCCAGGTCCAGAGTCTCGCGAACCCTTTCTCAATCCTACAGCCTCCCGCCGTCTGCGCACACTTCTGTCCCTCCCACCAGTGCCGCCAGCCGCAAGAGCAGGCAGTCCGAGCCCGGCACCACAGAGGCCAACGCCGAGCGAGCCAGCCTGTCTATGCCTCCGCCCCTCTCTCGGCCATTGCGAAGCCATACCAGCTCCCTGTCCCGCCACCGACGGGATTCGAGCCACTCTGATCCCTGGAACGAAGATATCGCCTTGATTAGAAGGTACAGCAACGAGTTTGGCTTGTTGCACACCTCGCCGCGGGACATCGCCGTGCGCACAGCCAGCTTCGATTCAGATACCCCTCGGTTACCGGCTCGGGCATCTCACGAGCATAGCCAGCACCAGAGCCTGCCCGAACCAGCCTTGATCCCCTCTACGACGAGGTCCTTCTCCTTTTCCGAGGACGCCAAGCGCCTGAGCCTTTCCTCGACGTATTCCATGGCATCTGCCCGTGTCCCCAGCTCAGGAGCTTCCGCAAACGGTTCTGATCAGGGACAGCCCATTCCAACATCTAATCCTACCTTGCGCCGATCCGTCTCGAACCTCATGGCGTCTTCAGCAGGCAAGGGTATTGGTGCCGGAGGCCAGGCTCAGTCAGAGGCTGGCCTCTCCAACGTGACTGTCACCACGGGGAGCCAAGGATCCGCACAGGGCGGTCTCCATCTTGCACCGCGAGAGTCTCATCCTCATCACCATCGCAATAATCACCACAGCCAACAAACACACTCCCATACCGAGACGACCTCCTCCACCCCAATCAACGGGCACAGCTCTGCGCCCTCTTCGAGCCCAGCACCAAGCGTGCAGGGAAGCAGCACCGCACCTCGATCCCAACCACCAACAAGATCCAGGAGCAGGGCTAAGCGCCGCTTCAGTGGAAGCACTGCGACTAGTACTCAAAGCCCCAGCGGCGACAGCCGTGGGCACCCGCATAAGAGAGAGCGAGAGGAACAAAAGCCGGCCCCCTTGGGCGTGATTGGTGTCTGTGCTCTGGATGTCAAGGCCAGGAGCAAACCCAGCCGACACATTCTGAACAGGCTCATCGCGAACAATGAATTCGACATAGTAGTCTTTGGAGACAAGGTCATTTTGGACGAGGAGATTGAGAATTGGCCTGTTTGGTAAGTTTATGTCATTGTCCCTTTTTTTGACCTCGTTGCCTCTGTCTTTTACTAACAGTGAAGCCCAGCGACTACCTTATTTCGTTCTACTCAGACGGATTTCCCCTCGACAAGGCCATTGCTTATGTCAAGGCCCGGAAGCCGTTCTGTGTCAATGATGTGCCCATGCAAAAGATTCTGTGGGATCGCCGCATCTGTCTTCGCCTCCTAGACAGGATCAACGTGCCAACTCCGCAGAGAATCGAAGTCAGCAGGGATGGAGGCCCAACTCTGCTCACTCCCGATGTAGCAAAGCACATCAAGGATGTCAGCGGAATTGTGCTCGAACCGACGGACCCAGAGAAAGTCCGGAAACCCAAGAACATCCAATTGTTGGACGATGGTGACACATTGAGCGTCGATGGCACGCTCATCAAGAAACCTTTTGTCGAGAAACCGACCAGTGGAGAGGACCACAACATTATCATTTACTTCCCAAAATCCTCAGGAGGCGGAGCACGGAAACTCTTCAGGAAGATCGGCAACAAGAGCTCTGAATATGTGGAGGATTTGAGCGTGCCACGTGCCATCACCCAACCCGACGAGAGCTTCATCTACGAGAAGTTTATGAGAGTCGATAATGCGGAAGACGTCAAGGCTTACACGGTAGGACCAAACTACTGCCATGCCGAGACGAGAAAGTCTCCCGTTGTGGACGGTGTTGTGCGCCGCAACACCCATGGAAAGGAGGTCCGCTATGTCACGGCTCTGAGCACGGACGAAAAAGATATGGCCAGCAAGATCTCCCTGGCCTTCGGGCAGCGTGTATGCGGCTTTGACTTGCTGAGAGCCGGTGGCAAGAGCTACGTGATCGATGTCAACGGCTGGAGCTTCGTCAAGGACAACGATGAGTACTACGATCATTGCTCCAGCATTCTCAAGGATATGTTTATCAAGGAGAGAAAGCGGAAGGGCGCAGCCACACCACCTATGCCGTCGCCTGTCCCCTCAGACACAGATCCGTTCACGCAAAAGGGTGGAGCCGTTGATGCAGACTTGTCCCATGCCATGCTGCAGAATAAGGGCAGATCAGGCACCGGCTTGTCATCCATTGGTGCCGACAAGACTGCTCCAGAGCAGAAATCGCTCTCTCCTGCAGCCCCTGCAGAGATTTCCATGCCCAAGTCGGACTCTGCCCTTGCACCACCTTCGCAACATACGACCAGCACGGGTGTCTCACAGACGGCCGATGCCCTTGTAAAGAGCCTACCGTCGACCGCCCCATCCACCATGCCCGCTACTCCCAAGCTACCGGAGACTGGCACCGGAGACGCAGATGAGGAACCCCGTCTGCCACCGCCGCCACCCCCAAAGCATGCCTGGAGGCTCAAGGGCATGGTCTCCGTCATTCGCCATGCGGACCGCACGCCGAAGCAGAAGTACAAGTTTACCTTCCATACCGAACCTTTCATTGAGCTTCTCAAGGGCCATCAGGAAGAAGTGCTCTTGATCGGTGAAGCGGCGCTGGCAAGTGTTGCTAACGCGGTTGATATGGCCATGCAAGCCGGTGTCGAGGATCGTGGCAAGCTCAAGGCTCTCCAGAACGTCCTTATCAAGAAAGGTAACTGGCCAGGTACCAAGGTGCAGATCAAGCCCATGTTCCGCAAGAAAAAGACGGAGGCCATGACGACTGTTGAGGAGCAAAAGGCACAAGGTAGTACCGCGGTCGCCATCGACGAGAAGTCTGAGCACAGCGACGTTGGATCCGACAGCAAGCCGAGGAACGGGCCTAAGAGGCACGACTCTTTGTCTGGTGTGACCATGTCCAAGTTCACAGCTGCTGAGAACAGTCTCGTGCTGGACAAACTGCAGCTCATTGTCAAATGGGGTGGAGAGCCGACGCACTCTGCCCGTTACCAGGCTCAAGAGCTCGGCGAGAACATGAGAAACGACTTGACTTTGCTGAACCGCGACATCCTCGACGAGATCCACGTCTACAGTAGCTCCGAACGCCGGGTCACTACGAGCGCCCAGATATGGGCCTCCTCGTTCCTGAATCAGAAAGACCTGCCCGAGGACTTCATCACAATCCGCAAGGCGCTTCTTGACGACTCCAACGCGGCCAAGGACGAGATGGACAAGGTCAAGAAGAAGCTTAAGGGGCTCCTTCGTAAGGGTAACGAGCGCCCTCCGCAGTTTGCCTGGCCCGAGAACATGCCTGAGCCGAACGAGGTCCAGAACCGCGTCGTTCAGCTCATGAAGTTCCACCGCAAGGTCATGCACTACAACTACAACAAGCTGCACAGCGGCGCCGTGTCTTCTCTGAGCGCCATCTCCAACCCGAGCACCGAGAAGCTCGGCACCGCTGGTCACGAGGCGTCGTCCCTCTCGTCCAACGGGTCGCTCGCCCAGGCAAATGCCGTCAACAGTATCCAGGCCAGGTGGTGCTGTGGCGAAGACGCAGAGCTGTTCCGCGAGCGCTGGGAGAAGCTGTTTGCCGAGTTCTGCGACGGCGAGAAGGTGGATCCTAGCAAGATCTCGGAGCTCTACGACACGATGAAGTTTGACGCTCTGCACAACCGCAACTTCCTCGAGTGGGTATTTGCGCCGCCCAAGCATCTGCTCGAGGAGGAGTACGGCTTTAGCACGAGCAGCAACGGAAAAGACGCCGGCGGCAGTAGCAACAAGCAGCCACCACACTTATCGCAGCAGTCGAGCACGAGCGGCGCTGCCAGCGGCAAGGACTCGGACGAAGGCAAGACCTCCGAGGACGGGCGCTCGGTGAAGAGCCACCAGAGCCATCAGAGCCAGGCGCAGGATCCTCCCGCGGAGGTGCCCAAGACCGTCAGGCGCATCTTCCGGAGGCGCTCGTGGATGAACAACCTGCGCCACGCCGGCGATGCTCCCCCGCCGCCGCCCGAGCAATACTTCAACCTGTACCGGGGCAACAGCCAGTCCAAGGCCAAGACGGACGCCAAGTTTGAGCCCCTCCGTGAGCTGTACCAGCTTGCCAAGGTGATGTTTGACTTCATCTGCCCTCAAGAGTATGGCATTTCCGATAGCGAAAAGGTAAGTGATACTCATAGTCTACCGAATCATATAACATGTGAGGATGTATGTGGGTTCTAATACCATCACAGCTCGAAATTGGTCTTCTCACCTCTCTGCCGCTCCTCAAGGAGATCGTGCAGGACCTCGAGGAGATGCAGGCCTCGGACGAGGCCAAGGGCTTCTTCTACTTCACCAAGGAGTCGCACATCTACACGCTGCTGAACTGCATCTTCGAGGGCGGCGTCGAGACCAAGATCCAGCGCAGCACCATCCCGGAGCTCGACTACCTCTCCCAGATCTGCTTCGAGCTGTACGAGTCCGAGATCAAGCCCAAGGCGACGACGCACCCGACAGCAGCAGAGAACGTGGGCGTCGGCAGCGCCGCGGTCTCCATGACGTCGGCCGACGACGGGGAAGTGCCACCGAGCGAGCAGCAGCCCCAGTACGAGTACAGCATCCGCATCACGCTGAGCCCGGGCTGCCACGTCTACGACCCGCTCGACGTGCAGCTCGACAGCCGGCACTGCATCAGCTGCGCCCCGCGCCGCAGCCTGACGCCGCACAGCAACTGGAAGACTGTGATTGAGACCCTCCGGGCCAAGTTCCATCAGTACGTGTTCCCTTTTTTTTCCTTCCAAACCTCTGCTTCACAAGCTAGCTAGCTATTGGAACGATGGGTACTAACTTTACCACAGGGTGAAATTGCCCAAGACGTTCTTGGCTGTCAACCTCTCCGACGCGTTCTCCTTCCAGGAGAGGGAGAGGTCCAACAGCGAGCACGACGTCCTGGAGATGAAGGCCCACGACCGCTCCACGCCCACCGCGGTCGAGGGCGGCGGGGAGTCGGAGATGGTCCCTGCGGACAAGATCATGGATGCTCGGCCCCTCCCGGTCGGCGCCGACGAAGGGCCGCTTGAGGACCGCAAGGCTTAGATGCTTCGTACCCAGTCAATGGCAATAGATTAGACAGCGTGCTTGGTATTTTTTTTGGTCTGCACTCGCTTCTCTTCCCCACCATTTGCATGTCTATCTGGCCGATGGCAGGCAGCCGTGTCGGATTCTGGCTCTTGGTGGGCAGAAGAGAAAGATGACGACATCCTCGAGTATCACCCGAGCGTGATAGATCAACAGCTGAGAGTGCAGAGACGCATTGTAGCTGTAGCCAATATATTTGATATTGCACTTGCACCGTGTTTTCTACGCCGTAGTGCTGAGAGGCAAGACAATCCACAGTGCACTCGTCGACCCAAAAAAAAAGAAAGAAAGAAAAAAGTTCTTGTCTGTGTTGCATTTGGCAAGGGGGTGCCTGCGGGTGCAGGCTGAGATGACGTGAGTGAACCCCTCGACGTTCCATTGCTGTCCCGCTTGACGGCCCGAAGTGTCGGTACTCACGAGTGGTAGGTGCGGGCCCGGAGAGGAGGCCTGCCGGAAGCAAGAAGGCCTTGGCTCGCTCGATCGAGAGCTGGGAAATTGACCAAATTTGGCCTCTCTCTGCCGCCTGCGTGGGATCGTCCGTTTGTCGAAAGACGCAAATTTTTTTCTCTTCCAAATAACAGGATGTTCTCTGTCCGTTTCGGGGAAGTCGGGCGCATCGCGTCATAGACGGATGCTCTCGTTCAGGATATAGCCCGAGGGTTCGAGATAAGAGCAAGGAATGAGGCTTTGCCTTGCAGGGTAGCATTATGATGCCCCTTGCAAGGCACCTCCACCCCAGTATACATACCACAGCCCGCAAGATGGGCTAATACACCATGTACGTCCTTCCTCGAAAGGTAAGTTCGTTCGACCCCCCTGGCCACCTCGGTACCTGCATGAAGGGCAGCATGCTCTCGGGCCTGAAAAGATGGTCGACAGGGACGGTGTCATAGCGATTCGTCTGATCAACGAACGGCTCTCGTCAGACGAACCTACGCACTACCGAAATCTCCGTCGCGAACCATGGTTGAAGGGTACGGATCTGGGTTCTCGCGGCCACGGCGAGGCCCGAAATTCCATTTCGAACGCCGCGGAAATCATTTATTATTAGCGGACCCTCAGCCCTTCTGGAAGGATTCCACCGTCTCGCGAGGAGGGAGGGGGCCTTGTCGCAAGGGTGGATTGGCTGTTGCAGTTTCACATCCTGGTTCCAGATCATTGGGCACCAGAGCGGGTGCCCTCCTCCCAATCTTTACACCGGTGGGATGGTCATTCAGCATGATCCTTGGGGCTTATCGAAATCTGGTGATGTGTGAAAGGATGTAGCACCTCACAGACCATTGTGGCACTCAGCTGCCGCGGGCAATCTCCAGCCATCGTTGATGAGAGTTGCCTATTCGGACAGTCCTCGGGCCGAAATGACATGTGCATAAGCAGGCTGCTCATAGCACATGCTGAGGCTAGGCTGTCATTGCCGCCGCTCCGAGGAAATCCCTGGGTAAACAGGCACGAGAAGACGCGGTCTTGGATTGGGGCCGATCGCCGTTCAGAGGCCCGTTATGCTGCTGTGATAGCCACCCCGAGGGCACTACGGCAAATATCGGCATCTGGGAATGCATGTGATGATTATGGGCTAGAGGTGAGGTTCGAGAGCAAGAGTGTTGTGCGATCCCGAACTCCAAGGTGTCAAAGGCTGCATTGCATATGCAACAGGGGCGGAATGGGTTGATACAAATACCATGCACAAGACTGACCAAATTCAGCGACCGGTCAAGCTTCGTTCCCGTGGAATGCAACGTCGGTGAGAACTGTAAATCCCAAGGAGGACCAGCGTAGATGAGATTATCTGGATATACTGTATCTCTTTGTGAGAAGTGACGGGAGCAGTTATCACAGATGGAGAGACAAGGTGTGTGCGCCGGGAGCTTATTGCCTGCCTTGCCTATTGTTGGGCGGTATATCCGAGCCAAGCCTATACAATAACCGCGGCTTGGTAGGATGATATTGCCCAGGTAGCAAAAGAAGAGTTGCGTCAGTTGCTTATGGGCATGGATCAAGGTGGTGCGACAGGAGCGTAACTGCATTCAAGGGTAGCTCTGACTGAACTGTTCCCCTGTCGTATGCCTAGATGATCTGCGGCTGCGGGGAGTGCACGGCCAGTACACAAGGTGACAACTTACAACACAGTCCTGTTGCTGCCAAAAGGAAATGTCGCTGTAGCCATCTGTATACGGTGCACAGGTTTGGCCGATGACCATGCGACACTCTTCGGTTCGTTCAGTCCATTAGTTACTTCGAGATGTAGTTGGGTACGAGGGCCAATCACACTGAACCCTGCCGGTTATCCTCAACACGGGCCAGGCTGGGCCGGACAGCGCGAGCGAAGCATCCCGTTGGCCGCAGTAGGGGCCGCATGAGAACCAGAGTCACGGCGCATATCACCCTAGCCCGCACGCGGCAGGCTTGCACCCATTGGCTGCGTGGCCCGCAGGCGACGGAGGTATCTTGTGTGCTCTGTACCTGTTCGTTGCCCAGGTTGTGTAATAAGCACGTCGGCCAAACGAGACTGCCAATTGATGCTAATGCTCGCCAACCGGATGATTTGAGAGCCGTAGAGTGTGCCCGTGCGTGTGTATGCGTGTGCAGCACTCTGCAGGACTGGAACTCGGACTGCTAACTCTAACTCGGTATCAATTTGTCACACAGACAGCTTCTCGACAGTCTGTGATCTTGCTGGCAATGGTTCGCAGGTTAGACGATGCGGTTCTTTCAACCAAGTCGGAAAAGCAGCCTATTTGGCTATAATGCCCTTCCCGGCCCCCAAAACCATCGGCAGAAAGACCAGGGTTGGCAAGCCAGTCCTGCGGGTAGGCGTTTTAGGCCTTATCACGGCCGTTATGGCTCGCGGAAGCGAGATGCACCTGCAGGAACAATCACGAAACTAGCTGAGTCGAGGCAAACGGGTCTTTGTAAGTCAGGGGTGTTGTGGTTGATGGTGAGATTCGGCGCGATTTGTAGTCGCAACGCAGGTCGGGGACCCAAATGAATGCCATGGAGACCTAGTCACTAGAATGGAGGGTGTCATTGGTGAGGTAGTTATGGTATATCGGAAAGTGAGCACCGGCCATATGCGCAGCCGGCTCAGACGTCGAGTCGAGGCCAATCAGAATGATCTGGCCATTCTCCATGGGGGTAGATCGGCTTTCCACTGCCACTCGTGACGGGGAAGAGGAAGAGAAAAGATAAAGATTGATATCGACGAAAGACAGATCCGGCACCCGGCACCGTGTTGTTTGCCAGCAATGCTTGGACCAGTTGAGGTCATACCGGTCTGGTGTTTGAGAGGAGGATCAATGTTGATACGAAGGCAACGTGGGCGGGAAGGAAGGAGAATAGGACTCGGTGCTGGGCCGGGTGTTTCCGTCTTTGGCAGTCGCCTCGCCAGAATATTCGTGTGTAAGTCGCAGGTGCAGGGAGGAAGGCACGAACCACACCACAAAGACAGCGACAGCCAACGACATCATTGATGCGCATCATCAGACTGCATTTCATATGCAAAACCTCCTTTCGAAACCCCTTGATGGGTCACTGGTCTCAATGCTTCTCGAAAGACCCTCGAACGCGAATCTCACAAGGGCCGACACTCGAATTACTATCCCTGTTCCCTGTCCCCTGCTCCTTGTACACTTCAGATTCATGCACTGCAGACTGCCGAACAAGCTGGACTTAAAATGAGGCCCGAAGACAACAGGCTGCTTTGCGGCAATGACCTATACTGACCGGAAGACCCGACCAAAGCCATTTCAGATACTGCATGTTGGAAAATGAGGATGCCACCACAGAGGAAAAGTTTGGAATGATATCACGAACCATCCGCTCGCCCGCTGAAACGTCCAAGGCACGGACAGTCGTGAAACATTTTGTCGGTTTTTTTTATCCCCTCTCAGACTGGTGGAGAAGACGGGACACGTCCCGGGGTCAAAAGAGCCGCCGGCGGGCCACCGGTAACGGCTGGCCACACACACACGCTGCTTCACCCTTCCCTCGGTGTGCCACAAAGATGGCCAGGCGTATAAGAGGAAGACTATGTATGGGTCGCGACGGCTCAGCCGCCCAAATTTTCTTGCCCCGTGTTGCGATCCCGCTCACTAATCTTGGCGATGGTATAATTCCAGAAGAGGGAGACAAACAGACCAACCCTGGCCGACAGGGGCTACGGATGAGGAAGACGACGGCACGGGAGCGACGACACAAACGGCCGGAATCTGGCTATGTCTGCTTTGGGGATCAGGCAGAATCTCTGACCTGGATCAACCTCCAGACGGTGGATCGAAACATCCCAAGACACCGCTACTCTGAGAAGACACGGCCAGTTTTTTTTTATTGTTGTTTTCTTCTTTTGTTCGCCTTACCCACTTTCAACTTATTGTCTGTCCCAGGAGGCTACGGCAGACGAGAGGCCGGACCCAGATGCGGCTAGGGCTGGAAGGGATGGATATGGGACAATTTGATCTGTATGCAACGATCGACTTAGCACACGTCGCCCGTACCACTACACTACAGCAAAAAGCATGGGCCAGCAAGGTTTCGACTAGGAAGGGAGATAGAGCTCCCAAGATCCCATACAGCCACCAGCTCATCAAGGCAAAAGAAAAGGATGTCATGGGGGAAAAAGCAAGGAAGTTGGCATCAAAGAGAGCCAGCCAGTCGGTTCCTTGCCGACCGCCGCAGACTTACATCACAATCAACACATAACACATGCACAAACGCAGCGCAGCGCAACGCAAACAAACAAACATGCCAAGGTTCAGCATTAGCGCACGATGCCATGGTTTTTCTTTTCTCTCTTTCCTTCTCTTCCCGTCTCTCACTCCTCTCTGCCATCAGTCGAGTGGAGGCACGAGCCATCGACAGGTAGGTATTCACCAGCTGAAAGAGGAGCCGGGGAGCCCTTGGAAGCTTCGTCTCCCTCCTCCCTGTTCCCATTGTCCCTCGGTCTCTCTGTTTGGCTTCAAATGAACGTGTTAGAGAGAGAGACAAGGGGACACAGCGGAGTGGAGCTGGTGGTGTTATTGGGGAGCGCTAATAAAGGCCCCAAGACTCCATCCAAAACATCCTAAAGCGAGCCCCATTCCTCCAGATCTTGGGACGATTTACACAGTTCGCATATTCACAACCACAATGCACTGCACACCCATGGCCAGAAGCCGGCTCCACACTCGGGCGGTGGCCCCGGGACTTGCGTGGTCAGTCTCTTCTCTCGGGTCTGCGCCTGGAGCTAGTTTGTTGTTAGTCTTACACCGTCCGTCATCCTTCCCTCCCCCAGCACCCAGCTCGCCTTACCTTAGCTGCCTCCCTCGGTCTCCTTAACTTAATGATCCTTTATTATTTTGTGTTTCGGGCTGATTTGCTCTGGGACCCTTTTCCCACTCGTTTCTTTTCCCCTTGGCTCGTTTGCAGGCAAAGTACGTTTTTTTCCTTTGCCGGGTTCATCCGCTTGTTTCTTCCCCTTCTCATCTTGATTCCCCGTTTCTCAGCGTCAGATCGGCCGGCTCGACTCAAGCAAGCCGGAAGTGTGCAAACCCTTGCTTGCCCCATTCAAGTTTGACCCTCTTGCGCCATACATTCGTCCTTTCCGTCTCGTGCCCGCCAGCACCGTCAACGCAGAGAGAGTGTGTGTGTGCGGGTGTGTGTGAGGTACGAGAGAGGAGAGAGAAAGCAAGAGTGTCTCTCTCCCACACACCCCTTCTCTCTTTCTGACGCATGCACTATATTTCCGTTTCCTCCTCCGCTACCCTTGTTTATAATGGACCCGTCCTGGTCGGCTTGCGGCTGCTCTTCACCAGCATGCCGTTGGAAATAGAAGACCACTATTCCCCTCGTCATGATTCCGGTTCTGACCCAGGCCTTTTCGTTGTGGAACTCTCGACCACTCTCAAGCTCTATTGAACCTTGTCCACAAAGTCACGAAACACCAAGCCGCCCTATTCAGTCCCGCTTCAACAGCCGTTTACCACGGCCCCGTGCTGCAATCAACGTCTCCCTAGCCGGTACGTGTGGGCAAACAACCAGAGACGACATCTTCCCGGGCCAGAAGAAAAAGAAATTGTCCTCTTCTTGGTTTTGAACCTTTCCTTGGCCCGCTCCCATCGCCACTCTCGGGATATAAAGGTCCAAGAGAAGACCTCGTCTGGTCCCTCGATATCCTCAAGAGCTTCTTCCTCGTCATCACTCTCCACATTGTCTCATCGCACCCAACAACGTAACACCACCTCAACCCAAAGAGTCTTCTTGCCCTTGCTGCCAAGCTCTCGATACCCAAGTGACGCACTCCACCTTCGACTGTCAGAGACTCTGTATCAGCTCTCAACAGTAAGGTCTCGACTCAGACAACACCCGCATTGGGTCAGAACCGCAGACTGAATACAACGTGCAGGTCATATCGTTCGGGGAAGTCTCTCTGTCCACTCCCTTGGCCGACTCTGGCTGTCATCCGGAGTCGTCGACCGTCTTTCTTGTCTGCACCGCCGTACCCTAGATCTCCCTGCCAGTTTCTCTTCTTGCTACCCGACTTCTTTGAGGCCCGTCAACCTCGCCACATCTGCTGCGTATGCCCAAGGAAAGCAAGAAGAAAGAAAAGAAGCAGGACGACAAGATGGCAGTGTCACACAGCTGTGCCCATGCATTCAAGATGATCAAATCGGACAACACCCTGATCCAGTGGACTTGCAACCTCTGTCACTCGGGCCCTCACTGGTGGATCTTTGAGTGTCGATACTGTAAGATGCATACGTGTCGGGCCTGCGTCCGCTCCGCCTAACGGCGTACGGACGTCATCGAGAGTCGGACGGGCAGTCAAATCTGCAGGGAAGGGACTCGGTCTGGAGTTGAGTGTAAGTGCACATTTTGAAGCCGTAGGGCACCTGACAACTCGGGCCACCGGTCCTGTGTGCTGTCATCTTGCAAAGCTGCACGTGTGCCCAAAGTTGTCTGAACCTGCTGACGATTCCTCCGACAGGTTTATACCGGGTTGAAACACGAAGCTTGTGAATCTTTTGTTTTCCGGCGAGGATAACTCAACAAGGCGAACCCTGGATGTCCGCCAGGAAAATGGTGCAGGCGGAAGAATGGGCGCTTGTTCTCTGTTCTGCCTCCGGTGCACGGCATCGCACGTGGTATCCTTGCAAGTTCGGCTCTGGTACCCGGCCGGCCCTACGATCGTCGCCGGACAGATTCAGCCGCAAATCGATGCACGAACGAGCCTATCGGCATGCAGCGGTCGGCCAATCGTCAGTCTCATCCTGCTGCTGCAGCATCGCCAAAACGACCGTCGTCAACGGAACTCTCTTTTGTCCATTATCTTTGAAGCCCTTTTATAATTCTGATAGAGGTTGGCCAGCTCGATGGCCTGCCATTTGGTCCCGGATCCACAGCCACTGTTGAGACGGCGCTTGCTTTATCTTGAACACGGCACGAATCACCTGTCGTGTTTCATTCTTTCCTTTGTCACGGCTTTGCTGGTAGTATGAGTTTTGTTCGGGTTGGGATAGAAGGGTTAGATTTGGGACATAGACTAGACTGCGCACGGCACTCTTCAGAATGAGGAAAAGCAAGGGAATTATTGGGAGTTGGGGACGGGGTCTCAAAAAGTTTCTCTCGCGAGTTCTTTTCATTTTTTTATTTTCATGACCATTGTTTCTCCTGTCAGCCTGGAGTTGGCTTGCCTCTTAGATAGAGCGAATTTGGTTCTTGCCTTTCTTTTGCAAGTTGGTCCGATGGCGAAAGTGTCTGCTTGACGGGCGACGGGCTGTGAGTGTCGCGCATATGCAGGTAGATGTTTGTATGTACGCAAGTACCGGGGATGCGCATGGTATTGGTATTGGCGGTTGGGAGTCTGTTTGTGTGTTTGATTTGCCCTTGCTTGGTGCACGATGTTGCTCAGCTGTTTGGTTTAACCCATACTATTTGGACTGTTATTTCGATCAGATTCAACCCGATCGCTAGCAAACACGAACGAGAGGGCCTACTCCGTAGGTAGCTAGCTCTCTCATTAGCAATGCTTCAAGGATCAGCCGCCGCCAGGGGAGTGGCATGGACGCGACTGGCATTCTTGGCAGATATCCGGCCTTCCCGAGACCTTCTGTTACACCGGGCAGCCGAATGTTCTGCAGCGTCCCGGCAGACTGCTGCTCACTGTGCTCACCATGTGGCTTGAGCCGGGCTGGTCACCGCTAGTCCTCAAAAACGTGTTGAACAGGAATGGTGATGCGCCACGAGTGGGAGCTATTGTCCAAGGGCGGACTCGCACTCACTCACATGCCATGTTGGACTCGCTAAACTAAGCGAAAGTGTCGTGCTATTGGGGTCAAATCTTGTTTGTGTAATAGAGGCCTTCAGAGTTGTCTCGTTTAGAGATCAAACTCGATCAAAATAAGGATCAGATAAGGTTACATGTATCCGTAACCATCTACCGGTTTCGCGAGACTTAATTCGGACTCCCTGCTGCCTCGGCCCCGGCGCCATTCAAAGGTTCAATTTCCCCGCCGAAAAAGTCAAGTGGCCAATCAGTTGGCTGGATTGAGCCATGAGGAGTCATTTACACCGCAGCTCTGCAACTCGGTGACTTTTAGGAACCATGTGAAGATAACAACACAGCAGTCTATGTTGTATCGTAGGCAATTGAACGTCATAAATGGGCTTCATTGTTCATAAAATTTGAAGCACCCGTTCCATTATCACTGAGATATTCGGAACCCTTCGTTGTCGAGATCAGCCGAGGCACAGCACACAGCTCTCACGAGCTGTCACTCACATAAAGGATGGCGTTTACGATGCACTCCCACTCGGGCCAATTCTGCCCAGGCCACGCAAAAGACCAGCTCGAGGACATCGTCCTCCACGCCATCAGCATAGGGTACAAGACCATCGGCCTGACGGAGCACATGCCCCGCCTCGCCCTCTGCGACTTGTACCCGGAGGAGGTGAGTTCTTCCCTTTTCCCCACTCATCATGATATACATACAAGTAGATCTATATCATTAAACACACATGCTGCAAAAAGATGGACGACCCAGAGGCCTCCCTCGCGGTCCTGCCCCCGCGCCACGAGGCCTACCTCGCCGAGGCCCGCCGCCTGCAGGAAAAGTACGCCGGCCAGGGGATCGCGCTGCTCGTCGGCTTCGAGGGCGAGTTCATCCGCGGGCCCGAGTACGCCGGCTACGTGCGCCGGCTCGCCGCCGACCCGCGCGTCGACTACTTCATCGGCTCGCTGCACCACACGTGCGGCGTGCCCATCGACTTTGACGCCGAGCACTACGCCCGCGCCGCCACCGCCGCCGCCATCGCCGCGTCCTCCTCCTCCTCCTCCTCCGGGTCTTCCGGGTCCTCCGGGTCCGAGTTCGAGGACGCCGAGGACGCGCTGGCGGCGCGCTACTACGACGAGCAGCACGAGATGCTGGCGGCCCTGCGGCCCCGCGTCGTGGGCCACTTCGACCTCGTGCGCCTGCTCAGCGCCGACCCGGCGCGGGACCCCCGGCGGGCGGGCGGTGGGCGGGTGTGGGACCGCGTGCGGCGCAACCTCGAGCTCGTGGCCGGCTACGGCGGCTGGCTCGAGTGCAACACGAGCGCGCTGCGCAAGGGGCTCGCCGAGCCGTACCCGGCGCGGCCCGTCGCCGAGGAGTGGCTGCGGCTCGGCGGCAGGTTCACCTTCTCCGACGACAGCCACGGGATCGCGCAGGTCGGGACCAACTACGCCCGCGGGCTGGACTACCTCGCGTCACTCGGGGTGGAGGAGGTGTGGACCTTTGAGAGGAAGGCGGGGTCTAGGGTTGGGGGTGGTGGTGATGGGAGCAGTCAAAAGGCCGAGCTGGTGCCTGTCAGCGTTTCATTATCTGCTTTCAGGGAGAGCCTCAAGTTGCCATAGGGCAGGGCAGGGCAGGGCAGGGCAGGGCAGGGCAGGGCAGGGCAGGGCAGGGCAGGGCAGAGCGGAGGTATAGACACACTACGTGAAGTTCAGAGATATTGGATCGGAACTTGGACGCATTAGATGGGATTGCATGTTGCATCTGAGACCTTTCAGATTCTCATTTTCCAAGATTTAAGGCATCACCCATTGGGCGGCATTGCTGGACAAGAATCCAAAACCACTCGAGTTGGGAATCAAGGGTGAATTTGTTGGCTGCGTGCATATCACTGAGAGGCAAAACTCAGTACCAGCCGGTCTCATTACAACAAAAGTACAGTACTAAACTCATAAATTCTCAACAAGACTCCGTGACCGGTATGAACCCCAAGGCATCCATGCTAAAAACACACACAGAGGGTATCTATCCTGGCCGCGTGCCAGTTGTAACAGCAGGATTATAAACAATAATACTTTGGATCAAGTGGAGATTTCAAGACGAAAGTCCCTCTTGATCCCCTTTTCCAGGTAGACCATGCTCCCGACTCCAGGTTGCCAATCAACCAGGGTAGTTCTCACATACGCCACGGAAAGATAGCACACAACTTTCAAAAACGCCATGCTACCGACTGAGAGCCTTCACTTCTGAGGAGTCTCAGGAACCTCCCAGATGGACCTCTCCCGGCGGGGATCACCACCACCACCACCTCCACCCCCGCCCACCAGCCGCCCCTCCGGCTTGGGCAGGCGCTGCCCGTCAAGATTCGTCCGGCTCGCAAACGGGATCGCAGACGTCGCCGTAAACACCGGCAGGTCCGTGCGCTTCATAGGCGACGGCGTCGCCGCCGTGTTGGGCGGCAGCCACTGCAGCGACCGGCCCTGCTGCTGCAGCGGGACGGCCTCGGGCGTGGGGCCCTCGGGCTGGTAGGGGATGAAGACGTTGGGCGTCGACGGCTGCTCCCCCTCCTCCTCCCCCGTGGTGGGCGTCCGGAGGGGGGGCACCGGGGAGCTCGCGGGGAGGGGCACGTCGAGCGGCTCGAGCTGCGGGGCGGCGGGCGGCGACGCGGTCTGCGGGGTGACCGGCTCGCTCGAGGCGCTGGCCGAGGGCTGGGCCGCGAACTGCGGCGAGGAGGACATGGCGAACGGGGGCAAGTCGGGCGATGATCTCGCCGGCTCGCCCACCGCGGCGGGCTGGAAGGCCTCGACCTTGACGGCCGGCGGTTGGTTCTCGTTCTTCACCGCCGCGGCCGCGACCGCGGCCTCGGCCTCCTGCCCGGCGGCCCTGTCTCTCTTCGCCTTCTCTCGTGCCTCGCGCTGAGCAGGGGTGATGACGTTGATCCTGATCTTCTTCATGCCGCTCGTGAGCTGATCCATGTCGTCCGACGACGCCTGGCTAGGTCCCGACGCGGTCGATGCCTGCGTAGAGGGTCGCTGGGCAGCGTCTTGGGCCTTTGCGCGCTCGGCGGGGGCCGGCACCTTCTTGGTGGTGCGAGATGTTCGGGGCGTCTCTCGTTTGACGGCGGCCGCCGTCCTGGTCTTCTTCACGGGCAGCGACCCCGTGGCGCCCGCCCTGGCATTCATTGACGTGTCCGCACGCACCCCCTGAGACGTCATGGGTCTTGCCGAGGGCAGAGGCGGCTCCAAGCTGGGCGATCTAGCAACGATGGTGGAGGCCGCACTAAGGCGTCGTGAATGCTGCTTGGCCTTGCTGGCGGCCACCGGCGTGCCGGTCCGGGAAGCAGCCCGCTCCTGAGCTATGGCGCTGCCCGCGACGGTCTTCCTCCTGTTCTTGGTCTCTTCCTCCTCGATGGATCCATAAAGCTTGACCTGCTTCCGCTCGCGCATCGACATGCGCGTGGGGCCGTTTGCAGCAGCTGGGCCCGACCCCGCAAGAGGATTCTGAAGAGTAGACTGCGCCAGCACTGACTGGCGGTCGCGGCGAGCACGAGTGGCCTCGGCAGATAGGTCTTCATGCGTACAGCTCATCGTGGAGCGGTCGGTGGGGATCAGGAGCTTGCTGAGCTCGTGCGCCGCGATGGTCCACGGGACCTCGGGTGGAGGTGGCGACGGCGGCCGAGCTACGGGCGAGCCGGTACCGGAAGACATGGCAGAGACGCTCCGACGCAGCTTCGGAGACGCGACAACTTTTGCTTGGGACGATTGGGTGGGCGAGGAATACGTGGGAGGGGTCATGTGGCGAGAGACCTTTGGCTCGGCAGGGGGCGATGCCATGGCGCACTCCAACCTTTCGAGCTCCGAGGAATGCCACCACGAGGGGTCGTACGGCGGGCCCATGTTCTTCAAGGCCAGAGACTCCCGCCGATTGTGGCCCATCCGCTGGCCCATTTCGAAGCCCAAGCCGTTGAAGTCTTCCGGCTTGGTCATGGGCTCTTCTCCAGCGAGCCCACTGATGTGGCTCAGGACTCCCGAACACAGCGCGCGATCGCTATAACCGCCCTCGAGGGCACTGATTACTCGGCCTTCCACGCTGGTGCCCTCCTCCTCGGCGATTTTGATGATGTCCCGGGTGATCTTGGCGTAGAACTCGGTCGGGACGGCAACGTTGTGGCGTTGCATACCGGCGCTCTCCCACTCGCTGGCGTCGAACCCGGCCGAGATGAAGATGGCCGCCTTGCAGTTCTGGTTGGCGGCGCGGGAGCGCTCCGTCTGCTGCTTCAAGAACTTGCGCGTCTTTTCCAGCAGAACTGTGTACTTTGATTCGTAAATCTTCCAGAACTCGGCCTCGGTCTTGTACGGGTCGAGGTGGATGTTCCAGATGGTTTGCCCATGGGCATTGTCGATACAGATGCTCGCGTTCTTGGTCTTCTCCTCGTCCCCCATCTCGCACGGATACGAGTTGATGTCGTGGAGGCTAAAGTAGCCGATCGAGGTCTTCTTCCACCACGCCGCATTCTTGGCCGAGTACACTCCCCTCGAGTTGTGCTGCCAAGCGATAGCCTGCGAACCGTCTCCGTGATGGAGGTCGAAATCAATAATCGCCGCATGGGTCAGTCCGTGACCGAGGATGGCATGCATGATACCAACATGGACGTTGTTAACCCAGCAAAACCCAGAGGGAAACGAGGCCGAGCAATGGTGTCCAGGGGGCCGGATGGCGACGAATGCTCGCTTCGGGCCGTCTGGCCGGAACACAGTATCGACCGCTTCGCAAATTCCACCAAGAGCACCTTCTAGTGCGTCCAGAGACTCCGAGCAGAGGTATAGATCCCCTTCGTGGAGCCTCTCGGGCGTGTCGTTGCCCGAGCCGCGGCTCATCTCGGGGCGCTGCAGCTCCTTGCCATTGGTCGCGAGTTTTGCCTCTGCCGTCTCGCACATCAGCTTGAGCTCCTCCATCCATTTCGTGCCGTGGACGTTGGTAACTGTCTGCGACATGAGGGACAGACGTCGAGCAGTCTTGTGGATCCGGAAGGGCACGCCGGGCAGTGCGGCAGCATCGTGCTTTGGGTGGATTGGGTGGGCGCCGTCGGCGTGTCTCTCGCCGAGTCGCACATAGGCTGCCGACACTCCTAGCACACTAGCCCTCAGACGCTCTGGCCTTTCCACGATAGTACTCAGGGCGGCCTTGGATGTTCGGGGTCGCGAGAAACGGTGCCCGTAGCAATTGTCCTGGATGATCACAACCGTATTCGCCGGGGTGGTCGCGTTCTCGCCGTGGTGCGCTTCGAGCTCGACCTTGAAATGGTCCCTGGCAATGGACGAAGCAGTCGGCGGCGGCGGAGGGGGCGGCTCCTCGCAGAGGTCACCGCCTAGCGGAGAACGGCTCGAGGGCGACATGAGGTTGGCGGAGCTGGCGCGGCGCGGGGCCGCCGGGTTGCTCGACGAGCGGAGGGAGTTGAGAGAGGCCTTTCGCAGCAAGGCCGGAGTGCCAGAACGGGGGTTCGGGCCATTCAGAGGGCTCCGGGGCGCGCCCCTATTGCTGGCGACGCTGGGCGACCGGCTGCTCGAGCCGTTGAAAGGGCCGCGGCTAGACGCGCGCGGTGTCCTGGCGGGAGAGCCTGTTCGCAGGGAAAGGCCATTGAGGGAGTTCGAAAGGTCCGTGTCAGCATCGCGACCTCGGCTTGCCAGGCTCTGTTGCCTGGACGGGGTGGCCGTCCCAGAGGAGGAAGCCATAGTCGGCGGCGGGCGCAATTGTTTGTCCAACGCGCACGCGCTCGTGGGTTCAGGACTCGGGATGTAGTCTAAATAGAGCGAGTGCTGTTTTGTTTGCTATCAGATGAGAGCTGCAGCAAGTCGCATCAGACGACCCCCTTCAGGCAAGGTGACTGAATTGCATAAAAAAAAGTAGGATGGCGATGTACGGCCCTGCACTTTGTACGAACAAAGTAGACGTTGATGCAAGGGTGTATGTAACAAGGGTCACTTGGCCAACTCTGGAAAATAGAGGGTTCGCGTCAACATCCGTCATTTAACCCCCACTGGCCCCTAGCTCTACCGCCCACTATCGCACTGAGACGCGTCTGGCGTCTGGCGTCATAGCCTGGACTGACCCGACTTACTGGCACGGGCACGGGCACTGGATTCATTTACCCCCAAACTCGGCATCTTCTTCCCCTCATCGAAGGCTTATGGAATTGGGGAAAAGAGTATTTGAAATATCTCATTACTACTTATTACCAAGCCAATCAATTCAGTGAAAGTATCAATGGTATCAGGCCTGTACAACGAATGTTTCAGGGGCACACCGGCCCCTAACAGAAAAGACAACAATATTTACAAAAGAATCTCACGGATATCAAGTCGTAAAGTAAAGGTCATAAAAGAACCCGACCAGCTGCACCATCTCGGTACCTCGAAACAAAAAACATATATCGAGCATATATATCCTTATGCCAGAAGCATGCCGGCAAAGACGGCTCCCAGGACCACAAGTCCGCTGGCGGCATTGCGAGCTGCCGGACTGCGAGGAGGGGCCGTGGTGGTGGGAGGAGGGACGGTGACGGTACTCTTGGGCCCGTTGTCCGGGGTGGTCGTCGCACCGCCGGAGCCGCCGACGCCGCCACCGCCGGAGCCAGCAGTGGTCGTGTCGTCATCGCTACTACCGCCCCTAGCCCTGGAGGTCGTCCGGGAGGCCGGGTAGTCCTCGCAGAAGGTGCTCAGCTCGGCGATATCTGCAAGAGTCCCACGTGTCAGCCACAGTGCTCGCGGTTTTTTGTTTTTCATACCTGATTAGGTATCACATGGTGGCCATGAGGCCGCCATGATTGGAACTCACCAGAGTAGCCGCTCGACAGGCCGGTCCTGGCCCACGAGGCGCACGAGGAGGCGTAGTCGTCAAACTTGGTGGTGTACGTCCTGCCGCTGTAGCAGATGCACGAGGCCTGCTGCCGGCCGCTCTGGGAGAGGAAGTCGTCGTCCTTGCGGGAGCACGACTGGATGATGGAGGCGAACGAGCTGCACGCCGCCGGGCGCGAGGCGGCCGTGATCGAGCTCCGGGCGGTCCTGGACGAGGCCGTGGCCGAGGCGGTGCCGCTGGCGAGCCCGGTGGCGGAGCAGATGCCGCGGCCCTGAGCGGTGCACAGCGAGGAGGCGATGGAGACGACTAGCCGTGAGAATGTCAGTCGTTTGGCACACACAAGACACACACACAAAACAAAACAAAACAAAACAAAACAGGATCAGGAACTCATCGTCGACGCACGGGTGTAGTCGTTGGTGTACTGGGGCGCCGAGGCCGTGATGTAGCTCTTGCAGGAGCTGTAGAGCGGCGCGACGTAGGAGGACCGGGAGCAGCACATGCAGGCGGCGATGACCGAGTTGGCGGCCTTGGTGAAGTTGGGGATCTCGGTGACGCAGAACTGGATCAGGTTCTCGGCGTCGGCGCAGGCCTCCAGGCCGCCGGGCGCATCGGTGGCGGCGGCGGCGGCGGCGATGTTGGCCAGCTGGTTGACGCCGGGGATCTCGACAGCCGTCGGGGCCGGGGTCACCTCGGGCAGGTCGGGCATGTAGTGGATGTTGACCGCCGCGAGGGCGCCCTGGGCGAGCAGGGCGACGGCAAGAGCTCGAGACATGGTGTGGGAGCGGCTTTTTGAGGACTGGACTCGGACTTTGTCTTTGTTGACTCACGGTTCTTCACACAGTTGGCAATGGATCGTGTCGAGAAGCACTAGCTAGCTACCTTCAAGTCCGGGGAAGAGCATCCTCGCGCGGGAGAGAGTGTCGTTGGCCGCCATTATAAATACGAAGAGCAAAAGCTCTCCCCCCGCGCGGGCGTGGCACCGACTGGGCCCGGCAAGGCAAGCCATTCCCACTCTCGCCAAGCAAATGAGGCAGAATCGTCGAGTTGATCGGCCTCTTTAACGGAAGCCCTGTCGGAACGGCGATGCTCGATTGGCCGGGCTCGTCAGCCAAGAGGTGCAATTTGAAGCTGTCGGGGGTGCTGTCTCTGACAAGCGCCGAGCTAATTTGACGGATGTGGGCCCAGAGACCTCAGCCCAACGCCTCCAACGCCTCCACCGCTTCTAAAAGTCTCGACGGTCGGAAGCTACTGCGCTGCGCAAAGCCGTTCCCAGTGGATGCGCTGTTCACCAACGGTGTCATACTACCTAATTGTGGATTCTACCTCCGTACGGACCAACCGCGATCCCAATGATGCTCTGTTTTTCATGGATCGATCATCTGGGGAAGCAAGAGCAGGCCCCTGGTGGACGACAAGGTCAACCAACCTCGTGCCCGGCGGTGTTGGCTTCGTGATATATCCAGTCCAGCCATCACGAAAATCTTACGGAGTATTGAAAGGAGCAGGCAACACCACCCCAATAGTCAATGCTTGGCAGCTGAACTTGGCTTTGCAGTGCTAGCGCCACCCGACATCCGGTGGGATCCCATGTACACTGGCTTTCGCTTAATCTCCTGCCTGGTGGTGGTGCCGACCATCCGTGCTGTTGGTGGTGATTGTCCTCCAAAGGAGCGAGGCTGTGCTCCTCGCCCAAAGGCCAAGATTGGCGGCGCAGCACCAAGAAACAAAAGAACGGAGCCGCACAACGGCGTTTGCTTCCCGACGCCCTCAATCGCACTACCCTCGAGTTCTTCACCGAGGTTCGGTGTGTGGATGCCCGTTGCCATCATGTCTGAAACAGAGCACATGGTATGACTCGGTTTATTTCTCTGGAAAGGTTGACGATCTGGAAAGGGCGCCTCAAGAACTTGAGACCGTTTATCACGAGGGCCTGTCCTCCGCCTCCGGATCGGCAAGGCTACATTTTGATATCCACATGGCCGAGAACCATGTGGATGGAGAGGAGGATGGATCCGTTCAGACGCCGACACGCTTCTTCACGAGAAATGCTCCGACCCTCTTTCACTTACGGCCATAGAATCAGGAAAACTCGGGATCCCGTCCGCTCTCCCCTTGATAAGCCTGTTATCGTCAGAGTAGTAGTTGGGTCGGTGACGACCAGCGAATGCCTGATGCTGTAAGTTTTTCTTTTTGCCTCATCTTATCTTTCCTAGAGGGAGAGATACTGGGTACGTCAGTACAAGTCTTCACATCATCAGGGATACCTCACAAGGGAACCGAGCGGGCCGTTCATCGGAAACGTCGGCGTCAGGGCATAGAAGTACCTAGATAGCTTATCCCAGGATCCCTCATCCCAGAAGGATCGTATACACCAGATGGTATTGTGATAGCACTCGACTTCAACGTTGACAACATGTTTATATATGCAATTGGGTATCGACGCCAACGGCTCGTGCAAGCTACATAAGTCTCTAGAACCTCACTCCCCTACGTCCTTGGGCTCCGGAGGAAGCCGACGACACCGCCACAGTAGCCCACCAAGCTGTCCAAACGGTCCTTCTCCCTCTCCTGATGGTGCTTCCACTGCTTCAAGGCCTTGACCAGGTCTTCGTTGCTCAGCACGAGCTCAAAATGAAGCCTGAGGAAGACTGTCATCCACGCCTGCGTCAGCTCGTAGTCCCGGCGAGATATGAGACGGGCGGTCAGAGCGTGAATAAAGTGCAAGAGCTCGTTAGACTCCGCATCGCCGTCTCCGATGGACAAGGACCTGAGTTCCAAGTCGGCTGTCGAAGGTGAGAGGGATTTGAGATGCTCGATGAAGTCATTGTCTGCAAATCCACACAGTTAGTAACGTCTTGACCATGGCAAGTAATATTCAGTGACGGTCCGAACTTACAATTGCCTGCAGCGGCTCCATCCCGCAGCTTCATTGTGAACAGTTCTTGCAAACGGCTTTGATCGAGCTTTGTGATCCTCGACTCCTTCTCATCGGCAGGCTTGTTGGCACCCGTCTCGCCCTTCTTCAAGGTGTCTGCACCCGTGAGCGAAGGGAGGAAGAAGGGGGCCTTCTCGGGTTGCTTGGGGGCCTCCTTGGGCTTGTTCCGTTGCTTGATGACATCCAGGTGAAGCAGCGTCTGCCACCTGCTCTTGGGGACAAGACTCAGCGTCATCATGTCGGAACTGAGCTGTTCCAGAGTGGGCGCTGCCACAGTGTCGTCCTCCTCTGCTTCAGCATCCTCCTCGAAGGCAGCCTCGATCAGTCCCGCGCCACCCTCACCAGATGCCGTAGGACCGGAAATCTTGCCGATTTCCTTCTCCGAAATCTGCCTTGTTGGAACGTGCTTGAACAAGGTCTTGTTTGTCCAGATATGAACGCCGAGGTCACCCTCGGTGGCGGCGGCGAGATACTCCCCGGTGACAGAGAAGGCCAGCGCTTTGCAAGGCCGCTCGAGACGTATAGCGTCGATGAGGTGACTCGTGGGCAGATCCCAAACGCGGATGACGGCGTCTTCTGCTGCAGCAATAATCCAACGCCCATCGTTGGAGAAACAGAAGTCATTGATCCCACCTCCTGACCCCCAGAACTCTCTGATGGTGTTCTTGGTCTCGATGTCGACAACTCTGATGGAGCCATCGTCACACGAGAAGGCGACAAGGTCATTTGCAGCGTGGTAACGGCAGCCTGTGATCCGCGCCATGGGCGCCCAGTCAATCTGCTCGATGAGGTTGCCAGTCAGGAAATCCCAGAACTTGACGGTGCCGTCGAGAGAGCAAGAAATGACAAATCTGTTGAGAGAATCAATGATGATGCCCGTGACGGCTGCGGTATGTTTTCCTGTGCCAGGTCCAAACGCCGTCTTGCCGCGCGACTGGAGAGCAGTCACGTTATTGTCAGCTTGCTTGAGCTGCTGCAGCTTCATCTGGCGTGCCTGAGCTGGAGTCAGGCGGGAAGGGAAACGCTGCCGGTGTAGGCCAGACTGCAGGTTGAACATATCAATGCTCCCGCCCGCTGAACCAACGACAGCAAAACTGCCGCACTGACTGATGGCCACGGTGGAGACGTTCTTTCCATCGCCAGTCTGGAACGCCCATCTACCAGCACGCTTCCGCCCCCAGAACCAGGTCCGGGCCCACGGGTCGTCTTTGTGAGCCGTGACGACGCTCTCCCATCCAGTCATGCCGCTGACCTCGGCATCGTTGACTTGTTTCTTCTGGCTATTGCCTTTCTGCCACATCGGTTGGTTGCCTGGGAGAGCTCCGATGCCGCCATCCCGGTTCAAGGAGGACGCGATACAGGTAATCTCCGGCGCTTTCAGATCGTCCAAGGTCGTAGTCGGCCCATGGGACAGAGCTGCACTAGAGAGAATGCCAAATTTCTTTGCCTTCTTCCGCAGGTTGCCTTGGCTGAGCTCTGTGCTCTGGCCATCGCGACGCAGACTCCAGCCCCATAAGCTTCGGTCTTGTCCACCACTGAGAAGCCACTTGTTTCCTGCATCGGCACCGTCGAAATCCGAAGGCAAGAACTGAAGGCAGCTGACAGGTGCAGCATGGCCGCTGCGAGTGTGGAGGATACGTGGGACTGGCGAAAAGGGTGTTTCATCAAAGATCCAGGATTTCAACGAGTTGTCCAGTCCGCTGGTGACGATGACAGGCTGACCGGGGAGAAACTCGACTTTGCAAAGACCGCCCCGAACGACTGTTCCATCGCGGGATGGAGGATTGTGCGCACTGCGGAGTACGCCCATGATCCGGCCACCACCGTTCAAGTCCCAGAATGTAACATCTCCGCTCTCTGCTGTTGCAGTTGCCATCACACCCTCCTTTTTGCCGTCTTGTCCAGCGCCCTGCCCGTCAGTCCGGAAAGATATCGTCTTTATGGGTGAACCATCCATAGCAGCGCCCACCTGTATCAACACTTTGTCCTTGAGCACATCTCGAATGACCAGGGGACCTCCAGCGTATGCGATCGCCAGATAAGACAGTGCCGGGGTGGGCTCCATGCAAGTGACAGCACCGCAATCAGGCGAAGGAGGTAGCATGGTATAGAGGAGTTTGCCAGTGCTGACGTTCCATATCTCTACCCAGCCATCCTTCCTGCCTGCGAATATTTTGTTGAGGTATGTCGGCATGTTGCAGATGCCACCAGTGAGCTCATTGTCTCCAGGGCCCGAAGCGACGGGAAACAGTGTGGTGTAGTGCTCAAGTGTTGATGTCTTCCACACTTCAATCCTGTTGAGCGCACAACCGACTATCCACGATCCGAAAATGAGGATCTGCTTGATCGGTTGGTCCAGATCGGTGGGCAGCTCAATTTTCGCAACCACCTTGCCCCTCTGGAACGCCCACAGACCCTGCTCCTCTCCATTGCGGCGGTCTCCCCATGCGGCATAGACCCTCTCCTTCCAAGCGAGAGTGGCAGTGATGTTGGCCGGAGTTTGGGGCCGAGTAATGAAGACAAGGTTGAGACCTCGCTTGAGATCATACGTCTGAAGTGATCGGCCAACGGACGTGGTAATCTGGAAGGTGGTCTTGCCGAGAGGAAGGGAGGTGAAGGGAACATCGGTCGGAGACACCAGTCCTACAGTCTTGAGAGTGATTCCTATTAGCACATTACGACCCTTTGGGGGGAGGGTTGTCGACCGGAGCAGGAACTTACGCGGAAGGGAGCAAAGATATTGGACCCTCGGCTGCCAGATGGAGATACTTTGGTGGCGGCAGCATGAAGCCTCTGCCGCTTGATCAAGGGCCCATCGTGCTCTGAATGTGGCATTGTATCAAAGAGAATGCGCCTCCAGCTGAAGGGCGCACAATCTCTCTGCTACAAGATGCTGCAATGGCACGTTTGGGGATAGACAATATTCGTATTTGCCGTAGGAAAATCGTTATCGGGAACAAAAAATTTGGAAGGCTTATCGAGACGATAAGGCCTACAGTCTTCAATTGGTTTGACCAATGTCAGTATCGCATTCCGAAGCCAGCCCCACCTTCTTGAGGATTAAGCGGTGGTCTGAGCTTCTTGGGCAGGTCCAAGGCCCGCAGGCCTTCTGAGTCTTCGTTGAGTGCGCTAATCGCTGCGGTGCACAGGGTCCCTAGACTCTTTTCCAGGGCTACACGAAATATTCCGACAGTGTCTCATGCGGGTTGATCAGTCCGCTAATCGAAGACCTCCACAGGATCGACCCAGAGCCTCATTGAATCAAGGCCAGAAACTAGGTCATCGCAGTGAAACAATCAATGTTCAATCTATTCTTCCATAAGGCTCATTCATGAGCAGTCAAGTCCATTGGAGGTGGGGATTTTTGTATAAGGACACGGCCGACTGCAATTCCATGTTTCTCTGTACCGGAATTTGGCGATTACCCGCATGACGGGTGCCAATCTGCAGGCATAATTGGGCACTTAAGTGAGGGGAACACCTGGGCAGCTCCCAACCGTGCTAGCAGAGCCGAAATGGACGAAGGTAAACAACACCGCCCGTTTGTTTCATTCAGAGTCTTCGGGCAGGTAATCTACTTACTAAACCAGGCCGAGTCCAAGTCTCCTCCACCTTGCCAGATCAAAGCCTCCGAAAGCGACGGGGGCGGGTTGACGAGTCACGCAAAGGCCCTGGTCCCTGTCAATGATGCCTTGGATGCTTGTCTTGACGGAGAGGCATTGAGACTGACGCTGTTGGGATCGTCATTCCACCATCCTTGCTTGAGCAGGTGCTGCTGAGCAGAGTTACCCTGGCCGGATCCAACGTTCCATCCTAAGTAGTCACAAAGCTCGGCGAGAAACGTGGTCCTGCTCGCACCCAGCCGTTGTGTTGCTTCGGCCTGGAGTGCTGACCAGCGATCAACCACGTGTACAGTCTCTCATGTACCCAAGGTCTTATCACAGGTCGCTCAGATGAAGGGATAAGGTTGTAGAGGGTCTCACAAGTACCAAGAGGTGCAGCATTGACTGGTCCTGGAATCTCTGAACAAAACAAATGCTTATTCGAGCCGTGCGGCCTGCTCCACGGGCCTCGTATCGGGGGAACGGTATGTGCCTTATTGAGTACAAGTAGGCCTTGAGCAACTACGCAGTACCTTTGTGCACGATGGAAGGGGCAGTGAAACAAGTATAACAAGGGATTGTAAGATGATGGGATGGGCTTTGCTAGGAGCCAGAGCCACAGAAGCACACGAGTAACCAATGGAGTCCCCTGACGTTGTGTTGCATGTGCCTGAGCGTAGGCCTCAACTGACTAATGTGCTGTACACACAGCCCATATCCCAATGCAGATGACACGCGAGTGGGCCCGGAGGAGCAGTAATCCTCGAGGAAGACGAGCTGCGCTCCATCGACAGCCCAACTTTAGATTGGCACCTATGCAAAACCAAGCGGAAGCCAGCCGACGATGTCCGCGATGCCCACGCTGATCTGGACCATCACGAGTCCGGGGAAATGGGCATAAAACGACAATCTTATACTGAAACAGGCCGCGAATTATCCCCAAATAGTAGGTGGTACCAGCCCGAAGGCCCCCCTAAACCGCCGAGTGCTATGGTCCGATGCATACAACGTGCGCCGAGCTCCTAGCTCCGCTCATTCGATGCCGCCACAGATCCCACAAGGTCTCCGTCCACGGGTGGCACTGGGACAGGGATTAGTGCGAGGTACTTTGTTGCTTCCCGAACCTCACGCTGTGAGCACGCTTGATTGGTGAGATGAAAGAAACACATCGCCTACCAGGCCGGGGTGCCGGAGGCACAACATCGGTGACATGGCTTGGCCCGTGTGTACGGCCCCTGTCCGGTGATTCACTGCCGCACCGGGGGGATGTGCAGCGTGAGTACTTAATTAACTCGCTCATCCCTCCCAAGTGGTCACGGGCAGTCTGGCTGGTCATCCAGGTCGTTGTAGGAACTGCTGTCTATTGTCTATATCAGGAGTCCAGCCTCCCTCCATTGTGGCCTGGCATCCCAGAAGCATCTTCTCTCCTATACACTGTCACTCACTTCAATATGGTCAACCTACGAGCTGTGGGCTCTTTTGCAACGCGAGCTGCGTTGCTTGCCTCGAGCCAGCTCTCGGAAAGGGCAGATAGGGCTACTTACACCCAGAACTCAGTTGATGCCATCAAGGCCCTGCAAACATGGTACGACTCTGGAACGGGTCTCTGGACATCGACCGGGTGGTGGAACGGCGGCAACTGCCTCACCGTCCTTGCTGACTTTTCGGCCCTCAATGCCAACGAGGCGAACAAGCTGAACCTGGGCGGCGTCTTCGCCAACACTTTTCAAAACGCACAGAGGTCGACGGCCATGGCCGTCGTCAAGACCATGTCTCCCTCTGGCTTGATGACCAGCTCGTACAGCGCCATCGCCGCTCGAGATCTTGCGGAGCGTGGGTTCGCGGGCTTCATCAATGACTACTACGACGATGAGGGTTGGTGGGCTCTGGGCCTCATCCGAGCCTACGATGTCACCGGGGAGAACGCCTACCTGCAGATGGCAGAGAGCATCTTTGAGGACATGAAGGGCGGCACCGACAACACCTGCGGCGGCGGCATCTGGTGGAGCAAGGAGAAGAAGTACAAGAACGCCATCGCCAATGAGCTGTACCTGAGTGTTGCCGCCTCCCTGGCCAACCGCGCCAGCAACAAGCAGTATTACAAGGACATCGCGACCCAGCAATGGGCGTGGTTCAAAGGCTCCGGCATGATCAACTCGAACAACCGAATCAACGACGGCCTCAACATTGGCTCGGACGGCAAGTGCACCAACAACGGCCAGAATGAGTGGACCTACAACCAGGGCGTCGTGCTGGGCGGCCTGGTCGAGCTCTACAGAGCGGGCGGCGGTGCAGATCTGCTCGCGCAGGCCAAAACGATCGCACGCGCCGCCATCAGCAAGCTCTCCCAAGACGGCATCTTGCACGAGAGCTGCGAGCCCAACTGCGGAGCCGACGGCGCGCAGTTCAAGGGCATCTTCATGCGGAACCTGCACTACCTGCAGAGCACGTCGCCCGAGAGCGACTTCAAGACGTTCATCATGGCCAATGCCGACTCGATCTGGTCCAAGGACCGGGCTGACGGCAACAAACTGGGCCTCGTCTGGTCCGGCCCTCCCAGCGCAGAGAACGGTCCTACTGCAGGCACTCATAGCTCAGCCATGGATGCGTTGGTAGCCGCCGTTGCTGCTGCCTAAGAGATATGATCCTGACATGATCCATGTTTTGCTTGTTTTGACTTCTTCATGTATATAACTTGGAGCGTTGACAGCGTTAGGCAACAGCCATCGTGCACCCAACGTTGGGATTGGTTGAAAGTTTGGAACACATTCAGGAAGGCGTTTCAGGGGAAGGACCATGGCAGCGGGTTGTTAACACGGCGTTCATCAGTCAACTCAAGTTTGAAGTCTAGATCAGAGCGATCATCTTGCTTAATCATACAGAGTCGGCAAGCCCAAGTTGCATTATGACCTTCACAGCCGGAGTGGCCGAAAGCTTCTGTCGTGATACCGGATTCCCAGATACGTTTGATATGAACGCACATACAAAGACGTCTCCCCACGAAACTTTAAACCCACCCCTCAATCGAGTTCGGTAATGTGGAGGAAGCAAGAGATGACCCCTCGAGGTTCTGCTGTATGTGGACCGAGTGGCGGCGGTGAAAGGACATTCACGGATTCGAGCGATGTTGCAAGCGTAAGCAGCCCGCCCTCGAAGTGTCTGCCCTGTGCTGTAGATGTCTCGTAGTTAGTGGGCTTCACTGAAGATGCACGCTAGCCATCGCCTGAATCACCTATTCGGCAGCGCTATTTATGGGTTCTACCGCGCACGCACATTCCCGAAAACATCCATGGATCCACTTTGGAGGCATCAACCAATCTCCCAAGAAATGTGGCTGCCTCGTTTGAGCTCTGGTTGAATAGCACAGCGACGCCCGCAAGCCTTTACAGTGATGCTACCATTGATAGCTTGCTCAGTGGTGTACTTCAGGTGAACGGTACTTTGTGCCAGTATCTTGTGTCAACAATCGGTGCACCAGATTGATCACTCCACCGCTCCATCACGATGGATGCTCCAGAGCACGATCCAGATATCAAGCTTCAAAAGAGCTCCGCCGACTACATCGCGGATTTTGACCGAAGCCTGCTTCCTTTGATAAAAAGGCACGATGCAAACGGAACGACAAGTCTTCGATCAAGAGTGCGGTCCCGGGAAACCGCTCGACTTGCGGTTCTTGTAAGACCAAGATATGAGCTTCCGTGCTGCTGCTCTGCCTGCTCAGACTAACATTGAGATTTCTAGGTGCTTGATCCTTTCCAGGAGATACCTCAACTACTAGATCCGCATCTGCCGAAATGGATCCCTATTCTCGGCGATGCTTTGCTGGAGTATCTGCAAAGCCCCTATCGGCACAAAGCATTGTCTACGCGGTCTGAACTCTTGATGCCACTTCGCACCGCCATCTGCGATCTGCTGTATCATTTCTGCAAGATCAGAGGCGAAAAGGTCATCATTCGTTTCCTCAGTGTCGAAGCGAGATATCTGGAGCTTCTATTGTCCGCCTTGGAAGACGCCGAGCGAGAAACAGACCCTTCTACTTCAAGGCCCTCTCTCAATACTTTGGGCGCGAAGCCGACCACAAGATGGAAGTGGGAGGAGAGATATATCTTTCTCCTGTGGCTCTCACACCTATTCCTTGCACCTTTCGATTTGTCCACAATCTCATCTGTCGATCCAGGTGACGAGGATCTGCCCAGCATTGCTGGCTTCCAATGGCCACCGGATGTTCCTGGCATCACCATTAGAGTACTCCCACTTGCAATGAAGTACCTGTCATCCCCTGGAAAAGAACGAGACGCCGCCAAAACCCTTCTAGTTCGGATCGCTATGCGTCGAGACATGCAGTCCTTGGGAATCCTCGATGCGCTTGTGAAGTGGGCGCTGCTTTCTCTCCGACCTCACAAGGACGCCCCTTCTCGGTCACCATATCATTACATCGGCATACTGTCATTTCTCGCAGGTCTTCTCTCGTCCTCTGCCGATACATCTGACATGGACAAGTATCTCAGTAGCGTATTTTACGCAACTCACGAGCTCGCCTCGAGCACCGATCCTGGCCTTGAAGCCGTGTCTTCGTCTGCTCTGGCGAGGAAATTGATGATCAAAGTCATCAGATCAGCAGCCGTTCTTGTACTCCGCAAGTCCCCACAGGATATGGCAAGCACAGAGCTGGTCGAATCAACCATAGGCTTCCTCCTGGAGAGACTTGCGGACAACGACACTCCTGTTCGTTTTGCAGCAAGCAAGGCGCTGAGCATCATCACCCTGAAGCTTGACGAGGACATGGCTTCGCAGGTCATTGATGTTGTGCTAGAGTCCCTCAACCGAAATGTCCTCTGGGTCAAAGATCCCACTAATCCTTCGACGCCTCGCACTCGAGATCTTACGTCGGTCGATGCCCTTGAGTGGCACGGCTTGATGTTGACACTTTCACATTTGTTGTACCGCCGGTCCCCTCCCGCAGCAAGTCTCCCCGACATTATCCACGCCCTCATACTTGGTCTAGATTTCGAGCGGCGCAACGCTTCCGGTGGCTCAACCGGGACGAACGTCCGCGATGCCGCTTGTTTCGGCATATGGGCCGTGGCGCGTCGGTACACGACCGCAGAGCTCCTCGCAGTGCCGACCAAGTCTTTGAGCGTGACACAGTCCAATACGTCGCCGTTGTCTGTGCTCCAAGTCCTGGCAACAGAACTCGTTGTGACCGCGAGCCTGGACCCTGCCGGCAATATCAGACGCGGGAGTTCGGCGGCACTTCAGGAGCTCATTGGGAGACACCCTGATACAGTCATCCAAGGCATCTGGGTTGTACAGACTGTCGACTATCATGCCGTCGCCCTACGCTCGAGGTCCATCTCTGAAGTCGCCCTGAATGCTACGAAGCTAGCTGGCCATTATGGTCGAGCAATTCTGGAAGGTCTCCTTGGCTGGCGAGGGATCGGGGATGCAGATGCCTCGGCAAGGCGGACTACAGCGCTGTCTTTCGGAGCCATCATGGCAGAGCTTGCATGCGCCGGTGGCAACACCCTTGGACCAGTAGTTGACGCTGTGGATTTGATCCTCCAGAAACTCAAGTCATTGCAGCAACGGCAGGTTGAAGAACGTCACGGCCTTATTCTCTGCTTCGCGGCCATTCTCGACAAGCTCCCAGAACTGGCAGCACATCAGTCCGGTGTTGATAAGGAAACATCAAATCTGTTGATGTCAAAGTCGATATCAGGTATCCAGGGAATCATGACCGAGTGCAAGGATATCACATTTCGACGCCCTGAGCTAGTTGCTGAAGCCGCATCTCGCCTTGCAGTGGCATCATTTCCTATCTTCCAGGCTGCAGTCCTCGGACCCGAATCCCTCAACACGTTGCTACCCGGACCGAAACTTCTCGAGGCAGTCGACGACGGAACCTTCATGACAGTTGTATCGCCAATAGACGCAAACTTGGGGCACTGGTCTGAAAAGTTTGATAATTTAGTGTCTCTGATCCAGACAAACCTTCAGACCTGGCTTCTCAGACAGGAACAAGATGTCATCGAAGCCGCAGCAGAAGCCGCACTCATCTCGTTGGTCTTTACACCGACACTGGACCATGATAAGTTCAAGGGCCGCGAAACCATCTTGCGAGAGTGGGCTGCCTTGGTACGGGCACCCCCGACCTCTCGCGAGGGGACTGGGTTCGGCTACTTTTTCGCGCTCACCATGGCACACCCCATACTAGCCTGCATCCCCCGCGGCGCGGCGGAAGACAACTCTCTCATCTGCAGTGCAGTCCTGGAGAGATGGGCGAGTGACAAGCGGGTCGAGACCAGAGTGGCGATACTTCAAAGCTTGATACGGGGTGAAGTCTTGTGGCAAAATGTTCCCCTGTTTCTCGGGCTTGTCTCGGAAGGCCTCGATGATTACACAACAGCTGCGAGGGGTGACATCGGCTCCCATGTTCGACTCCAGGCCATCCGAGCGACCAAGTCTCTGTGGGAGCGGCTCGGCAGGGAGTCTGCAAATGACGATTCGGCAGAAGCGGTCATGTCTACGCTGTTCTTGAGGATCTTGCGGCTGGCAGCAGAGAAGCTTGATCGAGTGCGAGTTGAGGCCCAAAGGGTGCTCAGCCTGGCCCTGCAAACAAGGTACGCTCTGCGTTAGGTCATATTTGAGCCTCTACTAACATCCTTAGCTACTGCCACGATCTTGAGGAGTTCACGTTCTCATCCAAGGCGTACTTCTGCTACCTGCTCAACTTGTTAGGGAGCGACCATCTCCGGGAATCAGTCCTCAAGACCGCCGGACAAGATGCCGAGCGATGGATGGAGGAGCTGATGGTAGGCTACGTCACCTCTGCCGACACTGGCAACGAGGAGCTCGTCATCGCCAGCCGGGCCGCCCTGAGCGAGTACTGCGCGGCTTCGCAGGAGAACCGGGACCGGATCTGCACGGCCCTGGTCCGCAACCTCAAGCGGCTCCAGGGCCAGGACCGCACCGTGGTGTCGACCCTCGAGATCATCGCGTATCTCTTCTACGTGGACGTGTTCCCGCGCTGCGGGCAGGTCGACTACAAGAACCTCTGCCTGCAGGTGCAGAAGGCGGGCTACAAGACGGGCAACGTGCGCAAGCTGGAGGCCTGCGTCAAGGTCTACGGCGCCATAGCGGGGGTGCGCGAGCAGGCAAACTTGGCCTCGCCGGCGCTGGAGGGCAAGAGGGCCGAGGGCATGGCGGAGGCGAGGAAGAGGCTCGGGGCGCTCATGTACCACCCGTGGCCGAGGATCAAGAGCGTCGTCGTCGACGAGCTCTGGAGACTGCTCTCGGTTGGTGATGAACCGCGCGCCGAGAAGCTCAAGAGCGTGGACTGGGGCAAGGCGGAGAAGAGCTCCATCAAGTTCCTCGTGGAGGGACTGGGGCTCGCCTAAGCAAACCTTCTTTCGTACGTACTGAGAACACACAAGTCCAATGTCAAGCAAAGCAATGTGCCGTGGACCATTCGCGACCAGCAGCCCGGCGATGATCGTGATGCCTAGTCGGCGAGGAGCCACAACTCATCATCGCCAGTTCTCCAGATGGGGTTTAGTGTTTGACAAAAAAGCAAAGAGCCTGTATCAAGTTCAAATGAGCCTGTCGCAAAGCCCACATGGCGCCGCAGAAAACCCCCCACCACCGGATCTCAACAGCGTCTTCCCCGGAGTCTCGTCTTGCCTGTCCCTCCCTTGTACACACGCACGCCTCTGTCCGCCCTGTGGATCCCTCTTTCCGTCCCCTGCCTCTGTTTGCTTGTGACTGACTGAGCATTGGCGAGAAATTACGGGCCACAAAGCAAGGGGATGAGGGTTCACCTGACCAGAGCGTTTCCTCTCGAGTGGATGTCTGCTTGGCATTCTTCATCATTCTAGAAACTTTGTCATGCCTCGTCGACCTGGTAGTTATCCTGGACTTCCGCGGAGGTGTGTCCGGGACACCACTCACAGGCTGTTGCACGACAATGCTTCTAATTCCTGTCGTGTGCGACCAAGGCACCACCAATACAATAGGTGCGTTCACAAAGGCACGCAGGGCAGGGTAGGGCTTAGGTACCTATCCAAATACAAGTACGGAGTACGTACGTACGGGACTCCGCCTGGCCCACTCCCGGTCGTTTAGATTGTGCTGTAACAGTCTCGAAGAGGCAACCGGGAGGGAGAGTTTGGATCTACCTGCTAGGCATCGTATCCATGACTCTGTTCTGTCTTGCTCCTCTTATTAGCGTCGTCGCTCGTTTACTGCTTTCTGTCATTTCCACCAAGGAGACCTTTCAGGGAGGCAGGCTCAGGAAAGGATGCGAATTTAGATACTGACAAGAGATCTTGTGTGGTCTTCCCCCCATGCTGAGGCGTTTTTGCCGTTGAATCCGCTCCCCTTTTTTCCCTGACCCTCTGCCCCCTCCAGCGGACCACGTGTGAAGCCTGTCAAGTGCCTAGCGGGCTGTCAGGGGAGACCCCTGCAAATTACGATGCCTGTGGAGCGAGATGGATGGATGGAGAGCCAAGCCCGCAATGTCTTGGAACAGTATTCAGCGCGGCTTCTTTGATCACTTCTGCAAACGCTGAGATCAAGCCAGACAGACGGACAGACACCGGGCTCCACTCGTCTCAAAACCAAAGGGAAAAGGTCTTTCGTTATGAGCTGACGAAAGCACACCTTGCTCGATGAAGAAAATGAAGAACGGATTTTGATATGCGAGAGATAAAAAGTATGTGTGTGTGTGTGTGTTGTGTGTTGTGTTGGTGTGTGTGGGGAGAGAAGGAGGCCATACTCTTCAGGGGATTGGACCTCGAGACAGGCGTGCATGCGCGTGTGCGTCAACGGACTGAAAAAGACCTTGCATTGCATCGACCTTTTTCAATGCGCCAATGGGGGCACCAGAAGGGAGGAGGGGTCGTCTTCGAGAAGGAGACTGGTGGTTGTTTTCCTCCTCCCCCCGGACTGCAACCTCGAGCGCTTATTCTTCTGCGAATAGGGGGCTGGTGTGGTGGGATCGCGAGCAGGTTTCATCTGATTACCTGCGCCGTCTGGAGATCCAAATCAGCGTTTCTCCTTGGTCACCGATCCTTGCGGCCTTGGCACAGTGATGGTCAGATTCGTTGACAGGGCGAGGTTACGAAGCAGTAGCCGAAGCACTTCACCGTTGATCAGCTTGACGTATGTGTTGGGACGACCGCCGTGATGCTCGATCAACTTTGCGCCTACCATTCTGAGCTCCTGCTTGCGTTTCCTGCCCAAGGACCTTACGAATGTAAGGGCATATCCGTGTTGCGCTGAGGCATGATGGGCGCCAAGGTGGAAGTGCGCTCTTGTACGCTGGTCACAAATCACATTATCCTTCCTTCAGCGATGCGACGTGCACAGCATATTGTGTGTACCCCGAGCCACGTTAGGATCCGTCTTTAGCGTCCGATTTCCCGCTCCGACGATGTAATCTTGATCTCACCAGGCTGGTGCCGTCTGTGATTTCTCCGTGTATCTGTTTGTCTTGTCCGTTACGGTGACCAGGGAGTATTCTATGTTCAGAGACTGTAGTTGGTGAGCTAGGGGAGTACAACCCGCCCAGACATTCCGTGTCGTCCAATTCTGTTGGACAGCCTGGGAAACAACAGATATCTTCAGCTCATCGCAGCCCGATTTGCTTCTCCCCGTGCACCCCCGGAGCTGGTTGCTCTGTGTCTGCCTCGATGCGGTACCTAGAGCCGGGGTTGTGTGCTTGGGCACTGAAAACGGCAGTGCAGGGGCTCACGGGCCACGACGGGTGCGGCTTTTCGACGCCTGAAATGAAATTTGGTGTGTGCAGTGTGTGTGTGTGTCTCATTCGGTAAACGGGAACGACCTACATGCATGTTTTGGAGTCGAGTGTGGCCGCGATGGTGGTGGTCAGACACCGCACGGCCAAGCAGAGACAGACACCTTTGTCTTGTTCCTTTTCAACATCAGCCGCTCACTTGCATCGACATATCGCTCGCTCGATCGGACTGCCCAGCCAAAGGGAGCATCCTCGGTGCTATTCCCCTCTGTCGTAACTAACGGGTGCACCTCAACAGTCGTAGCGTTATTGGGGGGTGGCCGAGAGGAGGGAGGAGAACCCTGAAATCCGGGCCATTATGTACTCGTATTAATGGCCGTGACACCTGTCAATTGGAGGCAGCTTCCGGTGGAGATGATCTCAACCTCCACCGCCTCAACTCCTACCTGCTCTGCACCCTGGCCTGACACGCATACAGGCGGCGGTCATGCTTTTGGGGTGTTGGCAGCGACCGGAGCCCGTCTCTCCACTGGGTCCGATGCAGATAGTGATCTGATGTTGTCCGTCTTGTCGAGAAGCACGAGCAGGGCACAGCCACGGGTCGAAAGGACCAGTCGGCGATACAGTCGGAGAGGGGGGCCAGGTAGCGGTAGATATCGCGTGCGTATCTAGATCATCGACGTTTTTCCCGAGTGACTATCCCGAGCCAATACATGTGAAAGGTTTGGAGCCAAGCTTTTCTTCCCTTTGGGCTACGGGAGAAAGGGGCGGAGGGGACCGTTGGGTACCAGATCTGTGTGACGCGCTGACGGGGCCCCCTTCGCTCTGCCTGAGACTGTTGTCTAGCATTTCCAGAGTAGGAGGAGTCTGGGCATCTAGTCAGATACTACCGATGCACAAAAGTCGGCGCCGAGAGGCCAAGACGGTATGGCGGGCGGTCGTCGTAAGAACAGGTACATCCATAGATGCATACTCCGTCATGATTTGATAATGAAGATCAATCAAGCAGTCAAATGATGCTGTCCGATCCTGCGGAGGTTCAACATGCGTGCGTGATTACATGAGAGCATAGGTAGGGTCACAATTGCCGTTTCATTGTCAATGCGTTGATTCTTGTCCTTGACCAGAGCGGGAATGGTGTACGAGCGCAAAGTTCTGACAATCAGCAGGCTGTTGCAACTGTTGCAACGTCGGCCAGGTCAACTCTTGGACTCTTGGACTCACTCTGACGCCCTGGGCGAAGGAGCAGCAGGCTTTGAAGATCCGTCGTTTCGGCAGTCAGGTCTCTCGATCTCCCGCTGGTCAGTGTTTCAGCAGATACAAAGATGATGATGTCTGTGATATCCGTGAACAAGCTTCCACTATCATGGCTGTTCGTATGCGACGTATGTATCGATGTGACCCCGTGGCTGCTGCCGTGCTACCCCATCGGACCTGCTTGAGAGATCCCCTGCCAGCCAGCTTTCGATAGAGCACACGCTGATCGTAAACGATCGAATGGATTCCCGTCGTCGCGGCGCACAAAGAGTTTTATTAATGAACAGCGAGCGGTTGACATGTGGGGTCGTGTTTTTGGGTTACTTGACTTACAGGACGGGACGGTCCTCGTTACTTGGCGCCCGCGGGAAGCCCTCCTTGCAACCTCGTACCTACAGTAGGAGGAGGTAGGTACCTTGACCTTTCACATTGACAGACACCAATTTTAATTTAATGTCCAATCTTGAACAACCTTGGATGTACTTATCACGTCCATATTGCTGCTGCTATTGCTGCTACTGCTGCTGTCTCCTGCTTCGATGCAAGGTGAGCGGGTTGGCAGCGCAAGCCATCCCACAAAGCAGTTCAGTCCAGTCTTCCACATCGCAATCTTGGCCGACATTGGGGAATTACCAGGGATCTACAAGTACACAGCCGTTGAAAGTGGAGTTGGCGGTTTTGATCTGACACACTGTCGCGTGTTGTGTGTGCCCGCCTGACTCTCGAATCTCACTCCATCGGCGTCTTGTCCGACTTTCCCATGTCGGCGAGCATGGGGAACTTGCCTTGCCTTTCGCTTTCAATGTCGCAAGTCTTGATTCTCTGCGACGAGCGACAGGCGACAGGCGACAGGCAACCACGCCCGCATACTCGATTGCCAAACTTGCATGAGCAAACACGCGCGGGGGCTTCCAATGTTGAAACAAGTCTGCTTCCAGGGGGGCCGGGGATACTGACGATGGCAGACATCTACGTCCTCAGGCTTTGTATCTCACAGGCCGTCCTCCCGTCGTTTGCTCTTTGGTGGTTGACAGTGTCTGGGATATTGGAAACAAGCAAACGGGATTGTTTCACTCTCGCGCTCGATCTTCTGTGCCGACCATAACCACACACCGCTATGAGCTCTCAACATTTTCGACCTTCAACCTTCAACCCTCATCCCGAACCGGACTACGTCCATCTGCACATACCTCTGTGTCTCTTAGCCTGCTGACCTACTGCCGGTCTAATAAGCTGCCCATTAATAAGCTGCCCATTCATTCTTTCAAGATTATCATCCCCCTAATGACCACCCGCTTGATGTTATCCATGGGCCACGTCAGGAGTGTTACCCGATTAGGAAGTACTCCGTGCGGCTCGCCCCAGCCATCGCCTTGCCACTACGGCGACTACAGTAGCTTCGCCTGGCGATCCGTAACGGAAGCGGTCTCCAACCCCGTTGGTGAGCGGGCCGGGTTGGACGCCCGTTAGCACGCCAATCTGTTACAGGATGTGTCCAAGGCCTGCTAGGCGGCCTGGGCTTGCATGGAGATCAGCCTAGTGACCGCGAAGGATGTGCTTGGTGGGCAATCAAGGGATGGCCTCTTGCAATTGCCGAGACCCTTGGGTGCTCGAGACCGTTTCCTGGCTAGTTACTGTTGGGGATCCGGCCATAGCCGCAGCCTGTTAAGACATGGAGTGCTCCGGTGCCAGACAAATCTCCTTCAAATGAAGGAAGAAGAAGAAAAAAACAAAAAGGAAAAGTTGGCTGACCAGTCAGAGGTGCGGCCGCTCTTCTGCAGGCGCAAGGTGAGGAATCGGCTACGTCGTTTTGCTATTCGCTCGTCGACTTGTTGGATATTGGAGAGTGACAGGGAGGCTGCATCATGGGGCAATGTCAGCTCTGCATCGGCCGGCTGCACTCGTCTCCGACATTTCTGAACACCAGGGCGCTTAGATGCCTGGATCTCGAGACGCAGGTCTAATTCGAACGAGCCAATTTTGTCCTTCCCACTTAGTAGATCGATAGTATCTCTGTCCGGCGGAGTCTCTCTCTCTCTCTCTCTCTGCTGCGTATGTAGAATAGGATAGACTTGGGCCCTTCTGCTCGGCTCTACCGTCTGTCCCTCGATGGGCAGGAAAGGGAACGAGTGTGCCCATCTCCGTGTACCATTCTGCTTGCTTAGCCGTTATCTGTCACACACGCATTCTGGCAGCCTGTTGTTTCTGCCACTATTAGGCGCTACTGCTGCTTCTCGGAATCATGCTGCTCGGTGGGCTCGGTTTGCTGCATGGGGAGTGCCCTAGAGGTTTTCGTCTCGGCTGCCGGCCAGTCCACAAGGACAAGGAAAAGGAGATAGCAAAGTGGTGGATGATGTTTGCTTGAAGATAATGATGATGATGCCTGTTGCGGTGGATGTTGCAGTGCTGCGTCCACGAGGGTCGGGTGTTAATAAGATTCGCTAGTGGACTGCTAGTAGGCCCTGCTGCTACCTAGACAAACATTTACAATGTTTGGGGACTGGATTTCTGTCCTGCTCGAGGTGCTGTGTGAGGACAGGCAGGCGGGAGCTTGTTTGTTAGTCGCCGACCAGGCAGTGAGCACCCTCCCACCGTCCCATGTCTTCTTCCCTCCTCCACTTTGATGGATTGACGAGACGACCTCATTCATGTTTTGCGCTCGCTTGCACGTCCAATTACACATTGCATCTCCAATGCCAGTCTCTCTAACATGAATAGACACATCAATCCATGGATGTGCTGTGCTCTCTCCTCTCTGCTCTTCCTCCTGTCTGGTTCTAGTCTTCCATCTTGCAGTCTTTCGGGGTCCTCTCTTCTCGGCCTCCACTGCCCTGTATGCACAAAAGTAGTGTCTCCTTTTAGTGTTCCCCCTCCACTCCACCCCCGCCCCCCCCTGTAAATCTGCAGTCACCAGAAGGTCACACACTCACCTCATCGCCCCCTCTCTCGCATCTTATGCTTGTCCAGCATCCCACTCCAGAGTCCCACGCCATCGACGCCACCGACCGAAAGCAGTAAAATACCCTGGAAGACCTGCACTTGCGCCCATCCTTGAAACTGCCGTCTCTCTCTCACTCTCGTCTTCTTTTCTTTTTCTACTTGTACGGAGGACCTGACTACTTGTACTTGCTGGTACTCACCCGTCGGCTGTCACCAACGAAACGGCGGCCCCTGTCCGCGGAACCCTCGTCCCTCCCCTCTCTCACCACCCACTGCCTACCATCGCGCATCACCGCCGTTGGGCCATTTCCATCAATCCACCCAATCCCCATCCCCATCGCGTCCAGCCCATCCATCAAAGCAACCACGCCGTCTCTCCGGGGAGCCACTGTCGAACAACCCGGCCACCACCACCCCTGCAAGAACTGCAAGAGAAGAGCAAGCAAGCACGCAGACGAGAGCTGCAGCCCACCTTTCTGCACCCGCCCTCGCCCGAGCGCATTCCAATTCCAATTGATTGATCTACTCCAGGGCTCGCGCTCATTACGAACCCCATCTCCATCTCGCTCGTCCTCCTTCTTCTCTCTTCCTTTTCCTCCTCCTCCTCCTCCTCCAAAGCCTTCTCTCGCCCTTTCTTGCTATTTGGAATTACGTATCCATAACCGTTGCGCCACCCGAGCCTCGACAAACTTTGCAGCCAGTGCCATTTTTAGACCCTGGACATCGGAGATAGCCCTTCTGCTGCCAGACTCGCTGGCCTGATTCGTACCGACTTGGCCCGATCCCGTCTAGCCCATTCGCTCTGGTGCTACAAGCGAACGAGCGACGCAAACTCTCCAGGTAAAAGTACCTTCTTTCAGCCGGCCACGCACTCAACGGCGCGTGCGTCTGTAGCAACATCGAGAGAGCTACAGTGACGCTATACCTCATACGCCCAATCGAGGCCGTTCTCCCTCAACGCCGCCTCCCGAGTACGGCCTGGTTGATCGATCACGACTCGATAAATTTGAACCTGCCAGCCAGCAATTGACTGCGCTGAGGAATCCTCCAACAAGACGCCTTTCCTGTCCTCATTCCAACAGCACACCTCGCCGCGCTCGATGATGGTTCTGCTGGTGCTGTCATAACGACACGCACTCTCTTTCCTCTTTCCCTCCGGCCCACCGCCGCTATTCCGCACCTCTTCCGCATCATCGTGCCTTGTGTGGAGTGGCGCATCTTTGCGTGTCTCAGTTGTTAGTGCTCTCAAGCGCTCTGAGTCGCATTTCACCTGCTTGGCTCTCTTGCACTTGGTCAAGGGCCAAAAAAAGTCGTCTTAATCGCGAGACACTCACTCCCTTCTCTCATCCTCTTATTCCTTCAAGGACCCAAACCCTCCGGGTCCTCCTTTTGCTGTCAAAATTCCGTCCAACGCCGCTGCTCCTCCATCTACACGAGCTCGCAACGCTGGAGGCAGCGACAAGGAGCTCGCCATGGATGCGCTCAGGAATCTCATCGGTAACATACCGGACTGGTCGAAGCGCCTCGACGAGCTCAGCGGCCAGATCGCCCAGCGACAGATTGAACTGGCCAAGTTCTCCGACTCCGAGTCGGCCGCCAGTGGCGTCGAGAGGACAAAGTCGCTCAGGAATAAAGGCTCAACTGAGAGCCTCAAGCCCAAAGATGACCCCGAAGCCCACCCCGGTGTTGCTTCGCCCCCCCGCCAGCAGAGCCCAACGCCTCTGAAGGGTGCGATGCCCTCACCTGCCCAGATCACGCAAGATCAGCCACCACAGACACCCCAAACCCAGACGCCGCAATCGCCAGCACCGGCGCAGGCGCAGGCGCAGGCACAAGCACCAGGCACGAGCCCGCTGCCCTCGCCGAGCCATGCCAACGGCTCCCCTGCTGCTGCTCTCCACCACCAGGCGAACCAGGTCATGGCCATTGCGCAAGCCAAGGCCCGCGCAACCCTTCGCAAACGCCACCGGCCCGAGTCGGTTGTCTCCGCTGAGGGTGCGCCGCCCAAGTACCGGAGTCGCAGCATGGTCATTGTCTACTATGACAGCTACGTCCAGTCCTTCTTTGAGGAATTGGTCAAGTTCGTGTCTGCATCGCGCAACTTGATGCGCAAAGCCAAGATGGCAGCCAAGGTCGCACAGATTAAGCGGATGGCCGAGCTTGAGATGCCAGACGACGAGGAGGACGGAGACGACAGCATGCCAAGCCAGACGATCGGCGGTGCTCTTCTGGCCTCTTCAAAACTGGTGGCAGATACTCCACTCGAGGCTAGCAAGGACAAGAATGATGAAGAGGATCTCCCACCGCTCAAGTATATCAGCACACGGCGCATGGGTCCAGTATCGAGGACCGCGGGAATGCTGGCCACAGGGAGACCAATGTATCCTCGGGCTGGTCAGCGTGCACAGATGCAGTCGAGCGGTAGTCTCGCGATATCACGAGCCAATGCCAATATGGATGGCAAGCCTGATGTCTACGACGAGCTCGACAAGGGCCTCGAGTACGTCCAATCCATGTGCGAGCATGCGGCACATCAGTTCTTGCGAGACGGCGACTGCAACGAGGAGATTGAGAACATCAAGCGCCGGCTTGGCGAGACCAAGGAGTCTGCCGACAAGGAGATGGAGCGTGTCATCAAGGAAGAGCCCGAAACGCTCAACAACCAGGAGCCTCTCAAGACGCGCAGCTTTCGCCCGCAGAGCATGAGACGCGACGTGATGCCCGATTCGCCGGCCGCCAAGGAGGTAAACAGCAAGCTCGAGGTCGATGAGGCGATCGACGACATGGACGAGGAGCCGCCGAAGCTGGTGTACAAGTCGACCCGCATGATGCGATGAGCACAGACATCTATATCATGGCGGCATCTGCTGGCTGGCCTTGTTGGGGACTCGAGCTGAAGTCATTGTTGGCAGAATGCTCCAAGTGAGGGGGCTGTGAAAGCAAGCTACCTCACCATGGCCAATGCAATGGCGGCTGGGCTGGACTTCCTACATGAAAGACGTGCAGTCTGGACATTTGCGGCTTCGCTCACAATTCCAAGATTGGTCGATATTGAGTGGCGCCACTTTCGAATCTCCCGCTCTTGAAGTCTGTGATTCGAGCTCCTAGCCCCGGTTAATAAGCTGAGGAGAAAGGACAGTCTAGTGCACAACGACATGCGTTGCTGTGACTGCCGTTTGACTCATTCTGGGTGGTAGGACCGCAAGACTGTGGAAGGGCGGTTGAGATGCAGTTGGCGGAAGATTGTACGGGAGAGTTTGACGACTTTACGCTTTTGAAACGCCTTGACGACATAAAATTACTCTGTTCATCTACAAGGGGGACAACAATCTGATTTCTTGGGTCTACTCGGGGAGTTCTCGGGCTCAGGGTAGTTCGAGCCACGTGCTACAGGTGGTTATAGCCACACAAGAAGAAAAAAAAGTTTGGGAGGAAGCAAATCACCAATCGGCCACGCTCGTTCTGCAGGTTTTGGATATGGCATATAAGCGGCGCCGGGGTGGGTGGTGAATGGTATCTTGGACAACCAAGATTGAGCGTAGTCATCCATAGTCATTGGCAGCATTGGTGTCCTTTTCTAGAATACACACAACCTGTACGTGTTAATATGAATCAGCCTTGCGGTAGGCTCATCAAAACTGCAAAACCTGCCACCGCTGTGCTCACGGCAACTTAACTATTGGAAGATGACTTCAACTCCGTCGGGCTGACAAAACGTTGGCGCGGAGAGCCGAGACAACCATCTCGGCCGGGGCTAGGTCGGGCTCTGGCAGGCCACTACGGCGGTACACCTGGTACACCTTCCGCTGTGGGATAGCCGACGAAATCCGTGCGTGTGGAGTGCCCGCGATGTTTATTAGTAATTCATGTTCAAAAGTCCCCAACATCATCCACCACCCCCCTGTTGATCACACTCGAGTTTGACTCATCTCACCGATCCTGCTGCAACTCGGGCAACCATCAATGAGTGAGGTCAAATAAAATGGCTCTGGAGATCTGATTTATGAGTGACAAAACCCCAGAGTCGATTGTTGTCCTCCACTCCAATTGATCCATCTGTTGCTGATCTTCACACCCGGCAAAATTCTCAATGTCCGGCCCGGAAGTCTCTCCGAGCCAGGCTCCGGCGCCCGCAACGGCTGCCGAAGCCCGAGATTCCACCCCAAGCAGAGACGACGGGATCCCCATCATGCCCGTCACCAGCGCCAGCGGCGCCCCTGGCCCCGCCGGCGCCCCGATCCGACCGCTCCCCCGCCCGTCCGACTTTGGACACAGCGGCGGCGGGAGGGGTCCGAACAAGAGCGGCAAGGGCGGCGGCCGCCTCGGCGCCAGGCCCGTCGTCTTCCGCAGCACCTGGCAGGAGGTCTCGTTCGTCTTCATGGCCACGGCGGCGACCATGACGTCGTCCTTCCTGACGGGCGCGACGACCATCATCACGGCCTCGATCGGGCGCGACCTCGGCATGACGCAGGGCCAGATGACCTGGATCACGGCCTCGGCGGCCCTCTCGGCGGGCGCCGTGCAGCTCGCGCTCGGCCAGCTGGCCGACCTGCTCGGCCGCAAGGCCACGCTGACGTCGGGGCTCGCGGCCTTTGCCGTGCTCGCCGTCGTCACGGGCTTCGCGCGCGACCCTTACTGGATGGACGTCTTCTGCGGCCTGCTGGGCGTGTGCTCGGCCCTCGTCGTGCCGCCCGCCATCGGCATCATGGGCGCCGCGTACGACCGGCCCAGCCGCCGCAAGAACCTCGCCTTCTCGGCCTTTAGCGCCGGCAACCCTCTCGGTTTTGTCTTTGGCAGCATCGCCTCGGGCGTCGCGGCCCGGCTGTTCAACTGGCGCGCCGTGTTCTACCTGCTCGGCATCCTGTGGGCGGCGCTGGCCGTCTTTGCGCTGTGGGCGGTGCCCAGGGTCGAGGCGTTTGGCCACCGCCAGGGCGAGGAGGAGGGCGAGGGAGGAGGAGGAGGAGGGAGCAAGAAGTTTACCGTGCGCCGGCGGCTGGTGGTGTTCATGCGGACGTTTGACTGGGTCGGGGCGGTGTTTACGCTGTTTGGCACGGGACTGTTTGCCGCTGCTGTTACGTGAGTTGTCATTCTCTCTCTTTTGGTGTCTGGTCAAGTGGCTTTTTTTCTTGTTTTTGGGACCACCGGGAACTGACGACAAGACTTGCAGGCTCGGACCGGCCGACGGCTGGAAGTCGGCGCACGTCATCGCCATGCTCGTCATCGGCATCTCGCTCCTCGTGCTCTTCGTCTTTTGGGAAAACTTCTACGAGCACCCGCTCATGCCTCCGCATATCTGGAAGGACAGGAACTTCAGCCTCGTACGTCCCCGATCGTCCCTTTGGCTTTGCCCCCAAGACTTGCTGTCGTCCCATTAGTTACTGACCTACCTCGTCTCGGCGGCAGCTCATCATCGTCATGGTCTTCGGCTTCATGGCCTTCAACTCTGGCGCCTTTTGGCTGTCGCTGTACATGCAGCAGGTCCTGCGCTTTGACGCGCTGACGGTCGCCTTGCACCTCCTGCCGCAGTGCATCGCCGGTCTGATCTGGAACATCGTTGCCGGCAGCCTGCTCCACCGCGTCAACAACACCATCTTGATGGCCGTCGGGGCCGTCTCGTACTTTGCCGCGTCGCTGCTCCTGTCGTTCAACAAGCTCGACAGCAGCTACTGGGCCTTTTTCTTCCCCTCGCTCGTGCTGATGGTCGTCGGGGCCGACTTCCAGTTCAACGTTGCCAATGTGAGTATACAACAACCCACTCACGCCTATCCCCCTGACTGGCCACTAATTTCTCTTTGTTTCAGATGTACGTCATGCAGTCTCTCCCGTCGCACAAACAGGGGCTGGCCGGCGGCATCTTCAACACGACCATCAAACTCGCCACCACCGTAGCGCTGGGAGTCTCGACGGCCGTGTATAGCTCGGTCGAGCGGACAACCGAGGGCATGGAGGACCCGGTCGTCAAGTACACGCGGGCGTGGCAGGTGTCGATCGCATTCTCGGCCGTCGGTCTCCTGGCTGTTCCCTTCCTGCGCATCGGCACTCAGGGCAATGCGACACACGATGATGATGATAACGGTGACCCTATGGAAGCCACAGGTCTGTCGGAACTTGAACCCTCTGCGGTGAAGACGAGCGAGAAGAAAAGGACCGATATGGCTTAGGACTCGAAGACATCACTAGAAGCAGGCAACATCAGTGCTTCGTAAATATAAGATTGTCCCATGTACAGATAGATATTCACAGAATGCATAGAAGGGAGGCCTAGGAAAAAGTATTCAGCGGGATAGAACAGGCAATCGTATACGTCGGCATGTCCACCACCTGCGTCATCCTCAGACTCGCGGCCACGCTGGCCAGCATGTAGGCATCCGCCCTGCTCAGCCCTTTCTCCCCGACGAGCCAGTCCAGGACGCCCCGCAGCGCCATCCGCGCCGCTTCCGTAGGGTCCTCGTGGATGCCGAGCGCCGCGTACTCGCCGCCGTCCGCCTCGGGCGGGGCGTCCCCTTGCGACCTCGGCGCCGTGACCAGGTGCGGGCTCCGCATCTCCCACTTCCTCTCCGGCCCGCCGCCCCCGCCGCCCTTGTTCTTCTTCTTCTCCACCGTCAGCCGCAGGCGCGCCCTCATCGGCGTCTCGATGGCCGTCCCGCACACCTCGCCGTCCCCCTGCGCCGCGTGCCCGTCGCCGCAGCTGAGCAGCGCGCCCGGCGCCCGCACGGGCATGAACAGCGCCGTGCCGGCGCGCAGGTCCCGCGTGTCCATGTTGCCGCCGATGGCGGCCCGCGGCGGTATCATCCCCAGGTCCGGCGCGCCCGGCGCCGGCGCCACGCCGACGATGCCCAGGAAGGGCCGGATCGGGACCGATATGCCCGGCGCGAAGACGGCGCGCCGGTGGCCCTGCGGCGACGTGGTGGTAGTCGCGTTGCCGCTGCTGCCGCTGCTGCTGCTGCTGCTGCTGCTGCTGCTGCTGCTGCTGCTGCTGCCGCCGTCGGACGACAGGTCCCACATGTGCAGGTGCGGCTCCGGGAACTCGTCGGCGAGCAGGCCGAAGCCCGGGAACACGGCAGTCCAGCCGTAGGGGCCGGGCGTCAGCTCCAGGATGTCCACGCGCAGGACGTCGCCCGGCTCGGCGCCCTCGACGTAGACGGGGCCGAAGGCCGGGTCCGCCTTGGCAAGGTCGAAGTCCCGGATGGCGGTGCCGGCGGCGGCGTTGTCCGGGCGGATCTGGTTGTTGCCGCCGTCTTTGAGGTCGAAGGTTACCTCGGAACCCGAGGGGACGGTCAGGACCGGGGCCACGGTGCTGGACCACTTGAGGTGGAGCTGGTGGGTGGTGACGTGGAAGGACCGGGATGCCATGTTCGGTTCAATGTGGTTTAGTCTTTCCTGTTGCTTTGATCCTGTGAACGCGGAGCTGATGAGTTCCAGATGCTGGCTAACGAGGATCGGGGAACTTTTGGGCGGAGACCCAGAGATCAGCGGAGAGGGCGGTCCCGGTTTCCCCGCTTCTTCCCCGCGTGCTCCCTTTTATCATAGCTGCGGGAAATGAGGAGGTCGGTGATTTGATCAGTCAAAGGTACCCGATATCTTCATGTTGCGTTGGAGATTGGTGGATGCAAGCTCGCATCCTGGTTAATCTCGCGATGATTTCGGCCGATTCCCCGAGCCGGACCCTTCAGCCGCGACCAAGATGCAGGTTCTCCCCACTCGAGCTTCCCCAGATCTCTCCCCCGCAATCAAAAGAGGGATTAGAGGTTCTCCTCCTCCGTGGAGCTCCTGCTTGGGACCTTGCATGGCCGTGACCCTAATCGGCAAGATGTTATGATAGAGCCGGAAAAATTGGAGGCGAGAAGCCTCAAAACTCCCTGCTCGGTTCATCTGCATGCCTACAACCTGGTTCCCTATACAGGATGAGGTCATCTACAAAATCAAGGAGCTGCTCGTCGAACGACGATGATATCCGTATGTTGGGTCTATGGCCGTCGAAAATCCCGTTCGTTCCATACCGCCTGAGTCTTGAACTAGACGTACCACGATGCGGACAGTGAGATTGAGCTCCGCGGCTTTGGCCGTGGCCAGTCTCTGCCAACAAGCATTCGCGAAGCTCGATGCCGTAGACAGCAACGGATTCCTCATCCTCGAGAATGAGCGTCTGCATACGGCAGTAGACAAGAGCACTGGAAGAATGAGCAACCTCACTCTCGACGGTGTCAATTTGCTCGGTACAAAGTCAGGTTCAACAGGCCAGGGCCCATACCTCGACTGCTACTGCATCCCCTCTGGCTTCTGGACGCCCGGCAAGACGCAGGCCACGTTCGAGCTCTATTCGGGGACTGACACGACAGGGGCCAAATACGGCGGTATCAAGATGTCCGACACGTACACGCCTACGGGGCAGGTTCTTGAGCAGTACTGGTTCCTGAAGGAGGGCGAGACGGGACTGCACGTCTTCAGTCGACTCGCGTATCACAACGCAACGCATCCGTTCCTGAGGAACCTGCAGGAGTTCCGGACCTTGTTCAGGCCCAACACGCCGATGTGGACGCATCTGCTCACCAACGAGAGGCAGTACGCTCCTCTGCCTGGCGCTGCAGCTAAGAAAGCGCAAGTTGTTGTCCAGGACGCTACCTGGTACTTGGGCAACACTCCTGATGACCCGTACGTCCAGCAGGAGTCGGACTACTTCACCAAGTATACCTTCCAAGACACTTGGAGAGATCACAATGTGCATGGCTTGTGAGTGCCCTCTGAATTAGATCATTATGCGAGAGGCATGGAGGATTAACATGTACAAGATACGCCGACGGATCCCAGACCTCAGACAAGTCGACTTGGGGGGCATGGCTGGTCATGAACACCAAGGACACCTACTTCGGTGGCCCGCTGCACTCTGATCTCACTGTTGATGGTATCGTGTATGACTACATCGTCTCCAACCACCATGGAGACCAGACGGTATGTATGGAGCTGGTGAAAGCCTACCATAGATCATAGTACTAACATATCGCAGCCCAACATCACAGATGGCTTTGACAGGACTTTCGGCCCAGTAAGCCCTCCCCTGCCTATCCATCCAGACGATCTAAGCCTGACCAAGTTACCAGTCGTATTACTACTTCAACCACTTCCCTCCGGAGACGCCCATGATGACCCTCCACGACGATGCCGCCAAGTACGCCGACCCGACCTGGAACGCCGACTTTTACGACAGCATCGCCCAGCACGTCCCCAACTACGTGCCCTCTTCCGGCCGCACGACCTGGAAGCTGCACGTCGACCTGCCCGCCAACGCGAAGCGGCCCCTCGCCGTCCTGGCCCAGAACGGCGTCGACTTCCAGGACAACGTCCTCGACACCAAGGCCCTGCAGTACTGGGCCGACATCGACGCCGACGGGTACGCCACGATCCCGCGCGTCGCCGCGGGCACCTACCGCCTGACCATCTACGCCGACGGCGTCTTTGGGCAGTACGTCAAGGACGACGTGCGGATCGTCGCGGGGGAGGTGCACACGACGCACGCGCGGTGGCGCGAGGAGAGCGCCGGCGCCGAGATCTTCCGCATCGGCACCCCGGACAAGTCGAGCGGCGAGTTCCGCCACGGGTACGCGCCCGACGAGTCCAAGCCGCTGCGGCCGGAGCAGTACCGCATCTACTGGGCCGCGTACGACTACCCGACCGACTTCCCGCACGGCGTGACCTTCAGGGTCGGCGAGAGCAAGGAGGCCGTGGACATGAACTACGTGCACTGGAGCGTGTTTGGCGGCAAGGGCAACTCGGTGCGGCCGGAGCCGTTCTACGGCCAGGGCGAGGTCAACAACTGGACCCTCGTCTTTGACGTCGAGGAGGCGCAGGTGAGAAGGAAACGCAAGGCCACGTTCACGGTGCAGTTGGCGGGCGTCAAGACTGCTGCTGGCAACACGGACGTGTACAACGCGAGCGAGCCGTACTCCAACCTTGACTACATTGTCAATGTCAACGGTCAGGACTTGGAGCCGTGGACTATTCCGTGAGTTTTCCGTTCAGCCTTTTCCTTTTCCCGAATCATCATCTCATAAATCTTCCAGGTATTACCAATCCTCTTCGTGCGCCGTACGCTCGGCAGTCATCTGCTACAATGTGGCCAACAAGTTCACCTTTGACCCAAAACTACTGAAACCTGGCGAGAACAAAATCATCTTGAGCTTGCCCTACAAGGCCACAGACTACGAAAGTGCCGTTCTGACCGAGACTGTGTACGTGCAGTATGATGCACTGAGGCTGGAGATCCAATGATAGACATCTGGTCGGTCAGCAGCGGCGATGTCTATCTAGATTCGAAGTACCTGACAATGAAACCATTTATCTACCAACCAAATTGAATGAAGTTAGACCTAACTAGTGCGTTTAAGTGCCTACATTTAGAAGCAGGCAAAAAGAAAAGGAAAACTTACAGCATCAGGCATTCGCTGGTCGTCACCGACCCAACTACTACTCTGACGATATCAGGCTTATCAAGGGGAGAGCGGACGGGATCCCGAGTTTTCCTGATTCTATGGCCGTAAGTGAAATATTCTTGTGCCCTGTTCGTCTTTTGTGTGCTTGTTGTGGGCGTCAAAAGCTTCGAAGAAGCACCACCACCAGATGATGCCTGCCCCTGGAGGATCAAAAGTCTTGTCGTTGATCTCTGGACTGATTCAGCATAGGGTCGGGGCAACAGCCGGGCTGTATTATTTGCAACATGGCACCAACTCAAACCTGACTCTTCGTCCACCTAACCTTTCTCGGAGAGTAAGGGTAGTTTCGCTTTGTTGTTGTCCGGAGTCGTATTCTCCCTCGGTCCCAGGAGTCAGGTTGTGAACAGTGATATTCCCACAATGAACCAACAATGGAAACAACATGATATCTCGGAAAGTGTCCGGGCGGGAGGACAAGATCATCGGTGTCGATATGGGCCGCAATTGGAAGGGTGCGAATTGAACTCGGGCCATCGTCAGCTTCCACTGAGAGCCTCAACTCCATTGTCTTCACCGGAATGATGTCATACTTTGACAAATACCTGCTTTGTTTGGTGAGAGCGAGGTGAGCTACGCCTTATATAATCCTTTAGACCCTCTTGGTCTTCAACGGGGGGAGATGGTGTAGCTGGATCAGCAACTTGTTGCCTAACCTGCAAACACCAACCTAACTCCCCCAGTTCAGACACAGCTTCTCGACCCCTGCCCCCGACAACGGGAGTTCGACTCCCCGGTGGTGCGAGGTTGACTAGTTGCAAAGAAATTCTGCGATTAAAAGCCTTCGAAAGAAGGAAGCGGGGTGCTGTAGCTGACGAACACCTGCATAGGATACATCCTGTAGGTGGAGGGCAGGACCTGAAAGACCGGTTTCTTTTTCCTTTTTTTGCCTCCTGCCCTTGAGGTCGGTCGGGATGCCTTTTCATATTTACATCTGGATCGTGACTTTCCCATACCGAGGTTGTCTTGTTTAGGCCGGCATATTCCCATCCCAACATTGTCGAAGCCTAGGGAGCGAACACTGGATGGCCGTCAACTCGTCCGAGACCTTGCCCTCACCCTTGGTATCGCCCAGAAACAACCTTCCCCGGTTGTCGGTAACCATTAGTCGACTGGGTGAGAGATACTGGGTTTTCGTCAGTCTGAACCTTCTTCTTGCCGGGGGTCGAGGCTGGCGATTGAACCTCGCGATGTCTCGAACGTCGATATCAGTCGGAGCGAATTACACATCACAAGATCAAGATGATGTGGTCCTGAGCTTTCAGGAGGGACAACTTGTTTTTATATCTATACTTCCTGATCTGATCTCTCCTTGCTAAACCCTGACAATGTCTCACCACCGGCTGCTATTCAGAGCTCATTCAGCCTCTCTTCCGTCAGTCGTCATCACCAAGCCTCGATAAAACAGCCGCCATCTACACTCGACAACGCCCCCTATTTTAGCCACGACAGGCCGCCCGCGCCCTCCCGACGGGGAGTTGAGCCTCATGAGCTCCACTCCAAGGCCCTCCAAGAGAGACAAGACGCAGGAAAGCAAGTTTACTGCCCTGAGAACCGAGATCGAGCCGTGAGAACGACTTCAGCCTCACATAGCCCGTCCTCAACTCGACTCACAGCCTGTGTCAGGGAGCCTCATGGCTAAAAGGGGCAAAGCGCCGTTCAGGCTACTCTTCCATCAGCTGCAACCCTCACCCTCACCTTGGCTGGGAGCAGTCCAGACACAGAGTCAGCTGACCAGCCGCAGATGAGCTCCGCAAGCCATTGACATCAGAGATCACCCTTCCCTCCTCTGGCACACCTGGGCGATGCCCTTACCCAGGACCTGCAAGTCGCTTGCGATCTCGTCGCCCATGAACCTGCAGGAATCTCGCATGACCGCAGCTGACCCTGTCCTTGTAACATCTGCAAGGCTGCCGCGAAGCGAATCAGTCCGGCAACGCGCTGTGTGTCTCGTCCCGGAGGGTCGGGATCGTTTTGCCATCGTCCCATCTGTCGGCGTCGCCGTCGTGGTTCCCCCCCTTTCATCTGCGCTGGAGATCAGCGGCATACACGAGGTGGATGGAGAGGAGTAGGGACGAAAAAGAAGAGAGATGGAAGCACGCCAGACAGGATGCCATAGGCCGAGCCTGAGCTCACGGCCGGATGGTATCTCCTGGTGAGATCATCTTGCAGCTGCGACGCAGACACGGCATTGATGGTGGCCAGATGGCGAGGAGGTGGATGGCAGGTTGGAAGGGATATGCCTGCTTCCAGGTGCCGGACATATCATATCTCAGTTCTTGAGGTCTCAAACATGCTTCCAGAAGGGAATTTGGAAGCTTCGGATGGGAGGGATGGGAGGAATGGGAGGCAACAGAGCTCTGGCATAACGTCCCTCTGGAATCCCGTATGCAAGGTACATCATGTATCCGGGCCTGTCCCTGCGGAGCGGGATGGCAGCACACAGCTGGGGAAGCCGTGATGATTGGTTCGAGTTGTTGAACCTCAAACGTGTACGCTTCAGAGGCAGACTCACTCGAGCCGTCTCTGGCAGTCTTGCCATTTACCAGCCGCCAATGCCAAACTCGAGATGTCTTTCGAAGTGCCCGACTGTACTTTGTCAGAGTCGCCACGGTGACACAACGTCCCATCTTGCCACTTACAGTGATCTCATCTGGAGAACAGCACAGGTGGACTCTTTCCCAGAGGTGCACCATCCAAACTTGCCTCTCCACTGGAGGGGCGGCACAGATCTGAACGTATCAAACGCCATCGTGAGAAGTTGGCCAATACTGGTGACCGTGTGTATGCAGGAGGGTCAAGGCTCAGCCGCTCATGCAGATGACAATGCGCAGGCTCCCCACAGAGGGCGGTCGCCCACAGGAAGGATGTGCTGATGGTGTGGGTGGCAACTCTGGGTTCTCATTGAGCGATGTGAACCAATCGCAGCGGCCTTTCTTTGGAACCTCCAAAAAAAAGTAATTGCGATCCATGGATGCCTCTTGCGCTGACAAAGAAGTTATGGTATCTGAGATGAAAACATCGGACGAGGTTGTTTGGAGGGATATTCCCTGCGCGGAACCAAGGAAAGGGGCCCTCAAACCCTACCAGACCCCATGCGCCATACCAATGCTTGGACTTGGCCGGCCGAACACCTGGCTAGACTTGCCATGAGTGTAAGAGTGCACAGGTCAATTGTGAAGGTTTGAAACACCAAGGAAGCAGTGATCGACTGGAAGGATACGTGCGGAGGGGGCCTGGCCAAGCAAGAATAAGAGAAGTGAATCAGAGAAAAGACAAGTGAAAGCCGAACCAAAAATAACAGAACATAGGTTGGCGTAACGGCTCCGGTTCGACCCCAGTCTAACAAAGTGTGGAGGAGTTTGCGGGCGGGACGAAGAGACCCTTGGACGAGCGTTGTTTGATCGCCAACCAGGCGAATGACGACACAACACATCATGAGATCAACGTGGAGAGGTTTCCTCGACCACCAACAGCCCTGGTCCCTGCACCAGGATCATTCCCACAGACACTTCAGACATCGTACGTGTCAGAGTATGTGGCTAGTTGCTGCAGTCTGATAGTTTGCTGCTGCAATACAGCAGATGAAGCTCGTGATCATTCATGCGATTTGTCCAATATAACCTGACTTGTGGAGCCTCAAGATGACAGATGGCAGCAGTACAGAGAGAGGTTCTAGAAGCCTGCGAAGAAGGATAGTTGGTTGTGGACGGCACGGGACTGAGATGATGCCAATATCCGACCCGCCAAACCACGCAATGAGAGGGCTTACAGCATTCGGAGTAAATGGTCAACATCTCAACCATAGACGATGCATGCCAAGAACTGCAGGATCTGACAGACCAGAAATTTGTGAGACGGGGGAAGAAAATCAGCAACGAAAAGAGAAATCGGAAGAACGTCCGTATACGGAAGCATGAGTTGCTCGTCGAGATTGTAGGGTTCCGCGATGAAAGCTTTGATGGTGATATTCTTCTAGAGTAGTGCCATCACATTTGTGAGCAAAAGAGGAAATGAACGACATCCCCATGCTCGACAAGATGCAACGGCACTGGGCCATATGTCTGCAAAGTCTCACCACGCACACCTGTGTTGCCACTTGAGTGGAAAGCTGAATCTGTCAGTACGGCAGGTCCCGTTTTCAGTACTCCCAAAGACCCCAGCAGCAGTAAGAACTGCCCACTTTTTGCTCTGGTCAATCATACCTTGGCTACCCTGCCAGCGAGGATCGTGCGGTAGTAACGAGGATGGCTCTGGGGTTCGCCAGTTCGGAGATCTGCCTCAGTACCGAGCGCCCATACCCCAGCTGGTGCGACCTTGGACGGAGCAGGACACCGTATTGATTTTGGCATGCGAACCACGTCAGATTTCGGGACATCCAGCCCTGTGGAACTTGCGTAGCCACGCGCGATGCGACATAGAGAAGACGATGACAGTTCAAGACGCGCAGCATGACCATCGATAGACGCTCATTTCGCCGCCAGGCCTAGAAAGGTTCTGTAAGGCAGAGACGGGGATGGCAACGCCGTGCTCCCGAAGACCATTGCGTCAACAGAGGAGGAGCAGGCTGATCGAGACCTGGCTCTCGGACTTGTCCGAGAACAAGGCATAATCTGTCCGATCAGCTCATAATAGCTGGGATTTATTCCGACAGTGGCTGGGGGCAATAAGAGTTGGAGATGACTGTTCTTAGTAGACCCAAGCTTGGAAGCGTGCCATGAAAGGCCCTTTGCGACCAGCCAAACCATGTTTGCACGTCCTACTTGGGTGAACCATGACATG